CGAAATCCTAACTCCTCCCTGACCCATGCGCTGAGTAAGTGGTGATCACACTTTAGTGAAAGGTTTCATAAGAACCTCTGAGACTTACAACATATCCTAATTGAAGCTGCTTCCCGACCAACGCCCAAACAAGTCATGGTGACCAAAACCGACGTCCTGAGCAATGGCATCTCAACACTGATGAGCACAAAACGTTCTCATAAAAAGCCGCGCCAAACATATCATTCTCATTAAGTTATCCTTCAAAAAAAGCACTATCTTTTGAGTCTCTGCACTTTTTTTTGTTAGTTTGGCAGGAGAAGTGGGACAAGGACGAACGGGAGGAGTGAGAAGGAACAGGGGGTGTACTGACGCACTCGCACGATTAAAAAACCGTTTCCCTACCGCCTGAGAGGCAGTCAGGCATGCCTGGGCACATGCCAGCAGCAGAACCGCCCCAACCACAGCCTGCAAACAGCTAGGAGGGCGAACACGCCACACTCTCTGCTCTCTCATGGGTTTCGAAGCGGGCAAGGGAGGGGAGGGCCCTGCCCGATAGCCGGACACAGCTAGCTGCCCTAGCTACACCCTCTCTGACATGCACTTGGAGTGCAGTCTCACACCAGAACATGCCACATCCTCTTGAACCAGGACTTTCTGGACAACTTATAGACAGTTTATCTCAACAAACTATTGAAATACAACCCTTTTAACGGCTGTGACACTTTGCTTGTTACGATTGCCAGTGTATACAAAATGTTGTGAATAAGAGCTGTTTGGGATAATATTCATAGTGACACAGCACCAGGTGCTACTCCGTACTGAGTGACGGTTGATCGTGCGAATCGAGAGTCTCTGGGCGGTAGCTTGCATGTTTGCACAGTGTCAAAAATTAACTCTGGAGTGATTGCGAATCTACGCTCTCGACGGGGCGGGTGTACAGTCACGGCAGGGAGTGAGCTTTTTAGTAGAGTTCGTATAAATTCTACTGTTGTTTTAGAGGACAGATACGTACATAGGTACATATGCACAATTGTTCTCTAAAAACTTTTCAAACGTACACACACAGTGCTCTGTTATATTCATGCATAGAGTATTGACAACCTCGTGCATTGGATCATGTAGATGCATGAGCAGCAAGAGAGTGCATGATTTTAAAGGCAGCCCTGAACTAGGGAACATGTCATCCATGGGATTGTACTGTCTACCTCTGAATAAAGGACACCTGCAATTTCCACGGTCCTAGTGTGTCCTATAAACAGAGGTTCAACTTTATTCTGTAAAGCACCTACTGGACAGCTTTAGACCACCCGCAGTACCACACACAGTACCACACACCGGAGAACACTGCTACACCGCTAGGATTCCCAACTGCAAACAAACATGTCTCATATTCACACGCACAGCTGAGGAATTAATAACGTGGAGTGTACATGTAGCAAAGCAGTATCGCATGTGCACATATACTCTGGGAGGGTGATTGATGAAATGACATCAACTTAGTTTAGTCATTTCAATGTGTTCCCTCCCTCCCTCAGTCCTCACACTACCGTGACTACTAGGAGCAGGTCCAACAGAGGCCTGCAGAACACTGTTGCTCTGTGCCAAGTGGAACTTGAGGGCCTGAGAGCTCACGAGGCGATAGAGTGTCCACAGGCCCAGGATTAGCTGGGCATGAGAGAAGAGCGAGGGGTGAGGGATGAGGGCACCTCTCGTGAGTCCGGGTGAGGGTGTGAGTGTTAGTGAATCTGGCAGTAGTAGAGCGTAAGGCGTGAGACGAGGTCTGGAGTAGAGAGAGGAGCCAGAACCCTGCCAGCTCGGCTACCTGGTCAAGAGGAGGAGCGAGGAAGGTAAATAGCAATGAGGTAGTAGCAAAGCAAAGTAAAGACAAACACAAGTTTTTTTTCTAGCTGCTGTTTAGGCACAGCAGGTCAGCAGGCAGGGGCTCAAATCTACAAAATATTCCCTCTCCCTCTCCTCCTATGTACTTCCCACATGGGTATACACAGCAGGTCGAATCCGCTTTTGGCACATAAAACACACGTACGCTATTACCGCATGGAAAACCTACTTCTCAGCGATGTGGTGTGTGTGTGCACTGTGGCTACATTCCTGCGTCAGTGAATGTATGCAAACATCTATTACTACAGTGTCGTAATAGGGGATATTGGACTTAGACTGCTACACACTTCCGTCCATAATCTTAAGAGGAACAGGCCTATAAATACTGCCAATTGTTGGTCAATAATATTATGATGGGGATTAATGATAATTAGACTGCGAGGACACTTGGCCAAGGCACATACATACATCCGGGAAGCTGCACACAGCAGTGGGCTGGGTTCGTGACCCTGGTCATGCGCCAGAGAACGTATGGCAATGTGCTATCTCCAGCTAGCTACAACGATGGCCGGGAGGGTGCCTGCTCAAAGGGGCCGTGAAGATACGGTTGCTGGGAAACAGAGGAGTGAGGGCTTTGCAGGCTGAAGAGGTCGAGGCAAGATTATATTGGCAATGTCGACTGATTGGCAATTTGTGCTCTTTCTCCCCTGCTACTTGTAGTTCCCTCCCTCTTTGCCTTCACTTTTTACTTTTCTCCTTTCCTGCTCATCTTCATTTGCAGCCTCATGCAGAGGATTCTCAGAGTGTTGATGCAGGGAGTCCCCATGACGGGCCAGGAATCCCATGCCACACATAAAACGTACAACACATGTAATGGATAAGGGTTTCGTAGCCCCCTTTTGGCCATTAGGGCTGTTTCGGTTTAGGCAGGCTGTCTCAGATTGGCAGGGACCTATAAACTGGTTCAGACTACCACAGGTGCAACTCCCTGTCACGATACATGGCTGTAAAATCACAAATGATAACAATTGAGTTTGGATTCTGTCTCCACAGGCCCATTGAAACTGGCGAGTCCGTAGCAGGTGGTGGTAACTCTCAGAAATCCCACAGACTTCCCTGATACATAACATGGGACTTGCCCACTCCACTGAAATGACGAACACACTCAAATTAGCAATATATTTCCAGTTTCGTTGCAGGGATAGACTAACTAATTTCAGTATGTCCCTCTTCAAAGGGGACAACGTTCAGTGGCAAAGTGCATGGGAATACAATTAATATCGATTGTCAAAATAAGAAAGAGAGAGAGAGAGAGAGAGAGAAGGGACAGAGGGGAATGCGTGAAAAGTGTGCAAACTGCCAGAAGGGGTGGGTTCTGCAGTAAGCTGATAGCTAAGAACACAGAGGGCCTAGTGAGGGGTGGTAGTCTTGCCGAGACAAAGTTGTAAGAATACTCATAACACAACTAATGCGAATGTCGCCTAACTTGTTTGTGCTGGCAGGCTAAGAATGCACACCCGAGTCTTTATAGTGGCAAATGTGACATTCATAGTGTGTCAGCATGGGATAATCGGAAAAAGGGGTGGATGGATAATATTCGAAAAAGATTCAAATATCAAATGCATGGTAAAAGAAACAAACTCTTTTTTTTTTTATAGGTATGGGCAAAAAAACTGATACACCAAAATGAGTCTAACAAAGCACCAGTTGTAGTAGTGAAATGGACTTGTCACAACTTGTGGCTTCCATGGATCCATTGTATGGTGGTAGGTGGACTACTTGTGCTCATCAGCTAACAAAGCAGTGGGTAGAGTGGTTGTGATGACAGGCAAAGTGCGTGTGTGTTCAAGTCCTCCAGAGCTCCAGAGCATACAAACAGATATGTAGGTTCATATGACAAGATAGGCAGGTTCATATGACAATTAAAAATAGTTCCAGTGACCAAGAGTAAGCCACACCCATCCTGTGCCCAAAAAAAATTGCTCACCATCTGACTCACAAACGGGCACCAACCTACAGTGAGGCACACTGAATGTCAAAAACCGCGAGAGAACAGCTGTGTCCCAGTTATTTATTTCTCACGTAACCAGGGCGGTCTAGTACCAGGGGCAGTTGGAGCGAGTTGTCTGTTGGCCAGTTACACTGAGACCTGATTTGACTGGCCGCATTGTGTCCAGGAAACAATGGGTCTCACGTACAGTCCCAAAACATGTAGTGTCTGGAAGGCAATGGGCTCCAGTGACCGACAACAGTGAGCAGACAAGATAATAAGAGGGGAAGAGAGTTTTTGGAGTTTTGGAGTTTAGCGCTATTTAGCCCTACACATGTTGTACCATGCATAGAAAAACAAGATGACGTACTAATGTTAAGGGGCTACTCAATGCAATTATACTCAAATTTAATTCAAAGGCTACTCAAGCTCTGCAATTTCTCTGAGAAACTGTCCCTAGTACAAAAGGACACACATGTCCGCGGCACACATGCATTCTTTTTCTGATTGTGTGTTTGACAGAGTGCGACCGGCTGTACTACTCTACCCCAGTCCCACACCACACGCCATCCCTCAGATACATACATACCAGTCTCTGCCGCGCTGGCGACCGCAGGAGCAAGACTTGCATACCACGGCCACTCTAACGAGGGTAATGGGCCTATTGAGCTGGCCGCAGACCTCGCGCGGTTGAGTACCTCCATTGACCGGCCAACTCTCAACGAAATAGAGGTGTATGTATGCCACCACACTACCACCACAAACACTGGGGCGTGGATGTCTGGGTTTGTCTTCATTCAATGGCAGGTTTGTGTGGGAAGAGTTGGTCCCTTTCATAAACACTAGTCAACACACACACACAGTGTGCTTGGTGGAAAGCAATGCGGAACTGGCCACATTGCGTTTCAGTTTTATCTACACCACATATAGATGTACAAGATAGCTACGAGAGCAAAGCAAGTGCAAAGCAAACAAAAATAAACGACGGAATGTACAACGGTGATGTTTGAAATGACTTTGGACATTGGTATATTATACACATGTATTATTTCACAGTGGATCAATGCTTTAGCCAACAGACCTTTTCCCTAAGGTTCCCCTCATAGGCAAGATAGAGTCTGGCTGTCTCAACAGAAATCATGACCACCACAACTAGAACACTGACGTAGCGGTAGTGGGTAGCCAGCAGGGAAAACTGCAGGGAGGAACGAGAGCGGGAGACATTCCAGGAAGAAAACTTCGGTAGGAAAAGTAAACAGATTTCTGTAGAAATACAGTATTTAACTCATTATACAAGATGTCCCCTGTGCCTACAAGGTGATGTTTATGGAAGTTTTCTCCCTTGAAAGGTTCCCACTATAGGGATGGCTCAGCAGGTTTCAGCAGAATGTTAATATGGCCCCTTTACATGGGACGCTTGGTAAACAACTTTGGCTTACCACAACACAACCGCCCATGAAATGGTGGTTTACACACAGTAAACCGGTTTGGATAGGTAAGTAGCTTTTTTTACAGAGAGCTTTTTAAATAAAATGTGACGGTGTTTACTACTTCACTGCATGCCACTGGTACTATGCATTGTCAAACACATTGAAATTCCAGCAAAAGAGTGCGTGGAGTGTACACTCACAAACCTTAGTCTGCAGTGCCAATATGTAACCAGTGGCCCACAGTGGAGCATAGAACACATTGAAATTCCAGCAAAAGAGTGCGTGGAGTGTACACTCACAAACCTTAGTCTGCAGTGCCAATATGTAACCAGTGGCCCACAGTGGAGCATAGAACACATTGAAATAGACGGCCATCTGCAGCGGTAGGCTGGTGTACACTTCCGCCCCTGTAAGTTCAGACAAAAGTCTTTTCAAAACCCAGAACGAATGCGGGCACCCCTTATCCTATAGCATACACCTCGTGAAGGAGGGCGGCACCTCAAACATTTTCCAGAGTGCTCCTATTACCTGCTCCTGTTTCCATCTCTCCACGCTGCATACCTGGACCTACTATATACTACCCTTTACTCCACTTCTCAGTCACACTCTCACTGGCGCAGGTATATACACCAGGGAATACGGCTACTCTGCTCCCTTTATCCTAATACCATAGCTATGCAGGTGTAGTTTATTGGCAACCCACATGGCTCAATTTTCACACATTGCTAGTCACTTTCGGCCGTGTACGGCACGACAGCTTTACTCTTATCGCCATGGCAACTGGTAAACTATACTGTTGACTTGAGAAGGCGACAGGAGGTCGGAGGGCTCTAATACCTGGAGTAAGGCCGGTCGTCCGCACGACTTCACTCGTGCGCCGCCGAGAATCTTCAAACGTCTCCACGCGGTCGCTGAAGCGGACGCGACGAGCCCGGGACGTCATGTTCTTTAGTGCGCGTCAATTGGAGTGGGCTCGCCTTTTCTAATTGGAGCCCGCCTCCCACGTGGCATTCGTTCCAGTCTCTCGTCATGAAACCGGGCGAGGAGAGTGCACCTCGGGGCAAACCTAAGTCCGGCAGAGTCTGGAAAAGTCCTGGAACCAAGTACAAACTTTCCTGCTAGCGTGTTTAGCTACCAAGCTCTATTTTCGACGCAGACACAGGGACTGTGTGGCCGTGCCACCACTGAAAAAGCCGTATAAAGTCAGGCGGGCTCAGGAGTCGGAGAGAAGGGCAGTGAGAGAGATGGAGAGGGAGATGAAGGAGGCCAAAGACAAAGAGAAAGAGGTGATATACCCTTCCTTGCTTCTCACTACCTCTAACCACCCTGGGCAGCTTTTCCTGTTGCCCAGGGTGTAGAGTTTGCCTTTCATTGACACCACTTCACCTTTCAAGACCTCCTTCCCTGAAGTGCTCTATGTGGTATTCGTGACACAGGAACTGAGGAAACGGCTGCAGGAAAAGAGAGAGAGAAAACTAGAGAACCAGAGAAAGGGAGAGATTGTTCAGAAGGTACATGTGCACCTGGCTAATTAGGGGCTGCCAGGTCAATCAAATTTTATCTGTACGTGTGCTACAAAATCCACCTTTCCGACTATTTGTTGTAAAAGTACACTAAAGATTGTCGTGGGTTGCCAGGTCAATGCCGTCTGTTGGTAAAAGTGCACATAAGACAACAGTAACCTAAGTACAATGTGATCTAATAAGAGGTAGAGTGGGCTTTCCATTATTTTCTGAATGCTTGAGTGACCATAGATTCTTGTGCATTCATACACGGAACTCGATGCCACTACTCGCAGATAACCAATGTTACAAAGTTGAAAAGACTAAAGAAAAAGCAGCTGAGGACTATAGAGAAGAGATAGTGTTACAACTCTGACTTTTGATGTGCCATTTCTTACTCACCGTTCAAACGGTTTAATTTTCTCGTGCATTTGTCACATGATTGAACACTTCTTTATAATTTCGTGCCATCGTATAAAATGTACACTCACAAAGTCCACCGTGGTATGTTATAACTTCTCAATTGTCTCTTAAGTGTGAAAAGTGTTCCACATTATGTCTCAGTTGCATCCTGAGAAACTGTTGCAAGTTACCCAGCGTTGCACAACCTATCATCACATTGGTGCCTTTTGCATATGCACTTGTGCACGTCAATGCTCTGCTAGCGTATTACATAATTATTACACTAAATGACGTGCATTCATTTTTGCACCAAGAGTTTGGTTGGACGTCAGCTGTGACCTTGCACACAAAGTGTAAACACGTTGCAACTGAATGAACATACGAGCATACCACAGATGATACATGAGCGAAAGTTGATCGAATACACAAAGCACACACGTTGCACTATAACGTTACACAATTTGCAGTGATGCAGGGTGCACGAAAAGAGAGAGTTAGAGGAGAGATGAGGACGACACAAAGTTCACAACTGGTATAATAATATCCGGTGGTCCGCAGGGCTATAATATATCCAGTGGTTTCTGTGGTGGGTATTCCAGTCAGTTGGATTCATCCTCAGAGTCTGGAGCCAGGATACCTGGCTGCCTAGGGGTAGGCAGGTCACAGTGCAGCAAACCCCCTCCAAGAATTGCAGACGATGCCTTGAACTGTAGTGTATATTATAGAGCATATCATAGTGGTACATTCGCAATGTAGAGTCGGGAGGGGGTAAGATAGGAAATACGCTATGATCCGGTCATTCTTACTACACAGGACGTGTGCGCATCGTGGCATGATTGTTTGTGACCACAAGTCGTGTGACAGACTCAGTGAATGGACCGGTATATGGCCAGGGGCAGGACCACACATGTGTAGTGGCTTTCATCAGAAGGATATCACTTCTCCCCCTTCACTTCCCCCCAGACTACAGCACTCTCCAGTAATTGGCCTTTCAGTTTGTACTCTAGTAGGCCAGCTACCTAGACATACCTTATATATATATACAGTTGTAGCTTTCAGACACCAGGATATGGTCGGTCATTCTGGAAGCTTGTGAAAGAACTTATGAGAGGCCAGTGGATGTGGTGCTGCTATACTGTATTTGGTTTGCGAATTCACATTACTACCATTGGACTCTCCCCAAAAGTGGTACACAACAGACATGACAGGTTATGGTGTAGGAAGTTTACCATTAAGGTGACATGTGGTGTATTATCACCAGAAATTGACTAACGGAGGGGAAGACCTCGTGCACCAAGGGTTGTGGTGGTAGCAGTTACATGCCTGAACTCGGAGGAGAGGCTCAGATATGTCCCCAAAACACATTCCCTTCCATTGGCTATCTTGCAGCATTCCAGGAGAAACCTATATATATCGCTTGTGGCCCAGGCACACTTCTGCCCAGCAGCCCCCCTACACACCACAGAACAGGGTTCACAGGGTGTTCTCTCCCTCCCTCCCTCCCCCTCCCTCCCTACCCTCTTTCAGGGTCACTTTACACACTAGATTCCCCGCAGTGTTTGCATCTCTGGTGTCAGTCTCCCAGCCTCCCTCCCTCCCTCCCTCCCTCCACGTGTGGAGTGTGGAGGCTGGGGAGAGACTGAAACTGTAGCATGAGAAGTTTACACGAGAGAATGTTAAGCCTTGTCTTCTGAAGGGTATGGAGCAACACAGGTGGAGTTGGAGTGAAACCTCTGAACAAGGGACACCCTGGGAACATCTTTTTGGTGAAACGGTCTGCTACAATGCGCCATCAGGCTTATAACCATCGGTTGGGTGCTTCCACTGACCAAAATATTAGATATAAGAGGGGGTGTCCTTCATTCTGTTCTTAAGCTCCTTTTTCGGATGCTTCATATATAGAACAGAGTGTGTCGTGTCTCATGACTCACCTTTTTAGCTGGAGGAGTTCCAGGGAGAAAGCCAGAGTCCTGGAGAATGCTGTCTTGTGTTAGACTGACTCCTCCCTCTTCCCCTCTCCTCCATTCTTCCTCTCCCTCCCTCCTGGGTAGTGTGGGGGAGGGGGGAGTGTGGGGATGTGAGGTGTGGGTCTGTGGTGATTTGGGGGAGGGTCTGACACAGCTGCTGGTGAGGTGGGAGCTGACGACGTGGGGGCTTCTCGAAATACCAAACCCTGCACACAACAAACACTAGGCATCACTTCCATACATTAGTTCATACATGGTCATATATGGCTAATGAGAAATGATCAGAGAACTCAGACGTCTCCTACATCTGGCCACAGTTAGAGTATCCATACAGCTACATATGATACTATGCTGTATTTATGCCATCACTACATACAATGCAGCTGTATGATGCCCTATACAGTACATAATAAGGCATAATCTCTCCCCTTCCACATGTAGGTAGACATGTACATATATATAGCAGGGCACACTAGAAGTCACAAGACTTTGTGATGGGAGCAGTTTATCCTGGTATACATACGTACATAAAAGGAACACCTGGGAGTTTGTGTTGGGGCTCACTACTACTGCTTCTCGGCCGTCCCTCTGCTGCGAAATCTCCCCCTCTTCCCCCCTCCCACCCTCCCTCCCCAACATCCATCATGTTCTCTTCTCCAAACAGGGCATCGAGGGGATCGGCTTCTCCCTCCTCCACCATCGTCACACCCTCACCACCAGCACCGTCTCCAGTCACATGTCCATCTTCTTCCACCATCACAGCATCACCAAGAGTACAGTGTTCCTCGGAAGTTCTACTAGACCTACTCCTAGCATCAGCCATCCTCTGTCTACTTGGAGTGCTGTGATAGGCTTCACTGGATCTGTGGACACTCTCAACAGAAGCCAACCTTTCCTCGCTAGTCCGTTCTCTGTCTTCTTTGGTTGAGCGGCTATTAGAGCTAGAAAAAGGGTGACTCCATTCATCTTCAACCGATCCCCGCCCCCGGTCCTGCCGGCGAGTAAGACCCGGTCCGTTAGCCGTTCCCCTTCTTCTTCCCCGAGTGTTTTGTCTCGTCTGCTCCCTCTGTCGGTGTGCCGCGTTCTTCCCTCTGACACCAGCAGCGTTAGTGCTACTGTCAGAGTGAGCAGTGGTGCCATTGGTGATAGGGTTTGTAGGATCGGCAACATCTTGTAGAGTGGCCAGCACAAAGTCTGCCTTGACTTCTGTGGTGGCATCTATACTGAATACGACTGGGCTGGATTGGAACGGAGGAGTGAAGAATTTTATATAGCTGAGAGGGAGAGGGAGAGAGAGGAGGGAAGGGGGAAAGGAGAGAGAAAGGAAAGTGGAAGAAGGAGGGAGAAAGAAGGGCTGACCTTCCTGCTGATTCAAAGTACAGTGACACTGTCTGCGGCAGAGCATCAGTGAAGAGCAGAACTGCCTGATGGACAAATATACATTGCACACTCTGGTAAATCACACCCCTAGCATACAACTTAGCATAGAAAACACTGCTTACAAAGTGACACAGAGAGAGAGAGAGAGAGGAGGTAACCCGGAGCTCCTTGAGACAGAAGGTGATGGCAGCATCCACTCCAATCTGGTAGTCATCAAACTCGGCTGGTACCAGACATACTTCAGTCATAGTGGCTCTCTGGTCCACGCCTGTGTACACATTACACATGTGTCAACTGTACAAGGTAGAATGGCAAAGGCACAACAAACAAATCAACTACACCCAGGACAGCTCTTTGTATGTATGTCTCTATTTTCTTTACGTTTTAGCTAGTGTGCTCCGCTCATAGAGTTTCATGTACGGTGGTGACTAACAAGGAGGAAGGGAGAGAACTGAATGTTCATGCCTTGTTTGAGAAGCCACTGGGAATTACTGTATGTTACTAAAAAGCACATTTTAGTGGTGGAGCATGACCTCTCAGTTGCTATGAAGGTGAATTTTCTAGTGTGACAACGGCACAGCCAATCAGACAACTATGTGAACTCCTCACTCTGCATGCCAACCACTTAGAGCTACAGGACAGGGAAGCACTCTCAATAAGAAGCCACCAGATTCCACTAATAAAAGAGTTTAATTCACTCTCAATAGGAAACCACCAGATTCCACTAATAGGAAGTAATAATTCACTCTCAATAGGAAACCACCAGATTCCCTAATAATCATACTTACTCTAATTTGTTCAAGGTAACCCGTTCACATATGGAATGATTTCCCACCATTGGAATGGACGGAGGATACATACACCACACGGTGGACTAACTGTCTTCCTTGCAATAGTTCTTGAGTCTGACACACTCCGGGTCGGCCAGTAGAGTCACCTCCTCCAGGAAGTTAGGGAAATTCCCCACAACCTCACCCAGTATCCTGCACCACAACATGTCAGTGAATAATGTTGTTTTCAATCAAGGTATATACATTTGATTCCTTCCTGTCATGCTGCCGTACAAGTGGTAACCTGCCCAATAAATTATAAATTCCGTTTCTTCTATTGAGAGTAATGTTAACATTACAGATGGTGCTTGTGGATTTTAGACATCCGTGCAATAGACGCGACCAGATAGACACGCTTCACTTGCCAACATGCTGTGATTTCTACTCCATGTGTTCATGCATGAACATAGTGCATTCACCACGACGAGGACAATTAACCTAACTGGGGAATTTATGCTGGAAAAAGACACCCTAACAACCCCTCTACGCTCTAGTTGTCAGAATGTTTATAAACACTTGCCCCGTGCTATGTATATACATACGTGATATATACCTTACGCAAAATCCACACCATCACTAGATACACGGCACACAGATCGCAACCAGTCTTATCTATCTATATATACCTATATATGGCTGGTATGCTATGAACTATAATTTCATGCACCAAGTAGCACATAGTTTACGCATGAGAGAGCGCGCACACACACAAACACACAAACACGGCCAGCTGGGAGGGATAATACACTATACGGTCATACCGACCTGCTCTGTAACTTGATGTGGTTGGGGGACAGGTCTTTGGCAAAGACAGCTCGCAGAGAGTCGCATTCCTGGAAGCCCAGTTGGTGCGTCTTCACAATACCTGAGCCGCACACACACGACGCCATGTGCGGTTAGAAGGTGAAAGTGCAAGTAATTTCGTCACACAGGTAGGGGATACACTAGACGTGCCACAAATCTCTCGTGTTTCGGGATGTGTACGTATACAGCTTCACGGGTTAACCTTTTCAGCGATCAGTGTCGTCCCCACATTCCTCCAATACCACGTCCTCCACCAGTTAGTGTTTACTGGTGGTGGTGTATCACAGAGAGTACTCTGTACCCACATGGAATATTAGGTATATACCGTAACGAAACTTATGGTAACTAAAAACACGGTTGAGTAAGTGCTACTATAGCTTTATTGCGCCATAACTCCCAATACTCGCATAATTTGCGAGATTGAATACAGTTCCTTTTTCCAGAAACATGGCACTTGGTGCTAGGTTTATGCAGTGTGTACCACATGTATATACAACATGTACAGTTGAAAGAGGGCAGATTACAATACAATGCAAGTCTTATTCAGCCCAGCTCAGGGGGAAAAATATTTACGTATTCCCCTCCTCTCTCTCTCTCTCTCTGTACATATGTACCATACCGTGTCTGCAGTGGAAGATGAAGACCAGTTTACTGAGTTTGCAGTTGATGGAAAGAGAGAAGTAGTCCACAGCCTTCTCCAGAGTGCTCAGGGACCGAAACACACTCAGAACTGACTGCAACACACACACACACACACACACACACACACAAACGCACACAATCGAACACACACAGGCAGTGCACAATCTGTATTTCAAAACTGTCAACCCTGGGAGAATTGCTTTGAACCCTCTAGACCCTCAATCACTCGCCATGCCCCTTCCTACTCCTTAGTTCGTAAGTCATACACCCCAAAATTTAATCCCCACACATGCTGGAAGACAAGGGGCTAACTTTGATGGTGATTTTACACTTGATGGTGTCCTCCTCTTCGTCTCCCTCCTCCTCCTCCTCCCCACCCCCTCTCCCCACACCATCTCCGGCAGACCTGCTCCCCAGACCATCGCTGTAGCTGTTGAAAAACGTCCGACAGAAGAGGAAATTGACAAACGCAGAGCGAGCAGAGTTCACCGTCCTTAGAGACAACTACAGTATGAGAAAACAAAGCACAGTGTGTCAATTTAGTACGTTTGTGTGTGAAGCCCGAAGCTGTGAAACTACTGCGGATAAAGTTTCCGTGTAATGTGAAGGTAACAGACTAACTCCTTTCTCAAGTGCCTCAATGTGCAGGTCCTCCCCTATCTTGGCCAGACACTGGACCGCCTTCCCGAACGCTGAGTGTGAGAGGAAGACACACGTGTGAGTCGTACAGAGAAAGAGAGAGTCCATACTCACCTCTGATTCCTCGCCCAGGTACGACACAGTTCATCTCGATCGAGGCTGTTGGTGCGCGCTAATTAGGACGGTTTGCGCGCGCGCACTTTGATCCCAGCCCCTCCCTCTTCTTTCTCCATGACGCCGAAGCAGAGCGAGCTAGCGGACTCAGAGAGAGATGGATATGCCTTCCCAGGCTCTCAAGAAGGTGCGGGGGGATGTCATAACGTCGAGAGCTTGGTCAAGACTGCAGAGAGAGCTACTGGCGCAGATGACAGGGGGACATCTGCGAACTTTCGGTTCTCTCTCTACCAGTGATAAACTGGCAGCAGTTGAGAGAGCAGTGGAGGCTGTGGGAGAAACGGCGGCCTATGCCAGGCTCCGGGCTCATGTAGCGACGTCCGTGGACTACCACTTTAGTCCACTCCTGTTCCAACCTCCTGGAATTGCACAAGAATTCTCGGCTACCGCCGAGGATTCATCGACGATGCCCCGGGCACATCCTGAGGCCGACCCGTTGGCAGAAGCGTGTTCGAGGCTACTCGAAGCCTCCCCGCACTTGAAGCATTCACTCAAATGCGCCCTGAACCACCCTCTCCCGCACGGACTTCGTCTCGCCGCCTGGAGAGCTCTCCTGTCGCGGCCAGACGTCCAGAAAGATTTCCTGGTGGCTGGCAAGGAGCTGCAGCCGGGGGACGAGAGCAAGAAGGAGATATCACGGCGCTGTCGCCACGTTCTCGGCGAAAACCCAGTGTTTAGGGAGCTGGCCGGTAGCAGCGTGGCTCTGTCGGCCATGCAGGCTGTGGTTCTGTACTGGATGCAAAGAGCCAGCGGGGAAGTGTTGGATTCTGAGCTCTTGCTGTCTGTGCCGTTCGTGCACGTGTGGAGGGAGGAGCTGGAGCGGCAGGTGGACAGGAGCAGCAGCAGCAAGGGAGAGGCACGGGTTATCTTTGCAGAGATTGCGGCCGAGTACGTCCACTTCATGGAGATGTTGCCTCCTAGCGTCAGCAGCAGTGCAACAGTAAGTGAGGGGAGCTCGATGCTTTCTCTGCTACGTCCGGGCCTCCACTGAATCTGCTGTGCCACATTGGTGTAGGAACAATGGAAGGACTATACTCTTTCCATGCAAAGTTATTCATTGCAGAATTGTATCTGCTTAGAGTTTTATGCTAACACTGTAGCTCTGATTGACGAGCTGGATACTCTGTATACCCCCAGGAGAGTGCAGATGGAATGAAAAAGTTTGCCAGGAGAGTGGAGGAACTGCTACAGACAGAGGACCCCCAGCTCCACCAGGCTCTGGGGAAAGCCTTCAAGAAGACTGGAGGCTCTCCGAAGAAGGACAGGAGAGCCTGGGGAAACCCCTTCCATCACACGCTCAAATCAATTCTCTTCCCTCACATCCAGAAGATGCTTGTTGGTAAGTTGTATGAAAGTGTGGATGATGCTATATACCTGGTAAAGAAGGCTGAGTCTTCACACTCATTACAATCAGATTCAGAAAATGATGGTTGAAGTTATATAGCTTATTTTATATAATAATGTTCCTGAAGTCTGTATTACCTAGGGACAGATTCTGTTATACGTACTGTACCTGTGCTATCAAACTTTTGTGTCCGTTTTCAGGAGATGTATCAATGGATGTTGTATGTTACATCTGGGACCAGTGTTTCATAGGGCTTGATGTCCCAGAGTACCAGTGTCTGCCTTATTTCACCACAGTCTGGCTCTTACTGCTTCGAGACAGGCTACTCAGAGCAAAATCGGTAGCTAACTGCATGTAAATTGGAAGAGAATCATCTTTAGATGGAAATTGCAGTGTTGTTGTGTTCACTATGTGTAGGTTGAGGCTGTGGAAAAGGCTCTATCAGGTCACTCTCGTTCACTGACCATCCTTCAGTTCCAGCAAGAGGTGCAGCAGCTACAGCAGAGTGCATGATTCCATATAGCCAACCGCACAATAGCAGCCCGGTGCAAATTTCAAACGCTTCGGCAATAAAATCGTGGGAAGCAAAGTAGTGAGGTGTCTTGTCCAAGAGTTGGTCCTTGGATTTTTTCAGAGAGGTGTCCTCAGTTTTCAAAGATCTAGATGTGGTTTTCATAATACCTGCAGATGGAGAAGACCTTTCTCTCCGACCTCTCTCGGCCTCTCAAAGTGAAGCCACTCCCACTTCATCCACAGTCCAGCCCCCTGCTACTCCCTTCCCTCCACCCCTCACACCGTCCCCCGCGACCCTCCCACGACACCCACAGTCTCTTGGCTCAACGTGACTTATCAACCACTGGTGGAACGGCATATAATGAGCTGTGAGCGTTAATGATACTGCCCCAATCTAAGTTTGATAGCCATACAAAAAGTTTTCCTAGTGTGAGTGTGATTGTATGAGCAATTATACATGCATTCCTAAGCTTCTATTGGGGAAATGGCCTGAAAGAAAACTTATTATCAAAGGGGTCTGATAATATAGACAGCAGAGGATGGAGGAGATGCAGCAAAAGGTTGAGAGAGAGCAGAGGATCCTGTCACACAGAATAAGAGAGGTTTGTGTATATTATACACCACTAAATAGGGGACCTCCAACCCCATATTTACCACCAACACTATGCATTATAGGAGAGGGAGCACCACCAGAAGCAGTTGGAGGTATTTCGAAGAGAGCTTGAAGAAATGAGGATGGTACAGCTGTCAGCATGAAACCAATGCTCTCAGTATACTGTATGTATGTTTGACTGGTCTGACGTATATGGTTCTTTAGGGTTTAGGAGGTAGAGGAAAGGGAAGTAGACGATCAGTTGGTGGTATAGGTCAGAGTCAGTCGCTGAGGCCATCTCTACAGAGTCCCATACAGAGCAACTCCAGTACACAACAGCCAAGTAACCGTCTACTATACAGCAAGAATCACAGTCTTAACATGCCTGCTTGCTTCCAACAGCTCTACTTCTGGTGCACTCAACAAGCAGCAAAATAGACAAGGTATAGGGAGACATCGTGATGTTCTTTGTGAATTCTCGCCAACTTTGACTCTGTGCAGCTTCAAGAAATAAAGGTCATACCAGTCCAAATAACCTCACAACAGTAAGTCTCTCTCACTTTCAGGCTTAATGGGGACAGCTGGCTGGCAAGAACAGCATGCTAAATACAAAAAACGGAATGGAACGGCTGTTTTGTTGTGTTTTGCAAACAAAATGAAAACCGATTTTTGCACCACCATGCTGCAATAATGTTTGTTGTGATTTCTGTCTAACAAATGTGTTGTGTCTCTCTCAGGACGTTGGGAGGTGTCAGTGAGCGTCCGTTCTCTCCCACTAATCTCACCGAGAGAGACATGCAGACTCTGTGGCTACAGATTCTGGGAAGGTTCACCTCTGCTGCCTACACCAGTGAGCCACTCACAACGATCCAGCTCTCATCTCCATCTCTTTCTTCCTCCCTCCCTTTTTTCAATCCCTCCATCTCCCTTCCAACTGTTTCCCCCTCCCAAAAACCATGTTTGTCTGTCTACAGTATGCCATGGAACAAACAGCGAGAGAAGAGCTCTTTTCTCCACTCTCCAGCCCTCAACTAGTGCTGCCACTAGCCACCAATCATGAACAACTCTCTACAGTAATAACACTGCACATACCTTAATCTTAAAGTTTATCCATCACAATGTACAGGAGAGGAAACTAAGACTAATCAGTGGTGATAATGATAGGGATACAATCTAATTGAGAGGGAGTATGAGACTTTTAGAGTTTGGCGTATTTCGCATCAGAAGAAGGTTTGGGGATGTCCCTGGCATTCAGTACTAACGGACTAGTCTTCCATGTAGATGGAGGGTTCCCGTGAATCTGAGGAGACAACAAAAGGTTCCTATGATTGCAGTTTACTTGTATGTAGCATGATCTGGGGACATAGCAAATGCCTATAGATAAGTCAGAATTACTGTATATATATACCATTGGAACATAATTCCATGGTGTATAATTATACTGATCAATGGACTCAAGGGGTTTAATCCCAGTTATAAGAACCAATCATACAGAGACTTCAGCTTGACTGCAAACTGTGCTTTAACCAACACACCAATGACCCATGGATAGTTGTGTACAAAATACTTCTCACTCGCTTCAGCTCTCGGCGGAATTTGACCGAGTTTGCCAGGAACTGTCTCTTCTTCTGTTCAAACTTGCCTTCCAGTTGTCGCACCTCGTCTTCCAGTCTCCTCTGGGGACAACATTACATACAGCAACGTCACACTTCCAAACTTTCTCATAGCGAATAGCAGTATTCTCTTTTAGGTAGAGCACAATAATATGAGTTATGTATTCTTCATAATACATGCCAAAGGATAAAATCACAATTTAACCAACATTCTTCACCCAGCCCCCCTTTGCATTAAAACAACGGGAGTTTTTCTCCTTTACGTATTGGTTTTCCCACACATTGCACTACTATAGCCAACAGCTAGGAGCTTGCCTTGTGAGTCTCCAAGGACTGGACCTGTTTGGTCAGTATTGCCAGACGGGTCTTGCTCACAACTACACATAAAGAACAGTACAACAGAGCTAAATGGAGAGGGATCAGATGGATGATGATATACAGTGGACCCTCTGAACCAGGGGCACTATGGGTGATGACTTTGCCCCTTGTATATAGAGAGGTCGTCCCTTTCTTGGAGGCACTAAGGTATAAGCATGGGGTTGAAACAAATGTCCTTTGTAGAGAGGTCGTCCCTTTTTCAGAGGCACTAAGGTATTAGCATGGGGTTGAAACAAATGTCCTTTGTAGAGAGGTCGTTCCTATCTCGGAGGGTCCCTCATCGGAAGTTACTGACCAGTGCGAGGGTCTGGGACACACACGTCACTGAAGACCTCCATCATGAGACGGTGGTTTCTGTGGAACCTGACTGCAGCCACCTGCTTCATGGTGATGTACTCATCTGACGTGAGTGCGTCACATGGCAGAGACAAGACAATTAACGTGTATATACGTAAGCTTTTACAATTTCATAAGTACATTTTTACGGGAGTTGTTGTTACCTTCCTCGTCATCATGCTGCTGTTGTTGCATCATCTGCAGTCTACTCTCCATGCTGTGTCTCGAGGGAGCAATAACGGACGGAGGAGGAGGACCGTACTCCTGGTGGTGGTGGTGGTGAAGGTAGGACTGGGAGGAGGTGGAGGAGGAGGAAGATAGAGCCTGTGCTGCTGCAGCCTCCCGAGTTGCTTGTTCCGCTGCAGAGAGAGAGAGAGAGAGAGAGAGAGAGAGCCTACATGATTTCACAGATAAATAACTTCATCATTTGTACAATGTGGTAGGAACTCCACCTCATAAATCGTGTTTCAAACAAGACTTAGCAAGATAAATGCAGTTGCCTTAACTATACTCATACCTTGTTGTTTCAGCTCCAGCCACCTCTTATAGGCAGGCGAGCTGCGATAGGCCTTCATCTGCTCTAAATACACTGCCTTCTCAGCCTCATATTCATCGTGATACGGCTGCTTCTCTTCATCCGATAGCTCCCGCCATTTCTGACCAATCAGACGACCGACTTGAGCTATATTAGGAGACTGCAAAACAAGATAAACCTGGTACTAGAACAGTAAGTGTGACAGTATGTACCTCCCAGACTCCCTTTCCATCGGCCTTGAGCTGTTCCCACGTCTTGCGACTGTAGCGCATGTACGGCAGTAGCGGACGATCGGGGGGTTTTGGAGGTGGAGGAATCTGCAGTGAATCGAATGAACTGACCGTAGGAACAGTACAGTATAGTGGAACAAAGATGGTGGACAATGTAAAAGCTACTGAGAGCAAACTGCCTGATGTATACAGCTGGAAAATCGTGTTCGTATTTCCGACTGAAAACGACGTGTTATGTTCTCGAAAGAGAGAGGGAGTGACCTGGAGGTTGGAGTGATGGTGGTGCTTGGAGCGAGACGAAGAAGAGGAGGTGGAGGAAGAGGAGGGAGGAGGGATGGAGGCCGGGACTGAGTGAGACACTGGTCCGGACATGTTCCAGTGAGCCGTCATACTCTGTTGCAACACAACCACAAGGATTACTCATGTTTCTGCTTGTACTAGGAGTAAACAGGAGCTCACTTGGAAGGTAGGGTTGGTGCTGTGGCTAACCGGATAGCTGGGATGTCGGAACATGCCTGAGGAAATGAAGCAGCTTTGAGGTTTGCTTAGTTCCAAAAGCTGGTACCCAAACTTACCGTGGCTCTGGCCATAGTATCCTGGAGGCAGGCCTCCGTGAACTCCACCGGGATGCATGAAAATGCCGCGACTACTGAGGGGGAAAGGCTGGGGAGAAAGTGGGCTTTATTTAGAACCTCACCTGGTGGGCGCGCGCGCCGCTGGTTTCAAAGAAGGTCAGAGGTCAGCTGACAGACGCCCGCTTTTTTCGAAACGTGTTTTTGCTGGCAAAAAGTTCTGCTCTACAGCTACCGTTGCCGTTGCAGTAAGTTGCGGCCGCGGCCATCTGTAAAGCTTGCTGTGTGAGTAGCTAACATCCAAGACCTAGTAGCCGCTGACTGTTTTACGCCCTCCTGGTCCCGTCTGCAGGTATGGCCAGAGGAACGAGAGGGCGTCAAAAAGCAGTCGGCAAATTCCGTGACCTCGGCTTATACTTCGCCAAGCCTGCAGCTCCCGTGAGAGTGTAGAGACCCGTGGGTATATTGAGGACCTAAAACCTTATCTGATCCCCTTTTCATGCAGCTTGTGATGGATACTGCAGCAGATACTCCTCCAGCAAAGAAGCTCAAGAGGGCACCAGTTGACCTGTCACTACCCCTGACTCCCTCTTTCGTCCCACCTTCCCTCCCCACCCCCTCTCCCTCGCCATCCTCACTCACCTCTCCTGTGACAACACTCTCTGTTCTCCCTCCCTCCTCCCCTCCCCTCCCTCCGTCACCCACCTCTCCCCTCTTTCCCTCCCTAATTGATGACCTGGAGACCCTTCTCCTAATGAGGAACATCCAGACTCAGGTATAGTATTATACACCATTATACACCGTCTGTTAGTGCTACTGTGGGTGTTTTGTACAGGACATCTGCTAAGCCTGCCCACCTGTAAACCACACTGGTCAACTCCGTATCTAACACTTATTTGAACTTTCCTCCTGTGGTGGTCTTGTCCTTGGGTGTGATAAAAAATCAACACAGATTTTTGTAGAACAACCATCTATTCCACATGTAATGCTCAATCTTTGATTGTGATTACATTCCTTCATCCACATTCTTTATTCTGAGACCTGTTAGAGGAAGAAAACAAATTCTGCAAATTGCACAGCCGCTGTCTAGTGTTTTCTGTGCAAATCACTTGCTGTATATGCATGATTCCCCACCAATTAGTCATCGATCTGTTTGCCATGCCCTAACTGGTTCGTATTCCCTCGTGTGTCCCAACTACCCTCCAGATCGTCTCACTACCACCCGGCAGACAGGCCCAGTTGTTCACCCGGAATCAGCTGTGTCTGGCAGAGAGCTATACGGACCAGCTGGAGACCATGGGCCCCAGTACTGGGAGAGTGGACAGACTCCTGGACTACCTGATATCAGCCGTGGGTACCTTTAGGATGCCTCCTGGCAGGCTACTATGTCGACTCTGGACCCTTGCCTGCAATGACAAGGTCCTCCCTCATATTATACTACATTGCACATGTAGTAGCTACTGGATTACGTCGTGAATTCAGGCCCTTGGTTTTCACTAGGTGGTTGAGGGCAAAGTATATATATACCCAGGCCCCATGTTCACGTGGTAAAATAAATGGAAGCCCTTTTTCCCTAGAAATTGCATGGGTGCACAATAGGTGAAGAAAATGTATAGCTGCTATTGTTGATTCACAAGGGGTTGAGACAATGAGAATGAAAGCACACTATGAGCTCCCTACTGACCCTCTCCTCATTAGGTATTGGAAGTAGTGGGTCCAGAGAGGGTGCTCCAACTGTCCTGTTTGTTCCACTCTCTCCTCTCCCTCCACCCGCCATGGAGTTCCTCGCTGGCCCACCTCCAGCTCTCTCAGTTAGTCACTGCTCTGGGGGCAGACACCGGGACCCCATTCACTGCCTGGCTACACATCAGACACCTCCTCAGGTTTGCCACCTCACTATCTACTGCTTCTGCATACCTATTTAAGTCCTGTGTTTAGGTTCTCCAAGTGTGTGTGTGTACTGTAGACAGTCAATCAATCTAAGAGGAAGAATGTGTACCAATAACTGGTACTAGGCTCCAAAAATGTATGTATTGTAGACTCTTGTGTATATATATCTCTCTGTCTGTTCTGCAGCCCTCCAGGCTACAAGTATTACCACCACCACCTCCAGTTCCTGGTGGACCTGCTGCTGAGTGACTTCTGGTCTCATGTACACCGGGACAGGTAATGCAGTGCTCTAGTGCAAGAATTGTCGATACACACACACACACATACACACATACAGTAAAGTCTTATCTGGGTGGCTTGGGACGCAGGGTTAACCATGTGAAAAATGAAACCTTTTCAAAGATACACATTACCTCACAGTGAATAGGCGAGTGGTTAAACTGTTTATGTGCAGTTCCATAGCCTGTGCTATATAGCTGAGACTGGGTATCGTATCTCTCACAGAACTGGCACTCCACTGTTTGTGTCAGTATTCTGGAGGTGTCCCAGTGACACTGACTCCATGTCTCTACCAGTGAGACAACTGCTGGACTCCATCTCTCTCTCCCTTCACAACTACACTGCCACCCAGCCACAGGTAAACCACAATGACTGCAACAAGATTCACACACGTGTGTGCGGCATACAAAACTGTAAACTTCGTTTCCATTTCGTGTATTTACGGTTACAAAAACATTACGGTGTGTCTGACAGACAGATCCTTCTATACATATCTACAGCTCCAGGTTCTTCAGTCCCAGCTGGCACTGCTCTTCCTGGTCATGACTACCTGTAGTGAGGCAGTAGACCAGTTCCTACAGCTCTCCCTCAAACTAACCAGCCAGCAGTTTCTCCTACTTGCCGGATCCCTACACCCAATTTCACTGGTCGAGAAACTCTATCAGCATCGCTACCTTCGCTCCAGAGGAACTACGAGAGACACAGAGGCTGTAGATGTGTTCTACACCAATGGAAAGGTGCTCCCAGACATTGGAGTACTCAAGCTATCCAATTCAGTCTCTCCCTCCACACAGCTGTCATTGGCTATTGTCTCTGTTTTGAAGGAACTGCAGTGTAGCACTGTGCCAGCTAATGGTCACCCCAGTAGTTCACAACCACCTGCTCCTAACACTGCCACAATTTGTACATCTACCACTGCTCCGGTTCACCAGTCACCAGCTAACACCGCCACAGCATCTGCCACAGTTCATTCATCTCTGGTTCAGTCACCAGCTACTACTAACGCCCACATTCCCCACAAGTTTTACTCCCCAGCTAAGAAAAAGCCTTCGCCCACAGTCACATATCCTCTCCGTCCTCCAGCTGCAACTACTGTGCCTCCACTGCACAGAACCAAGGGGAACTGCCAGCAGTTTGGAAGAAGTAGCAGTACACAGCCCCGGGCTGCCAAACGATGCGTAAACTGGGGGACAGCCTCGGCCGAAAAGAAGCGCAGATTGCTGCAACCTGTGGGCACTGGTCGGGCATGCGAGAACTGCAACATTGGTACACTCTCGTGTCACCGCTGCAAGACGTGATGATGAGACAATGAACCCTGGGACAATTATCACTCATATAATCATGGATCACATCTTGTTTTCGTGTGTGCGTCTTTTTGCCAGTCTCATGTGTGTTGTGTACTTCATGAATCTTCATCAGCTTCCAACTGTGGAAAAAAACAGACATAAGACGTAAGTCTGAGGTTCGAAACCTCAATCCCAACTTAACTTACACCGCAATGGACGACGAAGAATCGAATCATAAACTAGAGCTAATCTCCGCACGCTAAGCGTTACAATACTGCACCAGTGTTCCCACACAAGTACAGACTTAGCTACTTCAGAACTCCAGTAGCCTGTTCCCAGACCCCTAGACTGCCATTCCAAGTTGCACAAGTGCAGATAGTGTATATATTATATACATAGAGTACAATGTACTTATCTGCGTGAGGCTTTCTCAGTATAGGTGCTATACAATGATTCCATGTTCAAACGTTACCTTAGGGATCTTGACATCCAGGTCTTCACCATACTGGATGGTGTTGTCGATGTAGAGCATGACGTCTGACAGGGCGTCCTCCTCTGCCATGTTGAGAGGTAGGAACTGCACCAGACTGTAGTCACTAATCTGTAGGAGCACACACACACCACACACACTGAGACAGTGAACCAATAGCCATTTATGCACATATGTCGCCAATGAGCTTCCCAGCCCGGGCCTTTCTCGCATATATTTTTGAGAGGTTTTATGTGCTTTTTCCTGCAATAATGGAAATTGCCCCAATTTTCCTGACCAGAGTAACAATGGCAGAATTTAGTTTGTTGTATCTCTTTGACGTCGTCTCACTCAAATCCGACAGCAGTATGGTGGGGTCAGGGGTCAGATACCTGTTGGGGAGGATAAATGCACACGTAAGGACTCTCTCACTCTCGCTAATCACGTGACAAATATCTGGTCGTTTTCGTGTTCAGAAAGTCAGTAATGTATATACATACACAGAAACCTTATTGATATGAGTAGGGAAACTTTAGTTTGTACTTCTACGAGCTGCCTGTAAGCATCGTTTAGTGGTCCATCCACGCTGCCTATTCTAGTCCTGTTTGTAAAGGTGACATAATTAACCATCACAATTCCGCGTAGTTTGCGAAGCGGTGTAAAACCGAACACAACACGTATGCTGCGCGCGAGTTCTATTTTTGTGGGCATTTTATTTCACCTAACTAATCATCAAATTCAATGAGCCTGCACACTGAGCTGTTAGTGCTGGTGCGCCAAAATATCCCCCAATCTTTCTTGTAGGCACAAGGGTGGAAAAATAGACAAACCAACTATGCGTAGTACTTTGAATAGTGTTGGAGTATGGAATGGTAACATCAGCCATCTTGCTGCACCAATCCCAATCTTGGCCAAATTTTGCTGTCCCCTTAAATAAAGGTGTCAACGATCTTGCATTTTTTGTAGGCACAAGAGTGGAAGAAGAAACAAACCAACTATGTGTAGTACTTTGACTAGTGTTGGAGTATGGAATGGTAACATCTGCTATCTTGCTGCACCTATCCCTATCTAGCCCAAATTTCGCCGTCCCCCCTATATTGTATATACTGCTAATGTTGGAGTATGGAATGGTAACATCCGCCATCTTGCTGCACCTATTCCTGTCAAGTTTTAACAATCCTTTCGCCACTGTTTTGCTGTCCCTGTTGCTGTATTCTTACGCACGCACGTTTCTAGTGCGCCGAGCGTTTGCACTTTAATTATCACAGTGACACGGGACACGACTCACTTCTCGTCTACCTCCTTGCGTGATTTCTTGTCGAGAAGGTCCATCTTGGTGAGGAGGTTCACGTGAGCCAGCTCCAGACTCACCATGGACGACAGAGCCGTCATGACACCAGCGACATACTTGCTGGTGCTCACCACAAACTGGGAGTCCAGGAGAAACACAGAGCAGAGACGAAAGTTCCACTGCTGCAGCCTGTCCACCAGTCGCTTCATCAGCGGGATGTGAGTGTACAGCTCAATTTGTCCTGCAGAGTGGAGGGGCTGGGGTAATTAGAGGATGGGGGGCAGTGTGCGTGTTTTGAACAAACTTGCTGTCATGCATATAAACATTACATCTACATAGGAATTAACGTGCACAGCTAGGTTCACAATAGGCGAAATTTGGGCGAGATAGGGATAGGTGCAGCAAGATAGCAGATGTTACCATTCCTAGCCTAACCATTCCATACTCCAACTGTAGTCAAAGTATTAAGGATAGTTGGTTTGTCTCTTTTTCCACTATTGTGCTTACAAAAAATGAGAAATCGTTGACACCTTTATATAGGTGGGACGGCGAAATTTGGGCTACATAGGGATAGGTGCAGCAAGATAGCAGATGTTACCATTCCATACTCCAACACTAGTGAAAGTACTACGCATAGTTGGTTTGTCTCTTCTTCTACTCTTGTGCCTACAAAAAATGCGAAATCGTTGACACCTTTATATAGGTGGGACGGCGAAATTTGGGCTAGATAGGGATAGGTGCACCGAGATAGAAGACATTGCCATTCCATACTCCAACACTAGTCAAAGTACTACGCATAGTTGGTTTGTCTCTTTTTCTACTCTTGTGCCTACAAAAAATGCGAAATCGTTGACACCTTTACTTAGGGGGGACGGTGAAATTTGGGCGAGATAGGGATAGGCACAGCAAGATAGCAGATGTTACCATTCCATACTCCAACTGTAGTCAAAGTATTAAGGATAGTTGGTTTGTCTCTTTTCCACTATTGTGCTTACAAAAAAGCCACCTTTATATAGGGAGGATAACGACGCAACACGGCACAGTGGGACAGGGCAATGCGATGTACTGTGAACCCAGCCCAACTTTTCATCAGGCTCACCAGGACAGTCAAATAGGATATAGTCGTCATCGTATTGCCCCAGTTGCTGCTCCAGCCAGTCCAGGTTCTGTATCAGGTACCTGGGTACAACACATTACACGTCTTTTCTTCACACAAGTGGGGGGCAGTTGTGGTGGAGATATACACTCACTCAACAAAGATCACTTCTATATTATAATTATCATGCAACTTTTGGGGAAGTCATATATATTATACTTCCTGGCATCTTTCCTGGAGAACACACACTCTTAGTGCTCTATTGACAGTGACAGTGACGGAAGGTTATTCATAGGGGTGTGTGTGAGAGATGACCAAGAGTGCAGAAAGAGGTGTATTGACGTCACGGAATATTCATAAGTGTGCAGTGAATCCAGAGTGGACTGGGAAGTGTGCAGGAAGTAAGACATCAGTCCAACCACCGGGTTTCCCTCTATACGCAACTAAGGCAATTCCACAGGAACTTACTGAACCTCAGCTTCAGTTACATCCTTACTCTGTTGCTTTCCTTTTACTCCCTGTTGCTCAATACCATACCACTGAAGTACCGTACTTTCTCATTGACACATAAGGGCGTGGGTCACTACACACAGACCAATCATGTTTGTGCTAATGTATTATTATGCAGATATGTGCACTGCTCTTTGACAAACATGGAGACTATTCCACAAATTCTCGCAGTTGCTAATTGTGCTAATCTCCAGTGGAGCACCTTTTTGGAAATTCACCCTCGTCCTTGGGAAGACACTGCGCTTGCGTGCCATAAGTACAAGAATTACGACATCATACCTAAGAGGTGTACCACATACATGTGTAAATGTGCTGAAATCCCATTGGATATATACCTCAGGGATTCTACCGTTATTACGTAAGATTACATAAGGTTAGCTCACTCGAGGCAGAAGATGAGGCCTCCATTGGGACCCAACTTTAGCTCCTCGTCCTCCATCACATCCTCCACCTGAACTAGATCCCTGATATCTGGAGGTGTGAGGGGGGTGGGGAGGTTAGGGAGGGTGAAAGGAGCTAGCCACTCAAAAGTACTTCACTACCCTTCAAGATTCTACCCAAGCAGACTATGACTTGAAATGATAAACCCTAATGTGTGCCCCAACATAGATTTTTCTACTACTAAAAGTTCTTCTCTAACACGTTTTCATCCTAGTGTATGTGCTAAGCACAGGTACACAGAGGGTTTGGAAATCTTATCATATCCCAGCAGAAACGACTCACCTACCACTGGATCATAGGTAAAATTCTCGGCTGCAGGGTCAAGGTTCACCACGTGGACGGTCCTCTTGGACTCCTGACAGTACTTCACCACGTTGCTGCAGTACGTGGACTGTAGTAGTCCACAGGGAGATGAGTAGCAGAGGGTGGCGGCGGAGGAGAAAAACACACAACTCCGTGAACAAAAGCAAAACACACGCCTACGCGCTAAAGAGCTAGACCAGCAATAGTTTACACTGTCGCTCAAACAAACATTGTGGTTGTTTACTTTTCCACTGCCTGCAGGTCCAATCACTATCTGCCCATATCTCATTCTTCGAAGTCAAGACGTTGGCGAGGCCGTCCTGGCCTCCTCTCTCGATCTCTGCGCTGGTCGTTCTCGCCCGATGTGCGCATGCGCATTAGAACAGGATGCCAATTAATTTGCAGTTGATGAAAGGCTGATAAAAAGACGTTGGTTCACTTGTAGAGCACATTATTTCAAGAAGAAGAGTACGGTGTTAGTAGAAGAAACGCGAGTTGAGTAAGTGCCAGAGAATGAGTGGTTCTGATGAGCGACACGTAGTCCAGGCTCGTCTCCTGGGATCGGACGACTCGTCGAACAAAAACAGGCGAAAGAGCGTGAGTTGAAATAGCTAGCTGTCATCTTCCAACCCTTTCCCGTTTAGCTATGCTTTCTATCTTATGAACATAGCTATAGCTACAGTAGATTAGCTCACTACAACTGTACAGTTCTTGAAAAATCGGCGCTGTCAGTTTTTCTCTCGGCGTCTTCTGCAGGATAAAGAGTTTGCAATCGATATTACTCTGTCGGACGAGAGCAGTTACGTCATATTCAGGACAGTGAAAGAGATAGCCAGCCTCCATGTAAGTCCCTGAGTGTGTTGTGTGTGTTTGCCTCCGTAAAAAAATTGGAAACAGTAACAGTTTGGGTTTCATTTTGCCAGAAAAACACCTAAAAATATAATCATGCTGCAGCAGTAAAACCTTATTCATAGTGAGGGAGGGTGTGTAGCTATATATAATGCCATTGGCAACTGTCCAATACTGTACAAAAAGCACTTGCAAGCTGGTAATGCAGGTAAAACAAAGTGCTGTGCTCTTTTTATGCCCTCGGCTTCTCTTCTCCCACAGACAAAGCTGGTGGCACAATTCCCAGTGGAAGCCGGCTACTTTAACAAGAAGGAAGCGGTCATCCCGAGCTGCCCGCTCAAGATGACCATATTCGGTCCGTCGAGGGTCGTGCGCGAGGACAGGATCTTTGAGAGACTGCTCAATTCCTACATCAAGGAGCTGCCCAGCATGCCCGCCAGTATCGTAAAGAGTGACATCATCAAGAAATTTTTCCAACTGCGTACGTCGGATATGAGTGAACCTGGACAAGCGCCCAAGACGTAAGTAAAACAATGAAACGACTAAAAGTTTGGGACCTCATAGTGTGTCCTTTACTGAGATATTGTGTCCTATATTCAGAGTGTCCCTTATTGGAGGCTCTATTGTCAGTTGTACGTAGATTGCATGAAGAAAAGGGTGAGGATTTGTTTTGTTTTGTTATACAGCTCTAATAACAAGAAGAGGAAAAAGAGCGAGCCAATCAAAATGAGTAAGTCCTCAAACCAGCTTTCTCATACCCTGCATAGCTCATTATACAACTCGTAAGAAACAGTGCTCTATATTATACCAACAGTTACTACCATTTCTCCCTCTTGGCTATGGTATATGTAGCTGCTGATTCTAGCATCACTGGACCGATGAGACTGAGGTCCTACTATGCAGTGGCCTGCTACAGCGACTCCAAGACAAAGTTCAGTTTTGCAGAGGGGGCAGTGCTACAGGTCCTCCAGAAAGACCCAAGTGGTGAGCCATCTACACCTTCAACCACCACTTACTTGCCTTTCGTGTAATGTAGTCTCTGGGAATTTTTGTTTGAGCTGGTGCAAATTTTGGTGTTAGGCATTGCTGGTGGCCTTGTCTGTGGAAACAGATACCAAATGTGTGTGAAACTTGTGGTAAGAAACCCTTGTGGATATCAGGCATTTCCCTCCTGCCTCCTTATAAAGGAAGGAAGTGGTGTCTGCACTATAACCTGCTGATTTGTTGCTTAGCTGTTGAGAGTACACACTTCCTTGTCGGGTTTCCTCTGCCACCTTTTCTCTGAATTATCCTGTTTTACCCTTCACTCTCTCTCACTCATACCTTCCCCCCCCTCCCCTCCCTCCCCTCCAAGGTTGGTGGATGGTGGATGCTAGTGGAGCCCTGGGCTGGGCTCCAGCCTCCTACCTAGTCCCTGTGGACGAGGAAGACATCGCAGAGGAGAAAGAGGAGAACGAGAGACTCATGTCCTCCATGAGAGGTCAGCCATCAAAATCTGTTTTCATGAGGATTTCTCAGCTTGTGTGTGTGTTATGTGAATCCAGGGCCCTTATTTCGTGCCATGCACCACAGAGTAGTCACCAGATCTCTATAAATATCATTATGTGTGTGTGGGTATTGGCAGTCTAGGGTGTAGAGTTACTCTGGCACATAACTTCCCAATCGTATAAGGCATAGCTGTATCCTTACTGAATAGCATCCTTCATGGAGCAATACTTCCTTTGTAGTGGCATGTAGTTTTAGCTCCCTGGGACACCACAACTGGCAATTGCTATTTGGTATGTGGGCAATACCACCATAGTGTTTATTAAGGTGTACTAGAGGCCTTCCTCGATCTACTGTATTATGGTGAATATTATCCCACAGTGGGTGCAAGGTACATCAGCTTGTCGGCCTACCAGGCGTCTCGTGACGATGAAATCAGTTTTGTGAGTGGAGCAATTGTCAAACTCATCAAGAAATATGCCGACGGATGGTGGCTAATCAGGTATGATCATTCACAGCCTTTCCTGAGATCCTTTATAGTATACTATGGACAAATGTGTGTGTATGTTAACAATACAGCATACATAGGCCTATATGGAGCTGTCAACTTGGTGTTCAAGACAGGGATTTACTATTGATTTTCCAGAGTTTAAGTAGTTTAGTATCATCTTCACTGTTGTGGTGTGGTGATGACTGTTATATTGACTCACTGGTGCAGGTACAATGGAGGGGAAGGATTCGTCCCAGGATCCATGTTTCGCAAGTTTGACCGTCGTCAGGGCACAGCCTACGTCAAGAACGTAAGCCCCTCCCCCCCAGCTCTGTATAATATATATCTCCTGATTGTGTCTTGTATGTCCCTATCACTATCCCCACTGCCACCCTCTGTGTTAAGTCCATGCTTTCCCCAGCTATTAAGCACAAAGGGCTGACAAAAGAAAGAGCAATTTCTGACGTTGTCAAACTGAGTCCTAGTGCTCTAACAACCCATATATTGTTACAGGACCCAAAGTGAAAGCACCGTCTTCCCAATTTACCCTGCATTCCTTTGTCGTATGTTTGTTGATGGGGAGGGTGATGCACATGGAACCACAGGGTGTAAACACAAGTCAAGTGCATGTGTCAATCAATTCAACGATACCTATATAGGACAACACCTAGGACAACGTGTGTACACTTTTACCTGTGTGTGTATATACACAATTCTGTTTACAGATAAGGAGAAAGTTCCACGCCCGTAAGAGTACCAGGATCATCCCTACCATGAAGCCCAAGTGGTGAGTCCCACACAATAGGTATATACACTACACAGCAGGGAGCCCCGCATATGGCTCACAGGAGGAAGCTTCTACTATAGAGTTCTGTGGTGCCTATATATGTAGACCTCAATAGGAGGATCGGATGCCACATTTTCCTGTGTGTTACACCTTCACCTCATTCAGGGGCAGGAAGACTTCTCAATAGTTCCATGTACTATATATGTAGTCATACCTTGGGTATAATATAGTGCCGGGAATTGAGTATCATCACTGTGTGTAATGTGGGGTCAGAAGTGTTTATGTTCTCTCCTCCGCAGGATGAATGACAGCACTGCTTCTTCTTCTTCTCCTTCTCCTTCAGGTAATTTGTGTGGCCCATGTGTAATAGTGCATGCATAACACATAGCATATTGATAGTAACATTCAGACTGTAACCAACTTTAAACCCTTCCCTCCCGTCCTGCAGTTAGCAACCTTGTTCTGTACCAGTGCCTCACCAGGTACAAAGCCTCTGACAGTTCGGAGCTCTCACTCAACAAAGACGACATTGTCAAAGTCCTGGACAAGAAGGACCACGGTAACCACACCTACACTCATGCAATAGTATAGTCCTGTATTTTATACCATCTGGTCTCAACAGTAGTCCCACAGTTGGGGGTATGTAGGTAGGCAATACACCATCCAAACTCAGTATAAAGATGCACCAGACTTTTAGTAAGGTTGCTCAAGACATTCTTTAGCCCTTGTAGTTTTACAACTGGCCCTGGTTTCTAGCACTTCCCATATCATTCTAGCTCTTACTTATGTGGGTCTTTCTGTTAGTACCTGGTCAACACAAATGACTGAGTATAGTGTGATAGTATTGCTGGTTCCCAGTTTTGATGGTGGTTCATGTGTCAATTTTGCTGGCCCTCAGTTTTGGCTCTGTGACACAGTGGTTCATTAATGACTGGTCCTCTCTCTCTGACTCCCCACAGGATGGTGGTATGTGGAGGACATGCACGGGAGGGCGGGGTGGGCCCCTGCCACTTACCTGGGTCAGGTGGTAGATCGCAGCAAGAAGAACACCAACCCTCGTCAAAACACCATTGTTGGTGAGTCCCATCTTTAACAATGCACAGTGGGGGGGCTGTTGAAATTCCAAAAGTCATTGCAGGCATTCCTTATGGCCCCTGTATTTGTTCATATGTGACCTTACAGGACCTGCTTTTCACATTTCTATGCATGTATGACTTGGAGATAACAGGGGAATTCGTTGTAAAGTGATAGCATTTTGAAAGTATGCTCTTAATATCTGTCTTAGTGTGTGTGGGGGGCATAAAGCAACGCAATGTGTAGATACTGATATAGCCTTACATACCACATAAATAACATGCACGCTCTCACTCCTCCCTCCCTCCCTCCCTCCATGTATATACCTCCTCTCTCAGGGTCAACACGAGAGGTTCGCCAGTCCTACACGTCGCAGCAGAAGGACGAGCTGTCGGTAGTGAGCGGAGACAAGGTGACTGTACTCTCAGCCCCTGATGACGGCTGGTGGGTCGTATGGTGAGTCTCCTCCACACTACCACAATACATAATACGCCTTCACTCCTACACATACGTACGTAGCTCTGTTGAGATATCATCTTGCATGAAACAACATGTGTATAGTGAATGACAAAAAAGGTTTTAAAAAACTACCACAATCTTTCCTCTATTCTTTACACATACAGACACAGACTAAGGGCGCTTTATGGGGAGTATTTGTGTAGCGTCTTGAATTTTGCCCAATTTTTTTGGGAGATTTCTCGTCAAGTTCCCACTATACGTGCAGTCTCTGGGACTTGCACTTCAGCCATATGTATGTCAGCATGGGCCACATGCGACAAACTTACATTTACCCTTAGGCCAACAAGCTTACATTTACCTAAGGCCACGTACTCTCCTCTCTGTGAATGGACCCAGGTAGCAGATAGACATTTCCTTATTGGTCTAGCAGGTCTGTATCTTACTACGGCCTCTGTGTGATCTGGACTATTATGCTTGCCAGGAAACCAACAATACTCGCACATAAACATGCAGTCATGTAGTGTGGTATAGCATGACCTGTCTTCCTTGCCCCCCATATCATATAACCCTTGTTCCTAGCCCCAGCACTGGCTATTCCCCCTGTAGCACTTTAGTGTGAGCTGCATTGACTTGTGTATATACAAACAATGCTTTCCTCCTTCAACAGATACACTTCACCATTTTACAACATCCGTTTAAGTTCAGTATTCTAACTTTCAAGTAGCAATTTTTTGCTTGTATAGTCAACAAAAAGAGACAAGCCTGTAATAGTTCAAGGAAATGTCCTATCCTTCTATCTGTTTTCACTCTCCCTTCCCCTCAATCCCTTACAGCAACATGTCCAGCATGGAGCAGGGACTTATTCCATCCGTGTGCCTTAACGAGGTGACCTCTGACCCTTCGGAAAAGGGGCAGGAGCCATCTGCAGAGCTCCTTGAGAGTATCAAGGAGCTGTCGGAGGCCCTGGAGTCTCAGGAGAAGGAGACAGAGGAGGCAAGCGGTGGCGGGGAGGAGGAGGAGGAGGGAGAGGAGGAAGAAGAGGAACAGAGTGAGTGGGAAAGGGATCAACTGGTGGGGCTATCGCGTGTACTGTTAGCCTTGGTTCAAAGATCACATTAAAATAGTAAGGGATAAGGCTGTATTCACTGTTACATGGCCATCACTGGGATGACACAGGTTTTCTTTCTGGAGGCTGTACTAAAGTGTTGATACGGGACACGTAGCCTCAGTGCACGGGCATAGAGCGACACATTTTGACGATTATCCTGGTTTGTGACACACCTTATCTTGCAAGCATAAAGTCTCAATAGACACTAGTACTCACGAATCAGTAGCGTTTGCGCTCAAAACTGATTGCGTTTTCTCTCTGTATCTCCAGACATCTCGGACAGCTACAGCTACGGTTCAGACGTAGAGGAAGAGCTGATGATGGACGGAGCGTGCTACATCTCTACCACCTCCTATCACAAACAGGCACAGGACGAGCTGAGTATCCACGAGGGTCAGGTGGTCTGTGTCGTTGACGATTCCGACAGCAGTGAGTCTTGATACTACGACACACACACATAGATATAAACTGGCGAGTATTATACACGTGGCGAGTGAACGTGAGAATGCGGCATTAACGATCGCATCTATTATGAGTTACGTAAAACATTACGGTATGGCAGACAGCAATAGAGAACAGCTGGGAAGACCCAGTTGCTCAACTAATTATCGTTCTGGAAACAATATTGCACTTGGGAGTCTTTCAGTACACTGGGCTTGTACATACTGCCATTGAAATCAACTTTAGTTAGCTAAAACACTATGATTACTGATTACTGATTACTGCGGTTGTGCAAATCAATTTCGGCTAGAACCAGTTTGCACACTTCAAATACTGAGCACCATGTGCGTGCCATCCATAGATGCATAATGTATATATCGTCGACTTTACCACTCGCCCACCTGCAGGCATGTTCTATGTGATGGTGGACGGGAAGGAAGGCTGGGTCCCTTCAGACGTCCTCAAACTGACGGCAGGGACTGGAGGCTGGAGCATGTCTTCCTCCATGAACTCCCTCAACTCTCGCGGTCGCTCCCACTCACGCAGCGTGTCCCCCATGCCCAGTCGCTCTCCCAGTCCAATGGACCCGGCTGATTTTGTCACTGGTGATTATACGTACATCACTCCTCCTCTGACTTCCCTTCTCCTTCTCCCTCCTTGACCTTCTTATTTCCTTTCTCTCTCTCTCTCTCTCTCTTTCTGCCAAACATATATACAGTGGCATAAAAGAGGATAAACTTTCTTATCTGAGCAGATCGAGTCCCTGCATTCCCATGCATAATATTAACCTGCGCTATTATCAACATTAAGTCCTGACATCTCCCCTAATATAAAAATACAACAGGTTTCAACATCAAAATCCCTCATATTATGACTACTGTGTGTCTATCTCTCTCTCTCAGGAGACAAGCATCTGACACATCAGGCCTCCACATCATCGACACCCAGCAAGGCCTACCTCCGTCCCATCCCACGCAAGCGCCAGATGGCCACACGCACCAAGAGCCTCGAGAATGTGGATCATGAAGTCGCCTCCATCAACAACAGGAAACTATGTGAGCAGCACCTCTGTCGCATTGTCTGCCATAAATACACACTTGCTTTATATTGAGAGGTTTTCAGACTACGTACCAGTAAATTCTGGACCAGGAAAAAGGGAAATAATTATAATTATGGCATAACAATAATGTTTTAAATCCAATAAGTGGCACTGACTTGTTGGTAATATTTGGCATATGCATTCTCTGATTGGTAGTGCACCTGAATGGATACCAGGTAGCTTTTAAAGGAGTGATATTTGTAGTTTCAGAGCCAACTGCGGCCAACAGCCAAACAGGTGGAGACCATTTTGTAAGGCAGAACAACCAGTCAGCGAAAAAAAACAGCGAAAGTTTGCCACCAACTTTGACCTTGAAACATCTAGGCTCTAATGGCACACACATATAACGTGCCACCGTATATATATAAACACTGTTATTATGCTGCGCAGCGACATCGAGTACAGTCCAGATCCACGTGGAGGAGGAGAGGGAGCTAGATGAGGGAGCCAGTGCGGAGGACATCGAGCAGGCGGCCCTGGAGGCAGAGAGACAGGCCCAGGAGGCCCAGCGGAGGGCAGCTGATCTGCGTGAGAGGGCACAGAGAGTACGGCGCTCCATCACCCCTTCGGATTAGATAGCAGTGCAGCAGACAATCAGCCAGATACCACATAAACATGACAGAATTAATTGTGTATGTATAGACAGGGTAAAAAGCTATGATATTAATCGTATGACGTATAGATTCATTTTCATACTGCCAAAGTCATCCAGTGTGTATGTGTGTGTGTAATATTATCGGAACTGTACATTTATGCTGCATGTGATGACTACGAGGTAGAAAGGCAAAGGCACAACAAACAAGTCAACTACATACATCACCTATGGTTTTCATGACATTATAGCTAGAAAACCTATTTCTTGCAGCCGCCAAGTTGGCGCACTCAATTCCAGACTTGTACTGCAGTATAATACATTCGCGCATACTGTGTGTGTGCATGCATTCATGCATGCAGTTTGCACAATTTTGGCATTCACAATAAATGGAGGCATAAAAACATTATTGGTATTCTATGTGTATGAATGACCATCACGTAAAGCAGTTCATAAGTTGTGCTACATACTTGTGTTCACTTCCGAAAAATGTCTTATAGCATTACACTGCAGTGTAGTCACATCACAACACAATACAATGAACATCTAAAGTGGTGAGATAGATGAATGGAGGTGATCTCAGTCTCAGAGTGTGGTGTGAGCCTGTCTGAGCTCAAAGTCAATGACCTGCGACACGTTGAAGTCGACAACTCTGTGCATCTCACTCACCAGGTCCTGTGAGCTCCTTACATCCTGTGTGTGTGTTGTGAGTCAGTCATGTTGTGTGCAGGTGTGTGTGTGTGTGTGCAGAGAATGGGGAGCGCGGGTAATAGGGTAATGAAAAGCACTAAAGTGCAAACCCTCGGCACACTCTATAGAAATGTGGAACCCATACACAAGTGTGGCACCACCACTTGACCATGCATAAAAAAGAACAGCATGTTATGCACCATTTCCATGGATTATTATCAATAGGTTGAAAAAATGGCCAGCCCTATATCTGTTTGAGGCCCAAAAATATATATAAGGTTGAAAAATTGGCAACCTTTCATCTCTCTATTAATTTTCGTATTACCCGTGGATTGTTTAGTGCATAAAAAATTTTTAAAACCCAAGGTTTTAAAAAAACTGCCAGCCCTTCATCTCTCCAGACAGACGTCTACGGACGCAGTGCAATGCCGAACTATAAGGGGAGGAACCAGAGCTGTTCCCAGCCAATGCTCTGGACCACCTGACACTTTAGTGCGGGATCGAGGATTCGAACCGGGCACCTATGGTGTCAGTCCCCACGACTCTAACCACCTAGCCACTCGGGCTGGCCTTGAGAGGTGATGAAAAAACGTTCCAGTTATACACCAACAGCCAACACTCCTATATATTACATCATTGTAAAAAAAGGCGCACACCCCCCGGGATCGAACCAGGATCTCACGATCAAGAGAGGGGGTGCTTATCCATCAGACCCCCAGTCCCCCACCCCCATTACTTGATCGAATGGTAAATTAAAGTGCAAACCCTCGGCGAACTGCGCATGCGCGATACAGCTAATGGATGGACTGGGCTATTGGCGCGGTCTCCTGCTAGTATATAGCTCGCGGAGAGTCTGATACGGGCTAGCTACGGTAGTAGATAGCACTGCGGGAGTCGATACACACCCTTCACTGTGGCTTCATGTGCCTCCAAGGTACACAGAGCAAGCAGATCAGCGGTCGAGGTGCCGCGCCGGTGAGCGCGTCTAATACACGCATGCGCACCGCTTATTGATGGGTTGGGCCACGCCGCCCACGCAACTACCGTGCCAGTTTGTCGCTCTCGAACGCAGTCGTTTCAGCAAAATCGCCATTTAAATTTTCTAGCCCCTGTACCGCTAAAGCTGTTGGTATCGCTCATAAGCCGCCTCGTTGCCTGCAGTGTCGTAGACAGACAGACAGACACAGTAACCCTCGCTGCGCATGCGCGCCGAGGGTTAACATTAAAAGTTCAACACTGTGGCAAACGCATGGACCCATCATGCCAATACCATGCACAGTACAATGTATTGCCGAGCAAATTTGAGTGTGAAACTTTCAGCGTTATTATGGAATAGACAATAGATAACTGTGCAATTTGGATGACTAGGTGGCATTATGGGCTTACTTCACTCACTGATAACACAGAAATGCTCAAAAGCAATGTAGATGCACTAATACAGCAATGTACGCTAGGGTAGTGTTGTAAGGTAATGAGACCTTGAGAAAGCTCTTGCTGAGGTTGAAGAGACGAGTGTAGCATTTCCTGAAACAGACATGGTCTCTTTTCATTCCCTGCCTCTTGAGAGCTCCCACCACTATCTGCTCCAGTTTCTGAATCACACACACCACACAAACAACAGATATCATAATTATATATACACAGGCTCAAATGTACACACCACATAACCAGAAAAGGTTACACTCCACATTTACAGTCTAGTTTAGGCAAAATCACCACATTTGCTCTGTGAAAGAAGTGAGACCTTATGCACACTGCAACAAGGTGAAATTTCACTACAATTTTGTGTGTGTGTGCCTAGGTTCTCAAATGGTACACAAGTCACCTTCTTATTTGCCTTCCCCCTGTCAGAGGCTGACTGGTGTCTGGATGATGACTTCCCTTGGCCAGAAGAGATCCACTTGTTCTTGCGAGGGCTCCTCCTCAACCCACTGGTCTCAGGCAACATTACGTCACCACTCGGAGGCAACACTAGGCCACCAGCAGACGATGATACTTGTTGGGAGGAAGTTTGCTCTGCTGCCCCACTAGGGGTCCCAGCAAGAGGCTCCTTCTTCAGAGTGAGTTCAATCCTATTACGAGGAATTCTGTGCAGCCCGGGCTGTGAGCCACACACACCACTAGTTGATCTTCCCTCCCTGATGTGGAGTTGGTCCCCCGTGTGGTGTAGCAGGTCTATGGTGTCTAGTATGTCATTGGTGGCACTGGTGGCAGCAGGTATCAACTCTAGCAGTGACTTGTTCCCCATTGGACTTGCTGGATCGGTCTCCATTCCCTCAGTCTGAGGCTGCTCCTGCTCTGAACCAGTCTCACAGTGTTGCCAACGATGCTCCCTAGTTGTTGTACTGGAGGTAGAGTCCCTGGATATCAGGGCGGAGAAGAGGCTCGCAGGTCGAGAGGTGGACGGAGGTGTCTCAACCTTGTGGAGTTTTACAACTGGACTCTTGTTGAGTCTGATACCAGTCGAGAGTGTCGAAGCTCGACTGGGTGTGGTGGGGTCTGCAGGTCTCGATGCCACTTCAGTTTCTTTGAGGACATTTTCGCCAGGTTGCTTGGCTTCTTCTTCTTCTTTTGCCCCTCCTTCTCCTCCATCTCCCTTCTCCCCCTCTCTCACAGTTAGCACCAGCCTCTCCACCTCCTCTGTAACCCCACTCATCCCTTCATCCACTACCAACCTCCTCCCCACCCTCCCTCTTCCTCTCCCTGCTCCCCTTCCCCCTCCTCTCCCTCCCTCCCTTGCCCCTTCTCTCACTTCTTCTTTTCCTCCCCCTCCCCTCTCTCCTCCTTCCTTCACTTCCCCCTTCCCTCTTCCCTCTCCTTTACCCCCAGTCTCCCCTCTCCGTAGTCTGCGTCGTCTCCTCTGTTCCAACTTGACCTCTGGAGTGTTTGAGGAGCTGCAGTTGCTTGCTCGCTCACTCAGGAGGTAGCGCTGTTGGATCCTTGTCAGTCTGGCGTCCATCACAGAGTCCTCTGGCTCCAGACAATAGCTACACTCCACGCAAGAAGAGAAAAGAAAAGATTCAAAGCAAACCAATTGCTAGGCTTTGAATAGGCTTGAATAGGCTTTAGAAGTGTAAATTGTACTTTGGCAAATCAAGTTTCAAGTTAATTTTGGACTTTTTTGGAAGTAGACACCAACATTCAATTCAATTAGCAAACAGACACTGCTTACTTCACTCCATGGTAGCGTTTCTTTCTCCCAGGAGTTCCAGCTGCAACAGTCTCAAACGATGGCACGCCACCTGAAGCTATGCACACGTAGTAGCAAAGCATACTCAAAAGTTGTGCTTAGAATCGGCAGATTTATATAATTCTTCTATATATGTGCACCAACATTATTATTCACAATGACTACCACAATGACTGTATATTATACTGAGGATGGAAACTTGAGGCAAAAAATTGCCAAATGCAACGATTATGGTGTGTGTACTTTATAGCTGCAACTCACGATTTGGGTGCAAGACTTTTGCTACGTCTGAAACATCATTCTGCAGAAGAAAAAGAACATTTGTATGATCAAAGTATTTCAATCAACACACTAATTATGTGTTGCCTTGCATAATACTGCTAAGTATAGTCATGGGATAAAATCCAGTAACTATGTGCTTTTGAATTTTCCCCGCGCAAAAATTTAACTTCAGTTCCCAAATTTATGAACGCTTTCACCCTCAACAATAGTTTCCCCTCTTCACTATAACTGCTATACAGTGTATATATGTGTTTACGACAGACAGAGATGGGAGAGAGTTCAGAGGTCGCGGGAGACCCGGTGTCATGGAAACACTTCAACACGTCCTCCACATTGAGACTGGTCTTGCCGAGTGAGGAGGAAGGAGGCGGGGCCACCGTCTGACCAAACATTTTGAGGTCAGGGGTCGCTTGTCGACTCACATACTTCCTGTGGGTGTGTGTGTACATACATATTATAATGGTGAGCTGAAACACATGGAGGTACTGTATATACCGTACTTATTGGCTGTTGTGGCTGTTGTGGTTGGCTAACAATTTCATGCTGGGTGCAAAATCACCACCAAAGTCTGTGGCCGTTATGCAATATCATGTGAAACTTAGGGGAGCATAAAACAGTACACCGTAGCACATTAATTTGTTGTGTTACACACACTACCAACAACTTACCTCTGTACCCATTCATAAGTAGCAAGAGCCTTGATTTCAGGCCACTCTGATGGCTCCACATCTAGAGCTAGAGAGAGAGAGAGAGACGACCACCGTGGTACAATACCCAGCTATAGACACACACACCAATGGATCACCACTGATCAGGGTGGTGTTTGACAGCCATGGTGTATATATACCCAGCTATAGTAGAGAAAGAGAGACGACAGCCGTGGTACAATACCCAGTTAACAGAGAAAGAGACACACACCAATGGGATTACCACTGACCAGGGTGGTGGCTGGGAGCCTTCCTACAGAACTCATCTAGTAGTTCAGATGATGTCAGGTCTCCCAGATCATACCTGCATACACGCACAAAGTATTTATGACCCTCGCTGTATGCAGATAGAACATACACACACAAAGTACGTATTAATTTTATGCACCTTGCTCTACCATGTTTTGAAAGCACCTGTATCCAACTTTTCACACATGAGAGTAATATTACTGCCTACTGCAGAAGCCTATCAGCACTCATTGTCAACTTAATAACTTTCTCGGACCACCAATTTTCTGGCAGGGTCCCGCCCTTTTTATTCATGTTGAAGGGGATCTAATTGTGCTATTGTACAGGCAGTTAGTACAGTTCTGGTGGTACACTTACTCTCCATCAACTGCCATAGTTTGGCCGTCTTCAGAGACGGTGACAATCGGCAGTTTCAACTTGAGCTCCTTGAACCTGCCTGCACAAGAGGGCAACGACACTGGTAATGATCATGTGTTGTGTTTCATATGCATTATGATTCACACAAGTTCCGTAAAGTGTAAACCTTTGGCCTGTCTATTTTTTCAAACACTCCCACGTAAGGTTTGAGCAATAACTGTTATAGCCTGGAGACAGTGGGAGGGGGTTTCCCCATCTTTAGCTAAACCCCTATATTTTTATGGTACATTGATATGGTATGTACGTATGCCTGTCAGATGACTTACGGACAGACTGAGGTTTGAATCTCCGGAGGTTGATGAAAGGAGAGGCGTTGACAGCGTACGGTGTCCAGAGGAAGGAGGCACAGCAGGAGGTCTCATCGCCTCGCGACGGGAATACTGCCAGTACTGGTCCCGACTGGTATGCCAACAGTGGGGAGGGTTGGCAGGGGCCTGAGGAGACAGGAGATGAACTGAATGCCGCACCACTGGCAAGGAATCGAAAAACAATCTGACGGTAAGTCACCAGTTTTAATGCTGAGTATGATTAATAATCTTTACACTTCACCCAGAGCTAATAAAGTGTGAGAAAAAAGTGTGAAAAGAGTTGGAGGATCTGGGTATCGATCCCAGGGTACCTCTCGCATGCTAAGCGAGCGCTCTACCATTTGAGCTAATCCCCCTTGTTATCTACTCAATTGAATCTCTGACAGACCAACTGCAACCAAAGCAGGAACATACTGAGTACCAGCTACGACTTTAGCAAGAAAGTGGGGAGAAGACAAGACTAATCGACCATGCCAAATGCCTCCACTATAGCTGAAGTGTGCAGATACAGTGGACTAAACTTTTCGTACTTTTAGCAAGCAAGTGGGGAGAAGGACAGACTAACGACCATACCAAATGCCTCAACTATAGCTGAAGTGTGCAGATACAGTGGACTAAACTTTTCGTATTTTTAGCAAGCAAGTGGGGAGAAGGACAGACTAACCGACTATACCAAATGCCTCAACTATAGCTGAAGTGTGCAGATACAGTGTACTAAACTTTTCGTATTTTTAGCAAGCAAGTGGGAAGAAGGACAGACTAACCGACTATACCAAATGCCTCAACTATAGCTGAAGTGTGCAGATACAGTGTACTAAACTTTTCGTATTTTTAGCAAGCAAGTGGGAAGAAGGACAGACTAATCGACCATACCAAATGCCTCCACTATAGCTGAAGTGTGCAGATAAAGTTGACTAAACCTTTTGTACTTTTAGCAAGCAAGTGGGGAGAAGGACAGACTAATCGACCATACCAAATGCCTCCACTATAGCTGAAGTGTGCAGATAAAGTTGACTAAACCTTTTGTACTTTTAGCAAGCAAGTGGGGAGAAGGACAGACTAATCGACCATACCAAATGCCTCCACTATAGCTGAAGTGTGTAGATACAGTGGACTAAACTGTTCGTACTTTTAGCAAGCAAGTGGGGAGAAGGACAGACTAAATGCCTCAACTATAGCTGAAGTGTGCAGATACAGTGTACTAAACTTTTCGTATTTTTAGCAAGCAAGTGGGAAGATGGACAGACTAACCGACTATACCAAATGCCTCAACTATAGCTGAAGTGTGCAGATACAGTGGACTCAACCTTTTGTACTTTTAGCAAGCAAGTGGGGAGAAGGACAGACTAACCGACTATACCAAATGCCTCAACTATAGCTGAAGTGTGCAGATACAGTGGACTAAACTTTTCGTATTTTTAGCAAGCAAGTGGGGAGAAGGACAGACTAATCGACCATACCAAATGCCTCCACTATAGCTGAAGTGTGCAGATAAAGTTGACTAAACCTTTTGTACTTTTAGCAAGCAAGTGGGGAGAAGGACAGACTAATCGACCATACCAAATGCCTCCACTATAGCTGAAGTGTGCAGATACAGTGGACTAAACTTTTCGTACTTTTAGCAAGCAAGTGGGAAGAAGGACAGACTAACGACATACCAAATGCCTCAACTATAGCTGAAGTGTGCAGATACAGTGACTAAACTTTTGTACTTTTAGCAAGCAAGTGGGAGAAGGACAGACTAACCGACTATACCAAATGCCTCAACTATAGCTGAAGTGTGCAGATACAGTGGACTAAACTTTTCGTACTTTTTAGCAAGCAAGTGGGGAGAAGGACAGACTAACCGACTATACCAAATGCCTCAACTATAGCTGAAGTGTGCAGATACAGTGACTAAACTTTTCGTACTTTTAGCAAGCAAGTGGGGAGAAGGACAGACTAACCGACATACCAAATGCCTCCACTATAGCTGAAGTGTGCAGATACAGTGACTAAACTTTTCGTACTTTTTAGCAAGCAAGTGGGGAGAAGGACAGACTAATCGACCATACCAAATGCCTCCACTATAGCTGAAGTGTGCAGATAAAGTTGACTAAACCTTTTGTACTTTTAGCAAGCAAGTGGGAGAAGGACAGACTAACCGACTATACCAAATGCCTCAACTATAGCTGAAGTGTGCAGATACAGTGGACTAAACTTTTCGTATTTTTAGCAAGCAAGTGGGGAGAAGGACAGACTAATCGACCATACCAAATGCCTCCACTATAGCTGAAGTGTGCAGATAAAGTTGACTAAACCTTTTGTACTTTTAGCAAGCAAGTGGGGAGAAGGACAGACTAACCGACTATACCAAATGCCTCAACTATAGCTGAAGTGTGCAGATACAGTGGACTAAACTTTCGTACTTTTAGCAAGCAAGTGGGGAGAAGGACAGACATACCGACTATACCAAATGCCTCATCTATAGCTGAAGTGTGCAGATCAGTGGACTAAACTGTTCGTACTTTTAGCAAGTAAGTGGGGGAGAAGGACAGACATACCAACGATACTGAATATCTGGACTAAAGCTGTGGCAAGGGTTTAAGCTGACAACGAACCTAGCCACAGTAAACATGCGACAGGGGAGGGAGGGAGAGATTCAACTGACTGTTGTCGAGGTCTTGTTCCTGGAGTGACTGGAGATGATTGTTCCAGTCTGACGTGGTTCTGTGTCTCTGCGGTGGACGCTTGTCATCGTCTTCATCAGCATAACACAGGCGAACCAGTAGCCCACCACCCTGCAGCCATTGTTATAGTATGTGCATACAACACCATAGTAGAGTGAGCTCGTTTCGAATTGACCAATCAGATTGCAAAGCCACCATAGTAGTTTGTACGTGTGTGTAGGTCTGAACTGACTTTCTTTCTGAAGAGCTCTGGAAACAGTAGAGCAGAGTCCTTGTGATTTCTATTGCGAAGAGATCTGGTCACGAGTGTTAAGACCAAATTCGTCAACATGCGTGCATTGCAAACTAAGGTCAAGACTAACTTACAGCACGTCCTGAAGTGGAGTCTATGTATTGTGAACCAGCTTTTGGGATACTAAAGTGCATAAACAGAAATTACTCTAGTGTGACATTTTACGAGTATGGTTTTGCTGATCCTCAGGTAATAATAAATGCGATTTTGATATCAGTATAACAATAATATAGTGTGCACGTTTAAAAATGCCATTTCGCTTGGTTTCGCAAAATATAGTATTGCCACACAAAGGTATATGTATATACGTAGCTGTATTGGGGATACAGGGTGCAGGTGAATGGAGAGAACAAGAAGAGAGGGATGGTTGACACGTCAACCAGTTGAACCACCTCCAGATGGGTGGGCGTGGCACCTGTCTCCGGGAGACCCACGTCTCTCAGGACGCGGGATGCGGAAGTGACGATGTCATTACGGGGAGCAGTGATGTCATCGTCGGGGAGAAGTGTCGGAGATACGTCGCTACCGTCACTAGGGAGGAGGTTACGGGGTCGGAGTGCGAGGGAGAAGCCATGGAACACCAGCGTCTCTCGACTGGCCTGTTTCATTGCGGTCTACCAATAACAAGACAACACGTATCATCATGTACAAGTAAACCGACCCTACCTATAATTATTACTATAATTATAATAGTACGGTAAAGTAAGTAATAGTGAAGTAAGTAATAGTAAAGTAAAGTAAGTAATAGTAAAGTAAGTAATAGTAATAGTATAGTAAAGTAAGTAATAGTACAGTAAAGTAAGTAATAGTGAAGTGAAGTAAGTAATAGTAATAGTGAAGTATAGTATAGTAAAGTAAGTAATAGTGAAGTATAGTAATAGTAATAGTGAAGTATAGTAATAGTAATAGTGAAGTAAGTAATAGTAAAGTAAAGTAATAGTAAAGTAAAGTAATAGTAAAGTAAAGTAAATATTATGTATAGTAGTCTGCAAATCATGATAGAGTTTTCACAGTTTGACCCCTGAAAACTATGTGTCTGGAAAGTTGAAAGGATCTTTTTTAAAGCGTGGCTACAACGATGCTCACGCAACTGAATTTGGAAGTCAGTGCTGTACACGTAATAGAAGTACATGTAAGAATCACATATGTAAGTCAATGTAGTAATGGAAGTGTATGTACATATTGGAGGCTGGTCTCTGAAGCACCAATGCAAAGAACTTCACACAAACTGTCAGTGAAGGTGGAGTGAATTAATGCATACCCTCTGCTCAGTGAAGTGGAGACTGCCTCTCCATATGTCCTCCAGTCCGTGTGTCCACTGGTCAGCACTGACGACTCTAGCCTTTGCCACCTCATGCCACTCCTCACTGTGTACCATGATACGTATACACACAACCAATAAGACCATTCATTGATGGTTTTACAAATATCTCTGCCACCCATGCAGCGAAATCTTACACAGATAGTTCACAAATCGACAAAAGATTAAACTTTACTACCCCCACACGATAATGAGAGATCACAAACAAACACACACACACACACAACTACCTGCTCTCCCCTCTACCGCGGCAGCTGGCCACTATCTGGAGCTCCACGTTATGCCACAGTCTCAGACGCAATAGGGCCCCAGTGAGTGATGGGAGAGAGCTACACAAAAACATGTCAGAGAGAGGGGTTAAAGTAAAAAACCATGTCAGAGAGGGGTTAAAGTAAAAAATGTCAGAGAGGGGTTAAAGTAAATAAACATATCAGCGAAGGGTTAAAGAGAATGTGGCAGGCTAAACTTAGAAACAGTATGCATTCTTTCACTGAGCTCTATCGCCATATTGTAGCTCCTATGTATTATACTGTCACAAGCACATGTCTTTGAGTGAAAATCGATAGTGAGTTACAAATGGAGACTGCATGTACATACGTACCTTGGGCAAGGGACCTGTTCTTCTCCCACCAGCCAGTGAACATCAGTGATACTGTTCTCTGTACGAAACCAGTGCACAAAAACCTCAATGGGGGATATAGCATCAATGGCTTCCACATGAAAACATGACGTAAGATAGCTTCCCTAAGCCAATCTACGTAACTGCACAATCCGGTGATATTCTGAGAGGGCACGGCAGTTTAGTTGGATGTGATATTGAGGGACTGCAAAAATATTACGCAAGATGATTAGTTTGACTTAGGTGAATCTCATTGCGCAATCCCGCAATAATGAGGGTGTGTGATAATTCGAAAATATTACGCAACACGATTAGTTTGGCAGCGGAATTGAAACCGAGATTTGTCTCAGTTACTGAGCCATACTTCACTACAGCACTGGCTTTAATCGTGGTTAATCAGGAGGCATTTGGTGAGATACTTCGTAACGTGATCTATGTCGTGTATGTGGCCTACCACATAAGTGTCGAGAGTCTCATTTGTCCGTATGTACGTACGTATGTGAACGCGATCGAAGGCGAATGATGCTTCTTTCTTAGCCGGTGAGTGTTTTAGTAAAATTAGCTAAAATTTCTAGAGTTACCCATGTAAGTCAATGGTAAACCAACACAGCCAGCCACAGTACTAGGTGCCCTAGACCATGAACCAAGAGCACTGGGTGGAGTCAATAGTACATGTACACACATTGACAGGTTTCTGTGCTATGGCACAGAGTACGGGGTTTGCCTTGTGCCTTTTTTGAGCCCAGCTTGCTGAGTTGCCCTGGTACGTTGCTCAGTGGTGGAGAGAAGGGAGTGTCGTGGGTCGAGTCAGGGCAGCTCTTTGTTCGGTGTTGTCCTGGGTGTAGTTGATACCCACTTGCCTTGTGTTTACACCTTCTGGTGGAGTGTATCTACGTACCTCAACTACTAGTGCCCCCAGGATTCCCTCCCAGTTCCCCAGACAAAGTATGAGACTGGGACTGTTGGTATGAGACTGGGACTGTTGGTATGAGACTGGGACTGTTGGTATGAGACTGGGACTGTTGATATGAGACTGGGACTGTTGGTATGAGACTGGGACTGTTGCTGGGATATTCACCTCAGGCTACTTCACTTCAGTCTAGATAGAGCCTTTGCTTCTTTCATGCAAGCCGTTTGAGGCTGACACAATACATAAGGATGGGATTGAGGACAACATAGTCCTGGGGCAATCCCCAGGAGACTGGCGCTACAACTACTCATACATCCAGGGAATCTTGGGACAGTTGCAACTCATTGTACAGTGGAAATGCCTGCACGTGGTAAGGATAAGCTTCACATTCCAGCAGCAAATGTGCAGCACGTGAGAATAGCTCATTTGCCTGCCAAACGCGGGGAGTCTTTAATACAAGTGCGGCGGGTGGAATCCTAGTCCATTGAGCGAGGAATCACACTTGGGACTACCAGCGCAGGCTTCAGTACGACATCAGCTAAATATGTCAGAGGAGAAGGGTTCGTTGTGCCAATATATGGCAAAAGGATATTATATCACTCTCATAGGGGCATGATTTACGAGGGGTCACAATGTATGCGGTGCATAGTAAAAGGTGATAATGGCTTCTGATGACAGCTTTGTGACTGCGTATCAGCTAACAGCGGGTGCGTGGTACAACTGACAACACGGCAGCGTCAGCCTGGGGCCATAGATCATATATGCAACCAGAGGAGTGGGTGGATCGAGCCAAGATGTAAAGCCTTTTGCCTTGCCTTGCGACCTCATCGCTGACATGCACAAGTAGTCTCGTGCGTAGGACCGTTCTCAAGGGGAGAAGGAATCGGCAGCACACGAGACTAATGCAAATGTGATCACGTAAACAGTAACTGTAAGACCAACACATTGTTCTTGGTAGGCAAGTACCGTGGTTTTATCCCAGGTTCTCTAATTGCTTTACTGTGTCTACAACTCTTCTTGTCTCCTGCCTGCCCAGAACACACCAGGCCCATCAACTTCCATGCTCAGAAAGAACCAGAGGTTCTCGACGATTTGGAGAAAAGTGGGGAAGAGCCCAAGAGGCCAAGCTCCATTGAACCAGAGGAAGACTTTGAGACAGTGCCTCAACAAGGTGAGTAGGAAAGGGCAGCACACGAGACTAATGCAAATGAAAAAGTAACTGTAAGACCAACACATTATTCTGGGTAGGCAAGTACCGTGGCTTTATCCCAGGTTCTCTAATCGCTTTACTGTGTCTACCGTGTGTATTAGTACATGCTACTCTCCTTGTCTCCTGCCCAGAACGCACCAGGCCCGTAGACTTCCCTGCTCAGAAAGAAACAGAGATTATCGATGATTTGGAGAAAAGTGGGGAAGAGCCCGCCAGGCCAAGCTCCATTGAACCAGGGGAAGGCATGGAGACAGAGCCTCAACAGGAAGGACAGCATGAGATCCACCTACAAGCTCTACCGTACTACAATATCCAACAACCAGATGTCAGTACGGACTCGGAGGTGAATGCGAGTGGACCAGTTCATGGGCTGGCTTGAAGCAAGACAGGGAAAGGAACAGTATTTCATTTGGACAGTACATACCTCTTGAAACTGTGAGAACCGGAAAGTAGAACTAAGTGCATGTGTATGTAATTTGCAATTAGTTGGCTTCTGTTAACCTGGGACTACACATTACTATTGAAAGGGGTTCTAGCAGTGGGGAAGTCCCGGGTAAACCCCCCAATAACCCTTGGCTATTACCTCTCTGTTGTACTAGTGTACATCCTGGGCACAGTGTATGTGAATAATAGAGAGCACGCTCATGCAAGGTCATCAGAGAAGCAATAGGTCACTCATTCTCAGTTGTTTCCTGCTCTTTAGCTTGATGCACTAAAGTCAGTCTTTACTCTAAAGCACTTTGATCACTGAGTAGAGGACACGGGCAAAGACCTTTCCATCCACAACTACGTATGAAAATCTTTGCCTGAATACAGATAGACACATAGAAACTATCCATAGTGGCAGAGTGGCAATGTGCGTAACCCTCAGAGCAAAAAACATTGTTGAAAAATGTTAGTCAGTGTCAGTTTATCGCTCCTTATGGGCTGGCTTCATTTCGCAACACTGGGCTCAATATTCGCCCTTTTCGTGCCTTATAAGGTATGTACACTGGCAAAGGCAGGTCAAGAAAGCTCTAATATTCGTTCACAACACGTGAAATTTTTGTTTTCAGGAAAATCTCAATCTGGCATTGAGGTTGCTGGTATTGAGCTTTTAGTCACCTTGCACCCTTAGCTTACAAAATAGTAATCACACAAACCTGACTATTGCAGTGAATGCAGACCAAGGTTCAACAACAGTGATAGAGATTACCTCCAGGTGTCCAGGGAGGGTAGTCCAGTAGAGTATGGAGCTGACCAGCTACCACATCCATTCCTCTGCAAACACAATACATTACTGGCTACTTTTAGCAAGGACCGTTGCTTACATAGTGAATGAATACTAGTCATAAAGTTTAGTCCATGTAACTGGTGAAACTCTGCAAAATGGGTAGTCTTGCACAGGCTCACCCTGCACTGCTTTAATAAGAGTGTGTACGATTTGGCATTTGTTGTAGGCACAAGAATGGAGACAAACCAACTATGCGTAATACATCGATTAGTGTCGGAGTATGGAATGGTAACATCTGCTATCTTGCTGCACCAATCCCTATCTTGGCCAAATTTTGCTGTCCCACCTATATAAAGGTGTCAACGATTTCGCATTTTTTATAGGCACAAGAGTAGAAGAAGAGACAAACCAACTATGCATAGTACTTTGACTAGTGTTGGAGTATGGAATGGTAACATCTGCTATCTTGCTGCACCAATCCCTATCTAGCCCAAATTTCGCCGTCCCACCTATATAAAGGTGTCATTAATTTCGTATTTTTGTAGGCACAAGAGTAGAAGGAGACAAACTAACTATGCTTAGTACTTTGACTAGTGTTGGAGTATGGAATGGTAACATCTGCTATCTTGCTGCACCAATCCCTATCTCGCCCAAATTTCGCCGTCCCACCTATATAAAGGTGTCAACGATTTCGCATTTTTTTTAGGCACAAGAGTAGAAGAAGAGACAAACCAACTATGCGTAGTACTTTCACTAGTGTTGGAGTATGGAATGGTAACATCTGCTATCTTGCTGCACCTATCCCTATCTCGCCCAAATTTCACTGTCCCTCCTAAGAGACTTGAAACTGACTGCAGTAGTAAAAGTATATATGACCTGCTATTGGATTGGGCTGTTGTTGAAGCTGACTCTGAAACAGGCTGCTGCTCTCCAGTAGCCATTGGTAGCGTGTCTTGCTCATCCACGAACCTCTACTCTGCCCCTCTGCCTTGTGCTCAATTTCCGTTGCCAGCAATATTGAACCGGGCATCTCTCCATCCCCTAATTCAGAATCACGGTGTAACTTAGCCGCAGGATCTTGTGATGGAGCATCCTTTGGTTGTGTGCTCTGTGATCCCACACTATGTGGCAACTGATCTCTCTCTATCAGTGGTGCAATTCCATGGGGTGCTGTGTTTTCTGATCCAATGGTAAGACTATCACTTGTAGTACATGCAGTGTGCTGCAGTTGAGTGCTTTGGTGCTCCATTTTCTCTTCTCTTCCAGATTCCAGTGTTACTCCACCCTGGGGTGCCGTGTCCCGGGGTAAAATAGCCTGTAGTACAGAGTCCTGGAGTACAGTACCCTGGGGTACGGTGTTTTGGGGTACAGTGTCTTCAGGGGTAGTGTCTTGGGGTACATTACCCCTGGCTACCGGAGTACCTTGGGGTGCAGTATTCTGGGGTGCAACACTCTTCTCTGATCCTACATCACGCAGTGTGTCATGGTGTCCCTGTCCCCCAGTAGTGTCCAGGGAAGATATGAGTATCTCTAGTTGAGAGTAGTCGAGGTGGACATCAACCAGGGGAGGAGAGGGTTGAGTCGGACGTGTCTTCCTCCCCTTCCCCTTCCCCCTGTCCCACCTCCGTCTGGCAGGACGAGGCGTGCGGGACACCAGCTGACGTATGGGAGACCATACACCAACCTGTACCTGCAGAGAAAGAGGTAAGTCGCGAACCCAGGCGCTTTCTTCTCAGCGATCATTCACACATGCGCAAAACTGAGGGAGAGAAGGCCACAGGCCAAGAGGAAAGGAGACACACAGAGATTATGGTAAGAAATGAAATTTCTCTCTACTGAAAAATCGTAATGTCTTGAAGCGCTCTGAACTGAAGTACATGTATATGAAGAGACACTAGTTACTGCAGCTCATACACATACTCTAGCTCATAGCAATGTCACATCTCATCTATAATGCATTGCAAACAGTGGCGTTTTGCAAAGAATCGTGTTTGCACCATTAGGCAAATGCAATCACGTGCATGCATACACACAGCAATGGTGCAATAGTTGGGATCACCCCCTCTAGGGCCCCTTACACAACATTTTGGGACACTACAGATGAAGACACATGGATCATTACATGCCCAGTATATGTGAGACCTGGCCAGAGGCAAGAAGAGGGTGTGAGGGGTCGGCAACTACAGCCAGGTGGTGGTTGGCAAGACCAGATCTGCATCTGCGACAGCTCCTGAGGTAGCTATCCAGACATTGCTGGGTCCACCCTGTGAAAGATTAAGTGGCTCCAAGAGGAGGCTCCTACGTGCAGGCTGCCTCACCAGGTGAGGTAGTCAAGGCACCACTCCCCAGCAGAAAGATTGTGGAATGACAACCATCCAAGTATACTCCTTGCATTCTGAGACACACTCAGAGAGGCGCTTAATGTAAGCGCGCTTTACCGAAGGAGGGAAATCCCCTAGCTTTAGCGTGCTAGCTGTGAAGCACCTATATACTGTACACACAATTTATAGATGAGCAGTGCAGTAGCTTAGCCTGCCAGCGGCAGATGTACAGCAGCAGTGAAGCAGCCTATTCTGAATATCAGGAGCAGGGCAAAGGGATGACCGAGAGTAAGCTATATTGCGTGTCATCTTCGTCATAACAATACCGGTATTTATTGTGTGAGCTGGTTTTCTACGACCCCACGCAGCTCTACCCCCGTCCTATGATGCTGTGGTGGGTGCCGTACCGCCGGGAGGTAGCGGTGCACCCAGTGCTCCTCCGCTGAGCCAGATCCCGGCCTCAGAGACGCCGCTAATGGCGGCTCACCAGGGACAAACTGGTTATGATGGGAGAGGACACACCCAGCAGCAGAGCAGAAGAAGTACGTACTCACATGATGAGAGCGGGGTACAAATGAGAGAGAGAGAGAGAGAAAGAGAGTGGGAGAGAACAATCAGTGTGTGAAAGAGTAAGAGGGACGGAGGAAAGGGGGATAAAGGAAAAGGATGTGTGGTGGAGTTTGTATAGCAGTAGGAAACAGAGAAATCCTGCATTAGTGCCTCCATATCCTTCCCCCATCTCTCTCCCCAGCTTCCCAGGCAGCCTCGGCCAAGCCTGGGTGCAGCAAGAGAGGAGTAGAGGGCTACGTGAAGTTCAGTTTGGCCCACACTCTCCGTATGAACCTGGAGCCCGACCCCACAAGACTGGTATATACACCCAACTCCCTACCAACTTTTGTACAGCTTTGCGCACGCTTCATAAAGTACAAGTTTGTACTGAAAAGCGATGGGTGTGGGCGATGGATACGATATACATGCAGCATTGTCAGCATTCTCTGTTGTTGTTAGCTCAGCTGTATGTATGTATAATGAAAAGTGAAATGTTTGTGTGGTCTAATGTATATATACAGGACCCGGAGCTTGACGTGGAGGCTCAGTTCTCGAGTAACGTGGTGAGGAGACAGAAGAGGGTGATAGCCAACAAGATGAGGCTCCAGTGCGTCAGTGGGTGGCTGTGGTGTAAGTCAGCTCTCCCCCTGTCTGTGCGATCTACTGCATTGCCTCCCCCTGTTCATCTCTAGGGTTCTCCAGTGTATATATAATATATGTACACAGCACTTCAATGTTTAGCTCTGTGTCTCTGTTGCGTACAATTGTCTACATTCCCCTTGAGGATGTAGGTATGATCAGTATGCAATTCCGCCGCTTGCACCATCGAACACATACTTTTGCCTGTAGGGTCCACCCATTCCATGGTATTTACAATTAATAAACCATACATTGTTACACCTATATAGGGAGGCTATAGGTGTATCCACAGTCCCCTACCTGGTAGTGGAGGGTATTTTATGTGGAAACCTGCTTACCTTTTCCTGGACTGTAAGAAATGTAATTGTACAAGTGTTTCGCATGCCATGATAGCCCACTACACTGCGTTGCATTGCATGTGCCTCCATCTAGTACAGATTTGTCCGCATTTTCAAAGGGTTCTTATACCATTTACGGCAAAAACTACTGGAGGAAAGTCCTCAAGAAGATGTGGCAAGTATTAAGTGCTACGGAAAATATTATGACGTGTCTGCAAGTATATTGATTTGGAGTGATTTGGAGGCTCTGTGTGTATTGTTCAGCGCTTATCATGCAATGCACACAATTCACTGCAGTCTATTTGCTCTGTAGGTCTGGGGGTGATTCTGGTACTAGGGTGCATTGGAGTCCCTGCAGGAATGATCATTACTGGTAAGACATACACTGCACTTTGCTACGATCGTGTAATACACAAGCTTGTAAGGACTTGCTGTAGCGCAGCGAGAGACTGCTGAGCTGCCCTGGTAGCTCAGTATGAAGATTGTTCTGCGTGGAATAATAGAGAGCAGTGTTGTGTATGTAGTTAATCTCCACCGAGAGTATATAGCTCTTTCTGGAAAGAAAAACTGTAACTGATTGTATACTATGGCTTTCTATCAAAGGATTTGCCGGAATGAACGAGTGCCCCTATCGTAACAATGCCCTGATTGGCTACCTGATTGGAGGAGGGATTCTGCTGGGAGTCACGTTGCTGTTCCGGTCCATTCCCTCCGTTGCTACCATTGGCAAGAACCACAACTGGTGTCGCACCAGAAACTCCTCGTCCTGCTCTGGAGGAATATGTGCATTTGAGGTTATAAACCGGCATATATAGAATAACTCTAAAATTGGCTAGCCTGTATAGTCATCTGAATGTGCGATTTTCCTGTATTCGACAAGGAGGAGCGTATGTACTGTCGGACCCGTAACTCTTAATATACGTAATTACTGGAATTACCACGATCATAACTTCTCACCAAAAAAATGTGCGTTGCATTCGCTCCAGTACCAGTATTATACGCCTCACTGCGTAGAGCCCACCCTCTCTGCTTTCCAAGTTTCCTGCTATATAATTATGCCGTTATGTCTCTTGTATTCTCAGACCTATATATTTCTGTGCAATGCCTAACTGAAACTTTGTACGCAGGTGGTGTTCTACGTCATACTAGCCATCAATGTGATAGTAGTCATTCTGGGCTCCTTCTGGACGTTTGATGGCAAACCTCCGTTCGAGTGTCCCCGAGATGACCCAGACTGCAGCGACTACTGCCAGGAGGGGGTCTACGTGGGAGCTATCATATTCCTCATTCTCCAGTATGTCCTCTACGTCATCACACCCGTCTACATGTGCGTCACCATCTCCTGCAACTACTGGCTCAGAAATCAAGAACTCGAGTAGATCACGAATCAATGCGCACTCCTGTGTGTAGCAATTTTCCATTTCACCGTCATGCACGTTTTTTTGTGATTTACTGATCGTGTTCTTGTTATACATGCTGTGTTACATTGTTTCGATTTTGTTGATCAGTATAATTGATTCATTGATGAAAAATGTCATAATCATGTAATGAACTGAAATTGTGTATGTACTGGGATGATGTAATGGTCAATTGTTGCTATTTTGGGCTTGATAAGCGGTGTACTTTCTCATGGAGCCGAAAGCTTTCTCTGCGGGGTATTTCTGGGCATTCAGAGCAAACTTTCTTGTGACGGCAGACGGCAGGTCGACCCTGCACATCTCAGCCAGCCTCACCAGGTAGATGAGAATGTCACTCATTTCCTGACCAACATGCTCTCTCTCTGCCTCACTCCACCCTTCACATAAATATGAGCAAGAACAAGGGTTTGCATTGCAGACTAGTACACAACTACATAGGTAAATAAATTAGCAGTTCAGTTGGCAGAAGACATAATCAGTATACTTCAATAAAAAAAACACAACTAGAAAAATATATTCTTTTGTGCTTCAGAAGTGTAGCACTACCTGTGAGAGAGCTTGAAGAACTCGCGATTGCATGAAGGAAATGTGTGTGTGCATTCATTATGAGTAAAGCTCTGCATATTGGACGCCTGCACAAGTACATATTATAACATACAGTACCTGTAAGACCAGACTCTACCTCTCCTCTCCACTGGCTACAGAAATCAAAATTCACAGGTCACTTTTAAAAAATGAGAAGCACCAAAGTGCAAACCCTAGACACACTGCGCATAGTGTACCATTAATAGATATGCTGGAGTATGTGTGTGTTTTGTTTTGCACCGAGGGTTAAAAACTTGGAGAAAGACTTACAAAATCTCAGAGAGCTCTCCCACCTCACCTACCTGCAGGTAATGGAGAATTACCCACACAACAATGAGACTAGGTATCTGTTGATAGACTCACCAGTGCAAGTAGGAGGTTGCGGGGGGTATGAAATTGTTCCCAGTCCCGCTCGGCAGCAAATCTGGACTGCATCACGCGACTGGAGAAGTCGAGAAAGAAGGTGAGCGACTAAGAAAAGAGGAATTTAGCTGGGACTAACATGTCTTCTAGTGATGGAGCACGAGAGAACCTAAACTCAGGTGTCTTGTCCGTCTTGGAAGAGTTACTATCCACCGAGCCTTCGGTATTTTCTGCCATTCCGTCCAGCACGGCACCGCGTGGGTTAGCCACGCCCCTACGAACTTTGACCTTAATTTGCCGAGTCAGCAAACCTTGTTTACGTGAAAGCGGCTGTCTCCTGCGCGGAGACGGAGAGCCGGAGAGCGATCATCTTTTGTTGTGGGACGTCGTGTACAATGTTGGAACTTGAAGTAATGCCGGAGAGGGCGCTGGCCTCATCACAGTGGGAGCTCGTACTCGGTATGCCCCCTAGTGTTTGTGGTTGTGTGTCGGGATTCCAGCAACATTGCTAACAAGGGGGATTAGCTCAAATGGTAGAGCGCTCGCTTAGCATGCGAGAGGTACCGGGATCGATACCGGGATACCCGGATCCTCCAACTCTTTTTCGCACTTTTTCCAACAGGAATGCCCTGTTTTATAGCCATTTTGGTATAATTATATACCACTGTCTCTGTGAGATATTATCCGCTTCCTCTCTGTGATGCAGGAATGCCACTGTCTCAGGTGCTGGAGGTCCTGCAGTTGCACAGTGGCGCCGTACAGACAGCTCTCCTGACGTACAGCGACCAGAAACCGTTTGAACAAGACCTCTCAGTGGACCTGAATCAGGACGGAGTTCGACTGTACTTTGACCCCCGCAGCCAGAGACTAAAGGTATATACCATTCAGTAGAAACTCCTATTAATGGTACCGGGCATTTTGTGTGCTTTTTATAGGGCGGTTGTCCTAGTCTCTTTGGAGGTTAAATATGAACTGGAATAATAGAAAAATGAACGTATGGGACCTCAAAATGTGTCTTTTATTCGTATAATATCAGAGTTTCTACTGTATACCATTCAGTGGGAAACGTTTATGAGGTATCTGCAAAAGCAAAACTTGAGTTTACTACCGATCACGGGTGTTGAAAATGCAAATGTACATACTTCGAACGTTTTTTTACTCTCCTGCTACTTACTATCTGCGTATTCCATACAGTTGATTGAGGTGTATGACGTGACAAAGGTGAAGATGAAATATTGGTAAGTTCCAGCTATGCCAGCCCCTTCTCAAATTCTCCCTATATCACGACGCTCCTCACACATGTTCTCTAACAGTAACAGGTTCTTCTGTTCATCCGAGATAACTCCAACAGTGGACCTCATCAATGACTGCTTTGGACCTACACACCCTGGAGGTGGGTGGGCTCAACCTTATATCAGGAAAACGTGGTGGTCATTTTAATGTGATTATTCTGTGGCAAGATGTGTTCAGAATCGCCATAATGTTATTCCACAAAGGTTTTGTGTTCACAACAATACAGTGGCCACTTAAACAAACTTGGAGACAATTGTGTATTTTATAATTATACTTCATTCCGTTTCAGAGATGGACAAGGGCCACAACTACTACTTGCTCCACTTCAGAGGCATTCTCTTTGCCTTTCCTCTGTGGACCGCTCAGGTGACCACCTCGCTACACACAAACAGTTACAGCTCCAGGTAGCCCGAGCAATGCCTTGTGGGGATGAATTTCTTTAGTTCAAAACCACAAGTACTGCGCTCATGGCAGCCTTTATAAACTCGTGATGCCAGAGAGAGAAGTTGCGGTATGCTCTGCTGATGAGGGCCAACAAGCCCGAAACAGCTGTCCAGAGCTCCCGCATCTTTTTTCTCTTGGCATCACATGGTATTTTTACATGTATTTTGAGGTTCTACAGCCATCTGCAAGAATTTCGAACGTCAAGGCATTATTCCTCTCTACAAAGAAGTGTCGCGTTTTCTTTTATCATTTTCCTTTCCTAATACGTATGGTGTACCAGAAGTAGTTTTTCTCAATTGTGAGCCACTGTGTTCTGCTCTGCAGAGTGGGTACCCATCTCCGGAGCTGGGGGAGCTGCTGGAGGCTGACTCCTATGGCTCTCTAGTCCTCTCCCGCCTCTGTCTCTTCAGTGGCAACATCACTGACCCTGCCGAGGCCAGGTTTAATACAATCTCTCTCTCTTCCTCCTAACTCCTCCACCCCTCTCCCTTCCTCTGTCTCTTCAGTGGTAACATCACTGACCCTGCTGAGGCCAGGTTTAATACGATCTCTCTCTTTCCTCCTACCTCCTCTCCCCCCCTCTCCCTTCCTCTGTCTCTTAGGTATAGCACCACTTACCAGCTGAGGCCAAGTCAACTATTGTATAAGAAAAGTGTGAATCACGTAAAAAGAGTTTTCGTAAAAGAGAGTTTCTTGAAAGCGGCAACAAGCATGTGTAGCATTGAAAACAAACACAATTTCAAGTTATACGGTTTGAAGTTATCTCTCCTGTCACCTTCTATTTAACCCCTTCCTTCATCCCTGCCATTAGCTGGCTAATTGTGTTTTTGCTGTTCCCAGAGCTCCGGTGATGCCGTTGGAGTGTTTCCACGGCAATGGTTACAGTGAGAGTGTGGAGGTGGTGAGGAGTGAGGACGGGAAGATCAAAGGACTTCAACTAAAGTTTATTATGGATGGTAAGTATCATTATTATACATGGATGTACATAATGAGCACGTACGTATGCAGAGAATGGTCATATGAGTTTTGTGTTTCATGTCAATAAGTGTGTGTTAGTGCTCATACTTAATCCTGTCTACACATCTTATCTGTGTCGTTTTCAGCGAATATCTGCTAGCTTGTGTCATGATGCAGCGATAGAAATATTCTTCCAGTACTCTGGCAATGCAAACTTATGTAACCTGGCCTTACTGCATGCCAATTGAAGTCCTTTGATCTTAGTTAGGAGTTGAACTAACTAACCCTGTGCTGGCCATGATTTGAACAATCCCCAGAGCCGCGGTCCGGCGGGGTGGGAGGTGAGGGGCGACTGAAGGGACTGGAGAGACGTGTCATGTTTGGAGACACTCCTCAAGACGTGTGCAGCAGTCTCGGAGCTCCCAGCAAGGTCTTCTTCAAGGCCGAGGACAAGGTACGGTGCTATATAGTGTGTGTAGGTCCACTTGGACAGCCACTCTATCTCTACAGAATAGCCTGTTCTAGGCTAAAATCTGGACTCCTCTAAAATACACCTTGAATCTAAGTCGCATTGTCTGTCTCTCCAAGAACAACTCTTGTATGCATTAAACCAGACAGCATACTAAAAACGGCACTTTCTTCTGTCCCATTGTTGTCTCAAACATAGCCTCGGTACAAGTATAGATAGAGAGAACCTCTATAATATGGACTGATGGCATTTCTACGTTGACATTTCATATATAGATGAGGATCCATTCGTCAGGCTCTCATAAACTGCCCACTTCCAAATGCTCCGACTACTTCTTCAACTATTTCACTCTCGGTCTGGTGAGCTCCACATGATAGTCACATGACCTGATATTGCTACTTCACGTTGCCCTCTGCAGGATGTTCTGTTTGACTGTGCCACTCACAGAGTAAGGAAGATGGTCATGCACAACAATGTTCCTGGTCACTACAACTTCAACATGTGAGCAACTGAACCACTCTCAGTGTGCCAAAAGCCTATACTAATCCTTGAGGGAAAACTTTTTGTATCAAACGTTTTAAAATTTCCCATGTATAATACAGTGGAACCTCCGATAAGGGACCCTCTGAGATAGAGAATAGAGACGACCTCTCTACAAAGGACACTTGTTTCAACTCCATGCTAATACTTTAATGTATTATTTGACCTCCGAGATAGGGACGACCTCTCTACAAAGGACACTTGTTTCAACTCCATGCTAATACTTTAATGTATTATTTGACCTCCGAGATAGGGACGACCTCTCTACAAGTCATTGGTCCCGTAGTGTCCCTTGTTATGGGGTTCCACTGTAGCTCGCAAAAGGTGAAATTGCCCACATCTTATGTTATGAGTATAGCAGAGAAAATGTGGGTCTCCTTGGTTTGTCTTTTGACCATTGCTAGACATGGATAGTGCCCGACTGTTCTGATACGATATGTAGCCGTGCTCTACATTTTAACTGCTGTAGTTTATGACTATGTTAACATAGAGATGCAATAAAAATTTCAACTGTTTTTCTCTCACGTACTGTACATGTTCAGTTACAATAGGTGCGAGTTCATAGTAAAGTTTCCACCCAGCCAGCAACTATGTAGAGGTAAGTAAAATTATGCTGCCCGATTGTTTTGCAACCAGAGATCTCTCTCTACCTTTACCAGATTCATCTTCATCAGAAGTAGTCGTCACTTCTTCGACAAAGGTTTGTTAGTTGACTGAGTGCTCGCCTAGAGTGCCGAGTGTCCGCTCGCCTAGAGTGCAGAGCGTCTGCTCGCCTAGAGTGCAGAGCGTCTGCTCGCCTAGAGTGCAGAGCGTCCGCTCGCCTAGAGTGCAGAGCGTCCGCTCGCCTAGAGTGCAGAGTGTCATGGATTCAAAATCCCAGCTCTTTTTACTTGACTTGTCCTAAGTGATTTTTTCTCGTTTCCTTGAGACCTTGTTGTTGTTTACCCACAGTGGAGTGAGATCCAGGACTATCTGACCGAGCCATCAGACAAACCCGTCGTCCTCAACAGGTCTTCCTCCACTAACAGCATTAACCCCTTTGGCTCCACATTCTGCTACGGTCATCAAAACATCATATTCGAGGTAGCTACACTCTGACAGTAATTCAGTGCCCTAATATTAACAACATCTTATTTCCCTCGCAGGTGATGCGAAACCAGCACATTGCATCAATAACCATTTACAGTCTAGCGACCTGATACTGACTTAGCATAAATACACTATAATGGCACACGACACACACAAATAATGAAGTGTAGACAGACATGAACATATCTCCTGATGAGCAGTAATCAGTGTGTGTGGTGGTGGTGGTGGCTGGCTAGCGGTAGAGATGGTCTGCCTGTATGTTAGTGGCAATCTCTTTCTCCCACTTGTCTCCATTGCTGAGCAGTTTCTCCTTGTTGTAGAGTAGCTCCTCGTGCGTCTCTGTCGAAAACTCAAAGTTTGGACCCTGCACCAGTACAATACACACACCAATAGTAGCATGATCCCTGAACAACATTGTATAGAGAGGCATATAATATATATATATATATATGTAGTTGTGCATGTAGTACTGTGACAGACATGCAGACATTTCTACATAAGACTGGAATGGGAAAATGGCCTTAGCTTCTCAGTTCTGAGGTCATAAACAGAAAGCAGTACAGTATATAACATGGGAGGAAACTTTTGAAAGCCATCCATGAAAGTTTCAGTCCACGAAGTTTATGGAGAGCGATATTTGTACAGTAGGGAACTAAGCTGATTTGGGAGTTTCCCCATCATGGTACGTGCATCTTTCTCCGGATGCACTGAATGTGTACCTCAACGATGGCGTCGACCGGACAGGCCTCCTGACAGAAGCCGCAGTAGATACACTTGGTCATGTCGATGTCGTATCTCGTGGTCCTCCTGCTACCGTCCGCCCTCGTCTCCGCCTCTATCGTGATGGCCTGTGGAACACACAACCACAGAGGTGAAAGATAAGAGAAAACCATGGAAACCATGCATCACTTTTGCTAGTGTATGTAGGAAAGCAGTTAATGTGTTCACATCTGAATATACTCACATACAACAAGGTGCAATGAGAGTGTAGTATTAATAAACAGAAAAGGCCAGCTTTACAACAATAAGAAATATCCAGATGCTTGCACCAAAGCAATAGCACACACATCTAATCATTTGTACCTGAGCGGGGCAGACAGCCTCACACAGCTTGCAGGCAATGCACCTCTCCTCTCCATTAGGGTAGCGACGTAAGACGTGTTCCCCCCTGAACCGAGGACTCAAAGGACCTTTCTCGAATGGGTACATCAGGGTCACTGGCTCTCGGAAGAACGCCGACAGTGTCACTGCGAGACCTGGAGTGTATTTCAGACAGGGTGTGAGAGGGGAAGGTGAGGCGAGTTAGAAGGGAGAAACCTCGCTCCATACCTCTGATCATCTCGGTGAGAAAAAGGGTTGTTGCATTTCTGTCGTTCACTGAGCGGGCATCAAATGGAGTGTCCTCCACATCTTTTGTCACATACTCTGTGCCCCAACAGAGACACAACTGATTTATCCTCAAACACCAGAACCTCAAGTAGCCTCTGTGTAAGAGTGGTGTTACACTTACTGTAGCTGGACGAGTGTCTAACTGCGACGCATGCCTGTGGCGCTTCTCTCAGCCAGAGGTGCGCTGCAAATAGAACAAGGCAAACAACCCGTTAGATGGACTGGTAAAAAGTGGAAAGAGGCCCATAAATATATTATCTGCCCTACCTTTAGAGCTCGGCTTTGCGCTCCAGACTCTTAGCAAGTTCCTCGCCATCTTTCCGCCGCTTGTTTCTAAACTCCGCCCCCACACTTACTTGCAATGGTTTTACGCATGCGCAAACGTTTCTTGTTTATCAGCACACGTACGTACACACACGGTACCCCCCGGCCGGCCACACGTATAAAATTACTTGCCCTCCTCCCCATGCAGAAACGTACCTGGCGCTTACTAACACCTTACGTTGGATACGTTTGACCCACTTTATAACCAATGACAGAACTACAAGAGATGAAATGGTCTATAATATGTGCACAACACAGTCGGATGTTCAGCATAAGTCTATTCGTCTGCTTCTTCGTAGTTGTGCGCAATATCCTTCCACAGTTTCTGCAAGGGATTGAGGATAGCTTACACTCAACTAAACACTTACAGAGAGGAGAAAAGGCAAGTAGAAGAAGCGGGATGGTCTCACCCCTCTGTTAATTCTCTCCCACATTGAGTCTGACCAACTGCTATACCACCGTTCAAACACAACGCCGCCCAATACAGCAGTCAGAGCAAAGGTGGACGTCCGACGAAACAGCGCATTGTAGACTGCGTTTCCAAACGCCATTTTGTTTTCGTCGAGGATTGCACGTAACCCGTAGTGAGCGGGTTAATTTGTGATCAGTGGCGGTGCGCGTTAATTGAAAATGAGAAGCGATGTTTCGGAAGGGAACAGAAGCAGCAAAACGAGCGTGTCTGCTGCCAGACCGCCGCTGGGTGTCGCGGATTTGGTGCACCATTTGCAGACTGGGCGAACGGTGACAGGGGAGCCCGTGAGACCGTACAAATGGCTCGATTTTGCAGGAGGTGAAAGGTCACCTATGGAGCTCCGGGTTTCGCGAGTGATGGAGAGTTGCTCGTTCAAGTCAGCTCTCAGCTGTGTGTTGGGTGGGTTCCTTTTCACTTCCCCAACCCTAGATCCAGAGCATGTCATAGGGCAATTTATGAGGAAGAGAGGGTCTGGTATCGTAATCTAATTTGATCATTTTGCGCCCCCCTCTGTCGCCTCTCTTCTTATTGACGTGCTTATGTGGTCTCGTTAAAAACCACATAAGAAGGGAATCAAGTGTTGTAGCTGAGTTGCATATGTAGCTCAACTCCTCACAAAAGTTGGTTCTTATCAAGGAGATTGTGAAGGTGGTGAATGAAATAGTTCTTTTTCTCCATCTTCTTGCAAAGGATTTGGTTTGGGAGGAGCATTTGGACTGTTCATGTCGGGACTGGATTCGCCGGTCACCACAGAGAAGATGACAGCGAGAGAGACTCTCAGAGACATGGGGGCCAAGTCAAAGTCCTACGCCAAGAACTTTGCACTAGTGGGCCTCATGTTTGCCGGCTCAGAGTGTGTACTGGAGAGTGTGAGGCAACTTTGACACACACACACACACACACTAAATGCACCACTTTGCTAATAGATAACCATTTATGCAACACTGCTGCCTAGTGTCTATTATTTTGCAAACCTCAGTGACTCGTTTTCCTGACTTTTCCTAACAATGCACTTGAATGTTGGTTCTCCAATGTTTCAGTATAGAGGTAAGAGTGGACTAGGGACCAGTACAATGGCTGGCTGTGCTACTGGTGGAGTGATTGGCCTTAGAGGTGAGTTCTAATTATATAGGACCATTGCTTTCTATCATCTCTAGGTGCAGCAAGGTAGATACCATTCCATACTCCAACACTAGTCAAAGTACTATGCATAGTTAGTTTGTCTCTTCTTCTACTCTTGTGCCTACAAAAAATGCGAAATCGTTGACACCTTTATATAGGTGGGACGGCAAAATTTGGGCTAGATAGGGATTGGTGCAGCAAGATAGCGGATGTTACCATTCCATACTCCAACACTAGTCGAAGTACTACGCATAGTTGGTTTGTCTCTTCTTCTACTCTTGTGCCTACAAAAAATGCGAAATCGTTGACACCTTTATTTAAGGGGACAGCAAATTTGGCCAAGATAGGGATTGGTGCAGCAAGATGGCTGATGTTACCATTCCATACTCCAACACTATTCAAAGTACTACGCATAGTTGGTTTGTCTCTTCCTCCATTCTTGTGCCTACACAAAATGCGAAATCGTTGACACCTTTTTTATATGTGTATAGGGATAGTAATGTTGTGCTCAGAAACGATGATGGCAGGTGTCTTTTAATTGTATCCCACCTCCCCCCTTCCCCGCCTCTCTATCTCTCATGTCATATATAGCTGGTGTAAAGGCAGCAGCCTTTGGTTGTGCAGGATTCGCAGCATTCTCTGCTGCAATAGACTATTTCCTCAGACACTAATTAAGCATTACTTCACTTCCATCCAACACACTACATATATCAATCAATCTACTGTGACCACATGTACCTACTCTAAGGCCACACTGGTATTAGATGTTGTATATAATTATGAGGCACAAAATTGATCGGCAATCAGTGAAAATTTCACTCTTCAAAAGGTTTACTTGGTTTGTTGACACGGTTCAAGTATTAGGTTGCAAGTTGAATGACAAATTAATTATGATTTTATGAGAGCCTATGGACACGCAAAATTTAAAATGCAAAAAATTTATGCATGGTAAATTTCCTTTAAAAAACCTGTGTGACTTCAAAAAAATTGATAAAAGGTGCTAGAGGAAATGAGCAGGGGTGTCCCCAGAGAGTGGTTGGTGAGGTGTGTTTCGTGCGGTCCTGGTGACCAGGGCTGTGGTGTTGAAGACGTCTCCAGGGCTGCCTCTCTGGTGATGGTAGAACACCTCTCGTCCCATCACACTCTGACTCACCATCTTGGGGGCACTGTGGGGGGAGACGGCGTTTAGCAAAAATAATGCTTTGTGTTGAAATGTGCTTCTTTATTTGTTGCATGAAAACAGGCAATTTCCTTTGGTGTTTACATATCTTGTGGGAGAGTAGAAGCAAATTTCCATAGATAATCTAGTTCAGCCAGCCTCTACTGGGGAAAGCTATATAGTCAGTGTGTGGTTGGTTGGCATAGGATTACACAGAGTGTATATAGGCCTCACTTGAGCAGTGTGACCTGGCAGAGGTCAGGGTTTGACTGGTACTCCAGGTGAGTGAGTCTGACGGCATGGCGGAACTTGTAGAGGGCCTTCCGAGATTCCACTGGAACAGAAGACAGAGAGACAGTGAGTGCGAGAATGGAGCCAACATGACACGGCACAATGTCCGTGCCTGCAAACCTTTTTACTGTACGTGTCACAGCATTATATGTGACCTGTACAATGAACTTTCGGGTAATTTTATGAAATCGTAAACGTTTCAGTGCACTACGGATGCCAGCTGACCGCATGCACAAAACCTGCCGATGTGCACCCACGTTCATTCGACTTGCATGAGAACTTTTGTTGCATTTCATATTTGAGTTGCATAAGATGACGCATGCAACAATAAATTATTAGTTGCTGTGTACGTTGGTATGTATATAGTAAATAGGAACATGAGAACAGCACGAAGCAAACAGAGCCCCTGCTGCTAGCACATTATGCACACTTACATCATCAAAAGGCTTCTCGAGGGCCTTCACCTAATTACAGTGATTAGCCATACATGGGTCAAGTTGTGCCACTATAGATTGACACTGCAATATCATGTGTTGCGTTCAAACAAAGCTTAGCCCTGACAGTTCCTCTTTGTGCATTCGAGTATATACACATCACGTGTCAATAACAGAAGACCTATTATTGATGTATACTATATATACAGTGAATGGCAATTTTATACTAAGAGAAGAATAATTTAGAATTATACTACATGTAAGCAAACGCTGTACATACGTCCAATAATTATACCTGCACAGTATTTGTCAGAGTTGTGATAGACGGCTAGGTTGTAGTTGTGTCTGCCAGGTTGGTGTTCCTCGAGATCCTCCAGTCCTTGGTCCAGAGCAAACAGCTGCGGCAGCAACCTCTTCCACTGCACACACACACACACACAGAGCACATAGAGATAAGATTGCATTGGTACTACTACACACTTCGAGTGAGGTGGTTTTCATAACCTGGGACTTTTCTATATATTAATCTACATAATGGTTCAACAGCCCAGTAAATAATATGGGAAGCCTTTAAGGAGAGACAAATTGTTTTAGAAATGTATAACATGCGAAATTCTCATTTTCCACCATTCGCTTTTTTCGTTACTATAACTACTGTGCCTATTTTTCCTGCCCATGGCAAGATGTACAACGTATATACCAGCTGTGTCAGGAGAGAGTGGTTATCATGTAGCCCTGCCTTTGCCACCAGGACTATCAGAGTGTTGAACTGTCGCTGTACGTAGATACACCATGTCTCTAGGGGAGGTGCCGGCTGGGCCGCTAGGGGCTGCATCACAACAACAACAACAACACCAAGGGATGTATACACTACAAGATTAATTGTTGATGCACACAATATTACGTTAGGTTCTTTCTTTCAAATATGGATCAGGGTTTAATGAAGGTAACGAGAGAGTTTGCTAGACTGGATAAAAATATGAAAAGTTCATCTACATACTACATGGGGTGTGTGTATTTTCTATGCATACATAGGTATTGGGGAGAAGAGAGATAGCAAAAACGGTAGACTGTCTGACCTGTAAATTCCTGCTGAGTGTTTGGTGTATCCGAGCAAGGTCAACCATCAGTACTTGCGACTTCCCTCCCTCCTCCCCTCCGTCTCGCTGCCCCTGTTCGTCGGCCGTCCCTCTTAGCTTCTCGGCCATCGAGAGTTGCAGTGTCATCTCGGGTGTGTTAACCTGGTTGAAACTGAGGCTGGGTGGAGCTCCTCTGCCACCGGGTGTGCCCAGGGGCGGGGCAGACAGGTTGAGACTTTCGAGAGCATTGGCCCCTACATCGTTCAATCCAGGTCCCGTTCGTGTGTGATTCTCGCGAGGTGTGCTTGTTGACGGGTGTCGGTATCTGAGCATGGTCGTGCTTGCACTCGCCGTCGTACCGTCGCCCGAGTCCTCGTCTTCTTCGTCACTTGTGAGGGTTTTGACACTGGAAAACTCATCCTGGAGCGACCCTGACCCGGTGAGTTGTGTACCACGATCTTCCGGCTTCACTGGATCCACAGAGGAACTGGAACGCCTTGTCTGTGACGTGTCTTCTTCCGCCAGTTTGTTTGAGGCGCTGTCTCTTTCTCCACCCTTTTCTGCGGCAGTAGTGGTGTCCCCGAGCCAACCTCTTCCTTCAATCACCTGTACCGACTCTCTCACAGTATCCATGTCACTGGAAACATGTCCGTCCTCCAAACTGCTACCCACATCCAAGGATTGAGTCAAGCCCCTGTGCTGATAGTCGGGCGACGAGCTTCCACTTCGCTCCGGTAGATCACTAGCATTTCCGTCTCTTTCAACAGCAGCTGTGATCGCTTCACTCGTGATCATTTCACTTTCCTCTGTAGTCTTGTGGTCTCTAGGAGGCGGCGTGGGAGGACGCCCGTAGATAAAATCTGGGCTATCTTGCGGCATTTTCTCCGGTGAACGGTCCCCCTTCCGACTGTGTGTTCTCGGGGGAGGAGAGGGAGGTGGGGTGAACTCTACATTACTTCCCTCAAAATCACTCCCTCTCTGCTGGTTTAGCGGTGGAAGTACTCTCTGAGGGACGGCAGGAGGAGAGAGCTCGACGACTGTAAATTCACCCGAGTTCCCCACGAGCTGTTCGACCTCAACCAGCGAGGGGCTGCGAAGTCTATGGGGAGGTAACGCAGGGGCAGGGGCAGGGGCGTCGTCAATCTTTCTATTCCTCGGAGGCAATGCAGGGGGCTGGTGGTGGTAATCTTGTTCCCAGCCAGTTCTCCCTCGTTTTGGACGGGAAAGTTCCTCTTGTTGCTTCATTAGACGGGTTTCACTCAGCAGCTGGTCCACAATTTCAGAGTCGACAAAGTCGTCGCTCTCTTCAAACTTTCGCTGTTGCTGCTGCTGCTGCGAGCTTGTCTGCGAGGTCCATCTTCGCTGCGGGGGTGGGGTTATTGTGTCGTAGATGCTCAAGACTTTCTTGTCAGTCTCGGAGGGGTCTGGGTCAGTTTCGAGTCTCTCTGGAAGAGGAGGAGGAGGAGGAGAGTGGGATTTGTCAGACAACTCGTCCGCCGTTTGAAACGAGTGTGAATCATCGGCAGCAAAACCTGTTGGTTGTACAGGGCTGGGCAATTTGCTCCCTGATTCCCCGGGAGCAGCGGGAACGACAAGGGAAAAGTTTGGAGATGGAGTCGCGTATCTCTCGTCCTCCAGACTCGAACTTCCCGCGGTACCAGTCGGGATTGGGGAGTGTGCTTCGTTTGCTGACTTGCCGGGAGTTGGTATGGGGATACCGAGGGAGGCAGGGATGGAGGCAGGGGGAGGGACGCCAGGAACCGAGTTGTCTTGTAATTTTGCAGTGCCAGACTCAGTCTTTGGTGCCGCCGGAGGTAGAATTTCATCGGGAAAGGTGTCTGGATTGGCGTACGATCGCGTGGTGAGGTCCCGTTTCCCGCTGTTTCCGTGTAACCGTGGCATCTTCCGATCGCTGCTCAGCCTCGACCTCCCTCCTCCACCACCACCGGCTGGTTCCGTCTTGCCCCGCCCACCACCACTGCGGGGGACCTTGGGACTTGTAGTCGGAGTCTCGGTCACCCGAGGGAGTACCGTAATGGTGGAGCTGTTTGCGTTGCACGCCGCCGTCACGTCCTCGTGTTTCGCAGCCAAGCGTCCACCTGCTTCGTTCGCTCTCTGTGTCGTGAGAGAATTGAATGCCACGGATAGATTGTAGTAGTCTTCGTCGAATTTGGGATTTGGTTCCACCACACGGGGTCGGGACCGGTGACCTCTGGTGGAGGATCGACCAACCCTCCAGCCCGATCTGGCGGGGGTGCCCCTGGAAGACGAGGTGGAAGACGAGATGCCGGTGGGTCCAGCTCCCGACTGGAACCTGGAGAGGAAGGAGACGGCGCTGTCGACGAGGGACGGATTGGGGGTCATCCCCTCGTAGGCCTGCCGATGGGAGACGAGGTCTCTCTGGATGTCAGCGAGGTCCTCTGCCTCCTCTGGAGACAGGTGGACCTCCAAGACCCACACCGTCTCCGGAGCTACGTTCTCTACAGTGAAAAAAACATACAACGGAATGTCAAATCTTGAAGCTACATATATTTTCTACGGTGAAAAAAATGAATTGCTGTAGCTACGTTGTCTACAGTGGAACAATGTGGCATATACAAATATTATTACTCTATAGTGGAACATGATACAATGAGAATTTTGAAGCTGCTTTTTCTAGTACATTGGATGGCGGGATACAATGAATGGTGTAAAGAGAGAATGATGTTACATACATACATACCTGCAAGAATTGACTTTGTGTTCAACTGCGAGAAACATAGAAAATCACAATATCAATAATATACGCATGATGGAAAATGATACAGTAGCGCTAGGATCAGTGTTTACATGTACAAGTGTGCTACATACATGTATATGTATATACACATGACATGAATGTGGAATGCACCCATGGGATAGACTGTTCTCCATTATGCACATAATTATGAGTACAATGAAGAAGTCCTGGATTTAGAGGCTGCTTGTGTGTTTGTGGTAAAACAGAGTGCAGCGCATGTATATACATACCTCGATGCCCTTGCCTCCAACCACCTGGATCTTCTCCATGAGTAGAGGAGAGAGTTGGTTGCACACGATCCTGAATCAGCACACATAGATATACAGAGAGTGGGAAATTTCAACGTGTTTGACTACAAAGGCTGTGATTGCAGCATAGACACACATAAGAGAGTGGGAAATTTTCTGAGACACTACTATGCATCATGCTTCACCTCCTGTTACACACTCAACGTGTTTGACTACAAAGGCTGTGATTGTAAACAATGGGGCGACCGACGCAGCATTCTCGAGTGGTTCTATATAGTAGCCCTGGAGCACATGACTGGTTGATTGTGCTACGTAAAGGGGCTCAGTAGTGAAAACAGAAGACAAAAGGCAACGCATGTGATTCATCTGTGATATATATGTACACACCGTAATTATGAGATACTCTGTGAGCATTCGCTGCACGTAGAGTTTTATTTTAGAAAAAAATGGTGGGTTAAAAATTGTGCTCTACTCAAAACGGTATGCCACAATTACCATGCCATATGGTGTGTGTGCCATTCTTTCTTCGACGCATTTGGGGCAGAACAATACATACACAAAACCATCATGCAATGTACAAAGCCATATAGCCTGATGGATTTAAACACTGGATGTTGTTCTAACACTTTACCAACTGAGTCGTCTCGCAGTATACGCACTAGCATAAACACGCTATTGTGACACGTAATGTAAAGTCCCATTATTGAGTTGTGTTGAAAGTGGCTCACTCCGTGTTGTACATGATGCAGCCTCCTACGATGGGTTCCTGCTCCTGACACGAGCGGAGGATGTGTGAGGCTTGAAGGAACAGTCGAGATCTCTTCTGCAGTGGACAGACAGAGAGAAAAGATCCTCACACACACACACACACACACACACAAAATATCTACTCAAATACCTACTACACTTCTGCATAGCCTGTTTGTACAGGTCGATTTTTCAATTCTAGAACTTCAAGTGACGGTTCTCTTGGTCTTATATATAATAGTTTGCAGGAGCCTTCATATTACTTTGAACGTAGTTTGACATCTGAGGGTGCGCGCATATTTCTACACGCATTGTAGCGATAGATTTTGCATAATATTATGTCAAACAACGAGGTATGTAGCAAGGCAAAGGCAAGGAGAACAAGTCAACTGGGCCCAGGATAACCCTTGAGCTGTGCATTACCTGCTTGTGTCCTTTCTGGTTGTAAGGCAGAGTGTGGAACATGAAGGCGATGGAGTGCGGATCACGAAACACGTACTCCCTGATCTTGGAGAAAATGAAGGTCATGTTAGCCGTGAACGTCAGCCAGTCCCCACGTGATTTCTGGAATAACGAGAGCATGTTTGGCAAAGAGAGAAGAGATGCAAAGGATATTCTGTAACAATCAGAGCTATAGATGATGTTCAAGGTATATACTGTGTCAGCATAATACACATTAATTAACGGCTAAATTTAGAAATGTTAAGTGAAAGAATGCAATTAGGTTTCCTTGATTAGCATCAATTTCTAAATTTAGCCCTGCAATACTGACACCATCAATCAAGCTAAGGTAAGAGAATGAAAATTGATGACATGACACAACAGATGCTTTTGACTTTTCATTTTGCACCCATGAGCTATTGATCGACTGTCTACATTCATGACGGCCTCTGGGGAGTGGTAGTAGAAGTGGAAAATGTCTGACACGTGGCGGAGAGTGGCACGGACCCTCTCTATCGGCTCCAGAGGTCTCCCCAGCAGAAACTGTCAGTCGAATAAAAACGATACCATCGTCAGAGAGTGAAAGAAAAACTGAACAACATTTTCATATTGAAGGTGTGGGCATCCTTTGATATTTGGAGGTAGTTTAAAAGTGCACTCCGCCGTAATGGTATACGTAATGGGAAAATATTGAGGGAGAATGTTTCGTGAATCAAAAACCTTTCTCAGGCGAAAAACAAGTGGAATGCTATGTTTCAATGTGGCAGTTCTCATCCGTAAATTCTTTTAACACTTAACCAGCCATAAATGTGTCCAGAGCATCCATAAGTCCATAAGAATTCATATGGGGGTTATAATACTAGGCGCAAATACTTTATGTATCAATTTCTGCTTATTTAAGCAGACCCATGGTGTCCAAAGGGTTAAGTCTTATTTGCCTACGTTTGAGGTAAAAAAAACTCGGTGATGCCACGGCTCACCATGAAGTAATTGGGCTCCAAGAGCTGGCAGGCATAATAGCACCCAGCCATGGAGAGGGTCTGGGGGAATTCCCCAGTCATGTTCCTGTACACGTCTGCCACGCCCACCAGGCAGCTACATCGGCTGTGGTACAGCTCCTGTGGTGTGTGTGTAGAAAATACCACATGAGACTGGTACAGTATTGTCGTACAGTCAGTGCCCAGAAAATTCCTAACTTTCTGTGTGTAAATTATATCGTAGCCCCCACTAATTTTAGCTAAACATGTAGAGGCTGCTACTGTCATATCAGTGGCAAGGAAATATTTCCTAACTTGTCTGTGTGTGCACATCAGGCACGTGTAACCTTACGCAGGCTGTCATGTGACTAGGCTAGCTATTCTGTCCCATCATGCAGGGTGTCCCCCCGCCATGCTGGGTGCTGGCGGACCTTATTGAACTCGCTCTCCGGCAGGTAGACGACCTTGGCGTCCTCCACAGTGTCCCTCTCCCCCACCATCCGAGACTTGTCGATGATGAAGAAGGACCGAGACGCCTGGAGGCTAGCGGCAGCGGTGGCGGCGGTCTTGGCTTCGCCGCCTTCGTCATCACCGCCGCCAGCGGCGCTGTAGAGCGTGCTCTGGGAAACATAGGTCGACTGCGTGTCCATAGTCGCAGATCTACAGACGTGAAGAAGTTCACTCCATCTTTTATGAGACCCTCCCCTTTACGCTGCGCTTAAACATAAGCGCGCAGAACATCAGGCGCTTGCGCTCGTAGTGGGTGGGTGGAGTTCGAGCTTGTCGGTATAAAACGGCTCAGCGCTGGTCCACTTCGACAAGTTAACCAAAAAATCAAACAAACCAAGTATCACTGAGTATGGCGAGCGAGCATATCCCCCAGAGACGGCACTCTGAGGCGCTCCTGAAGCTGCAGGAGCGAGAGGAGAGCGTGGGAGGAGGAAAGTTCCACACGCAGTACGAGCCCAAGGAGATCCTTGGAAAGTAAGTCCGACTAGCGAACCTTCTAGAAACACGCAAGAGACACAATATGTTCGTAGCTATCTATATTATACGTATATACACACCGCGTGGTTTCTGTCGTATGACCTTTTCTCTTATCTCTCTCATCTCTGTATCAAAACACGCCCCCTCCACACCCCTTATCACCCTTTCTCCCACACAGAGGTCTCTCGAGCACGGTGAGAAGGTGTGTGTGTAAGGAGAGCGGGAGAGAGTACGCGGTCAAAGATAGTGGACCGGAAACAGGAGGAGTCAATCACAGAGAGCATTGCCGTGGAGATTCAGATCCTACGCTCCCTCCCGCACCACAAGCACATTAGTAAGTCCAGATCATTTGCTCCCGTCCGCACCACAAGCACATTAGTAAGTCCAGATCATTTGCTCCCTTCCGCATCACAAATACTTTAGTAACTCGTGAATGCGGTGAGGGTATTCATGTAGACCTTTCACTAGAGGTCGCTGCACACGTACAGTATGTGTCCAGAGTGCACTTTCACATTCCTACCAAAATGTTGTTTTGTCTCTGAGAGTGACTCTGAGCAATTATGGTGCATGCTGTGCGTGAACCCATTAATGTCCTCTGTGACTGTGGCTCTAACCCTCTTCAATTCACAATTACTCACGTATGCTGCAGTATAAGTATTTGACATTATGCACCGTTTAGAAAGCCTATTCATTGCTCGCTGAGCTAATGCTGTGTGTCATTTCTTCGCAAAGGCTAGATTATTGGATGCCAACATTCCACTTTCTTGCATAATTCTGCAAAGCCATACACTTGCCAAAGCTACCCTTGTTGCAAAGGCAACGTGGCAAATGCATAGTGCACCAGCTAGTACGTAGCATTCTGCCCGATGTCAGGACAGATGGTGCAGTGTAATAGTATGTGGCTTTCAATCTTGCCAATGCTCTTTTCACTATCTACTGATGCACGACCGACATCACTACACTACACAAACAAGCAAGATTTACACTATGTCTCCTGTTCTGTAGAGTGTATATTCTCTTTTCCAATTACACTTGCATTAAACCCTGGCATCACAGCATACATTTGGACGGACACATTGTATTTACATCCTATTGTGCAAACCAACAACCCAGGAGCCCTAGCAATGTACTATAATGATAGTGAATGAGATTGCATTACACCATAAGTGTCAGGTTGTGGTCTCACTTCCTTTTCATCTCCTGCCTCCACACACTGCAATAGAGGGGAACCTTATTACAATGCTAGGGTGTCAGTTGCTGTGAGCATGCAGAGGGAGGCCGTAGAATCAGCACTGTCAGTGGCGTTGAAACGTTTGAAGTTACACTTCTCACAACCTCCCCTTCCTGCATCATTGTCATTTACTGTTTCAAGGGCTCTTCAGCATGTTGCCGGTGGTTTTACCCAAATATGCAGTTTTGTTGTCCCTATACTGTAGATATAGGCACTATTGCCTATACATTTGTGTCTATGTGGTTTCTGCTAGTGTTACTGCTGTTACTATGTTTTCGTGGCGTTGTCTTTGTGTGCAGTTAACCTGGTGGACGTGTTCGAGTCTGATGCCTTTGTCTTTATGGTGTTTGAACTGTAAGTTTCATCTACTATTTTAGCCGGTTGTCATAACTTTCACTTTTTCCTTCTACCTTCTTCCTTTCCTCCTATATATATACAACTCTCTCCATTATTATTATCTCACCCTCTCTAGGGCAACTGGTGGCGAGCTTTTCGATTACCTCACAAAAATGGTCAAATTATCAGAGAAAAGAACGAGGTAATGCAAACTGGAATCTGTATCCAGCACATCTGCTAACTTGCGTGTTTTGCTTCATTCTTTTAGACAAGTAATGTTCCAGTTATTTACGGCAGTAGAGCACATGCATGCACACAACATCATCCACAGAGACTTAAAAGTAAGTGGTGCTGCACACTTTAACAGTAAACGTGTGTATTATAATGGAATTTGTGTATGCGTACAGCCCGAGAACATACTCCTAGATGATCATCTCAACGTGAAAGTGTCCGACTTTGGATTTGCCACCATCTGCGAACCTGGCAACACTCTCTCTGGTAAGTAGATGTACACAGTACAGAGTCTCCATACCCTTAACACTTAACCAGCCAAACATAAATGTGTCCATTGTCTCCATAAGCAGCAGGATTTTATATGGAGGTTTTAATACTAGGCGTTAATACTTTGGTTTCTGCTTGTACACTAGTGGCGTGGAAAGGGTTAATGTTTATGGAAAGAGTTTCATCCCTTCACTGTTTGTCTCAAACCTGCCACATGAGCTACATGCAAAACCTGTCGTTTGACTCCCTCTCCCTCTCTCATCTCTCTCTCCTCTCCCTCTCTCATCTCTCTCTCCTCTCCCTCTCTCATCTCTCATCTCTCTCCTCTCCCTCTCTCATCTCTCTCTCCTCTCCCTCTCTCATCTCTCTCTCTCCTCTCTCCCCCTCTCTCCCCCTCGCTCCCCAATGATGCCCCCAGAACTACTAGGAACACCAGGCTACTTGGCTCCTGAGATGCTGCGGAGGAACGTTGAACCCGGGTCACCTGGCTACTCCCATCCTGTTGACATGTGAGGCACATCTCTCGTTAACACATTTAATTTTATAGGGGTCCCCCACAATTGTGAACTTTGGCTATTATTACTGACTGCTAATGGAACAATTGATGATGCATTGTAAATAGTAAGATCGAGAAGCTTTTGCATGACATTGTCAAAAACCCAAGGAGCCCCTATATAGAATAGGCAACGCATTAATGCATAATTGTCATAGGAATGTAGAGGTGCACCACCCCGGAGAGTGCAAGACAAGTGAACTAAATCCCATTGTTAAAGGGAAATTCTTAGTATCAACCACTACAGTTCCTTGTCGGCTCTTGTGTGTTGTCAAGACGATGACGCTGTTCCTATAAGCATCAGCGTAAACAAACCGTACATTGTGAGAGGCTATATATGGGCAGTGGGCACTCTATGCCTCCGATACTAGTGTGTATCTGTGCATTGTTATAATTGTGTGTATTACACACAGAGGGCGTGATGCCCATAGATTATACAGCCACAATATAGGGGCGACCGCTGTATTACAAACCTTTTTGCCACGAGAATGTGCTTCAACAGTTATCTGGTCATGTTTGCGCCCTGGCGTACTAGACGCGAGGTGTGAAATAGTGTATTGCGGCAATTACGAAGGAAGTACGTGGAGCAATGTTCCAATTAGACTGTAATTATAGTCTCATTAACTCGGAACTTTCATTGTGACGACTTTCCTAATGACCAGAATTGTTGAGTTGTTACGTGAATTAGTACACATCGTAACACAATGCCCGAATAGAAATTGTGATATTTTGCCACGAGTGCAAGCTTTGCTACGTACACGTACAAGGGGTCACAATGCAGAACAATGTAATGTAGTGCAACTACAATCATTTTATTCTTGCTAATCAACATTATCTTTCCTTTATTTCTTCTATTTTTCAGGTGGGCTTGTGGAGTCATCATGTACACCCTGTAAGTATACTACCTCTCCATCTATTCATTGACACTTTTACATTTTAGACAAGCAGCGAACGCTATGCAGCATGCATGACCTTGAACCACCGCCTGTGCAAGTGTACAGTATCGGACCTTCAGGAAGTATAATACAGATAGGCTCATACCTTTGCCTGTGCAATGCTTGTGCAAGCATATAGTATTGTTACAGTTATGATATGCAGGAAAATCACGCAAGACCCACACTCTGGTCTGCTCTTCACATTGGCATGCCTGCCTGCCTCCACGGTTCTGTGTTTGCCAAAATCACAATTACCTACACCTTACGTACGTACGTACCTAGCCTACGTCGAGTCTGTAATCCATAGTACAAGGTCATCAGGGGTCAGCTATACGCACACATGGCCAGTATGTATCTGCTCTTTCCTTGTTTAGTCAAAGATAAAGTATGCATCTTCGCTAGTAGTAATTGGTTGGTATGGACTCTATACCATTGTCCTTTTGTCCGGCTGTGTCTCCTCCTCGTTATGCCCCCAGATTGGCAGGGTTCCCCCCATTCTGGCACCGGAAACAGCTTATGATGCTGAGAAACATCATGGACGGGAAGTACGAGTTTGTCAGTCCGGAGTGGGACATCATCTCCGACTCTGCCAAGGACCTGGTCAGTCTTCCTCCCTCCCCCCCTCTCTCTCTTATTACAGTACCATAAATACTAGCGGCCTTGCCTCTGTGGTACATGTAAATCTCATGGCAATAATCGTGCTAGCACATTATTGTGGTGCTGAATATTTTGTCGAGCGTGAACAAAAGAATTTGGACTGATTGATAAATAATAGGTGCATGTATTCATATAGGCCCAGTTACACAGCATCATCTGGTCCTTATCTACTGTAATTACATACATATTCCCTATGATCTCATAACGTAAGTCTTACCTTTGAACTCCACGATATCAGCTGTGTGGTATGTTATGATCATAGGGTAGAGTCTAGTATTATAGATATAATATGCCTAGAGTGAAGAAATTCAGTATCTACTAATAGTTCATTTATTATTATATCTTGTCTCTCCCCCCAGATCAGTAAGCTCCTGGTGACTGACCCAGGGAAGAGACTGACGGCCACAGAGGCACTCAACCATCCCTTCCTACAGTTCCAGCAAGTGGAGTTCAGAGTCTTCTCGGGTCTCAGAAAGTTCAAGGTGTGAGACTTTCCTCTCTCTCCCCTCACTGTAGGGATTTTGTGCATTGTACTGTGTTCTCCAGCTGTGCAAGGTGAACTTGTAGATTGTAGGGTCTTCCATTTAATGCTGCTTCTTCTATTACGCATGATGAACCTCATTATTTATGGGTGCTTTACGCTTTCGAGTTCCACCACATATTATACATAGCTGCTTTCTTGCATGGGTCGCAATCTGTACCTTAATGCTTAACGTATTTCTAAAGACTTTCTAGGGTTGCACGCAAATAATGGAATTTAATAGTTCTCCACACAAAGCGTATTGCAGTGAATTAGGTGCAGGATTTGGGCTAGTGAAATATAAGATATAACCTTGCACGGTATATGAGATAACCTTGCACAGTATATGAGATAACCTTGCACGGTATATATAACGTCTATATACCGTCTCCACAGGGTGCGGTCTACTGCGTGTGGAGCTGCCACGCCTTTGAGAAGATGCACTCACGGAGCACACCCAAGACTTTCACCCTGGCCAGTATTGGGGACGTCCCCTATGAAAATAGGTTCGTTCGCCAGCTGGTGGACTCGTGTGCCTTCCACATCTACGGTCACTGGGTGAAGAGAGGCGAGGAGCAGAACAGAGCATTGCTGTTCGAGACGGCTCCAAAGAAACTATCTCAGATCCCCACACAGGCACTGTTGTCCACTTTCCCCCGGCCCAAAAGCCTCTGGTCTCATTAGTAATCACTGCCCCTGTTCGTCTATAGCTTCTTATTATTTTTGTGTTTCTATTATTATCTTCGATCACTTACTTTATAATGTAAGTCTATAATTATACTTGTGATCACAACAGTATCGAGTGAGATGAAAAAATAATTTGACATCATGGTGAACTGGTATCAGTAATCTGTGTTAAAGGTGACTATATTTTTGGTGAGTTGCTGACGTGTCCACTGCTCCACAATGCCTTGTAGGAAGTCGGGTCTCACTACTTTTCCCCCTGTGCTCGTTGTACACGTGAGACGAGGTCGCCTTGTCAGGGGCATCCCCATCGATCCTTAGATAAACTCCCTCCACTGGACCATCATAGAATGCACTCTGCGTATCCAGCAGCCACTTCAACAGCTATAAAACAAAACCGCAGACATTAATAAACCAACATTGTATAGATGTAAAAGGCCAAATTCATAGCAGGTGGTAAAAATCTATTTGGTGCCAACAGTCAAAGGTAGAATAAAAAGCTGGACCAGCTTTGAGGCATGTGGACCACGATTTGTCATCTTGAGTATTGTGTTTGTGGGTATATAGTGATCAGTTGACCAGACTGATTCAACAAGGGGGGAGGAGGGAGTTAGCTAAGTAAAAAGGCTCACATCTTTCCGTCCGTCGATGGTTGTCTCAGAGATCCTCCTGACCACCGTATCCCGGTCCCCTCCAGTCGCCGGTTCCTCTCTCGCCAGCTGAAAAACTTCCCCGCACTCCTGTCAAAGATGTCAAAGGCCATAAAGTGGCCCGGGAGTCTGGTGTAGTGTATGGAGTGCTTGGCATAGAGCCACTCTCCAAACAGGACGAGGTTCTTGGACTCCAGCAGCTCATACAGTGTTCCGGAGTTTTCCTCCAGCCAAGACTCCAGTGTACTGAACTGGGCGTGAGTCTTGGAATTGACAAAGTGGGAGCGGTTCTGCACCCTGAGCTGCAAGTCTTCGCCCACTGATATCCCCAGATTTGCCCCATCCACTTTCTCTTCGATGCACACCAGTCGTCCGGATGGTGCTCCGGGTCGTCTCCCTCTGGCCCGGGATCCCGCCGACCGTCCCGAATAGAACACGGCTTCCTCGCCCTCGTCCAGTAGCAGGTCGTCTCTGGAGACGCCAGATCCCCCGGCGTCGAACAGGTGCCGCGTTCGAGGAAACTTGAAGAGTGTTTCTTTCTCCGCAGACGCCATTTCTCTGCCAGTCTTGACAACTTTAGTCTTTGTAGCGGACAACAGAATTGTTAGCCTTCTGCACAAGGCGTCTGGCAAGAAATGAGTGCCTCTGAGAACTGCAAAAGATTACAAACAGCCAGCAAAGAGAGATTTCCACTTCTTGTGCAATCCGGCGTGGCTCGAACCAGCCCCGCCCATTACAATCGCGCATGCGCACAAACCAGACGGTGATCAATGCAATCCGGATTATTACAATGAACAATGAACAAGGGCTCATTTCTTTGGCGAGGGAGTTGACTTGGCCTTGAGAGCCTCAGTGGGCGACGGAGACTTGACAAACTTTGGCTTTGGGATCCTGGTAAGGAGATCAGGGACCTCCTTAGCCTCGTCGTATTTCTTCCACAGTTTGTAGAGATCAAGGATCTGCGTGGTGATCTCGAGGATCTTTTCCATGTCGACCGAGAGCTCTGCGAACCATCCCTTCACGTCTTTCTTGGTCACAACGGCCGCCATGTGTATGCAGGTGAGGGCAATCAAGTAGGGTGGGTACATCAGACTTACGTCACATCTGGCAAGTGGGCAGGGGAATACAAGTGAGAGTACAGACATACATACACACTCACAGTGCAATGAACACCCATAGATAATGCCCTATAGAGTAGGCCTTTGCCTTGTGTCAGGATGTAAAAGCCATAGCCAAGTAAAGAGTTACGTCATTTAACATAAACAGGTCACAGAAAGACTCCACCATAAAAATCAAGAGGGGAATATAAATTATACACACACCACATGCAATGTGCATATAATTATTATGCATCAACGGATTTTGACCAAACAGAACTATCATTGTCTTTTTACCGATAGGTGTCGTTGACGATACGCCAGGCGGTGGGCAGAATAGAGTCCTGGAGACCAAGGTCAGACAAATACTGCGTGAGCGGCCGGTAGGGATGGTAGACAATAAGGCAGCAGTCCAGCATCTCCAGGAGCAGAAACTCGCACTCTAGGATGTGGTTGGTTCTGTACGGGTAGTCTGGTCTCAGAATGTTCTGGTACTTTTGCCAAACTATCAGCTTGCACTTCATGACCAGCTGGTTGGGGGGCATCGTCCCGCACTCTTCTACCTTGGAGGCGAGGTGGAGGCACGTGGGACAGAGGAGGAGCGGGTCGATGTCGCCCAGGGAGTGGCGAGAGTAGAAGCGCTGGTAGTAGACGATGGCCGTGGAGATTACTTGCTGTCTGAGGCGGAGGTACTCGCCGCCCAGGCACTGGATAAAGTTGGCAAAGAAGATGTGGACTTTGTGGAGGTCCTCGGGGGACTTGAGGGCGGCCAGATCTCGCTGGCGGCCCAGCTCGATCTCCTGCTTGTCAAGTAACCACTCTTGGTAGTGGCTGGACTGCCAAAAGTTGCCCGCCATCTCTCTAGACTAGCTGCGTATCGGGAGATATTTTTTATTGGGTTTACCAAGTGAGCGAAATCATGATCAGACAAACCAACACACTTTAAGTGTTTGAAATTTCTCTCGGTCCCCCATGCACGAACAATTAGAGTAACCTCAATTTCTGCGCATCCTCTAGAGAGACTAGACTACCTGTGGAACGCAATTAGTGTACAAGAGGCGTGGCAACACGTCGACGTTGCACCACGATGAAGAAATGCCTTAGCCGCGTATCTGCACGTCTCCTCCGTCTCTCCGTCACATCAGACTCCCCCTGGAGCCATGGAAAAGCAGCTCCCAGCGTCTCTTTCGAGGCAGCACTCCGTGAACGCTCTCATGATCGAACGAGAGGCCACCTCGCCACGCCCTCCTCAGCAGCAGTCCCCTGCAGCAGACGAGGAAGAGGAAAAAACGCCTCTCTTGCAGGGGAAGTCAGACTTGGAGGGTGTCTCCACCAAAAAAGGGACCGGGAGGTGGAACTTGAGGACCCTGACGCTGCTCGTGGTCCTGTGGATCGCCTGCATCTTGATTTCTTCCTGCTATTCCATGATTGCACCGTTTTTCCCCCATGAAGTAAGTTCAAGTGTTTCGTTAGGTCTTTAGGCTTCTTCCAGGTCTTTCAATGAACAGGCTTTGTAATATCTATGTACTACTGTATATACCTTGCAAATTTGAAACATACACAGCTAGTTTCTGTTTGTGTTTTTGACAGGCTCAGAAGAAAGGGTGCTCTCTGCTAGTTGTTGGTGTGATACTGAGTGCATCTCCTTTCTGTGTATTCACAACGTCACCCATCTTTGGATATCTGGTGAGCTTATACGTACGTACATCGTATCTGTGCGGCATCTGCTAACCGTTGCAACTGTAGTTGCCAAAACTGGGGATAAGGTTCTCCATGATCTTCGGTTTTCTTCTTGTTGGAGTTGCATTCATCCTACTAGGGTAAGATTTATCTCTTACAGTTACAACTGATTTATACTAGTTATTGTGGGTTTGTATAATATCCTTCCTACTTTAAACCACACAGGAAATAACTTGTACCCCTATGGTTGCAGACAGGTATATATAAAACAGACAGGTCAATTGTGTTTTCACCCACGTGTGTAGGTTCCTGCAAGATTTGCCCGACGGATGGTTGTTCATTGTAGCTGCCACGGTGCTGAGAATGACAGAGGGTATTGGGTCTTCTCTCGCCTTCACTGGCATGTACACACTGCTACCTGTGCTCTTTCCAAGCCGCGTTGGTCTAGTCATGGTCACTCCCTTGTACTCCTCTACTGTCTAGTAACTAACTCAATGGTTTCTCTAGGGAGTGTTTGAAGTGGGGAGTGGACTAGGGTTCGCAGTGGGACCACCTATTGGAGGACTCTTGTACACTGTGAGGCTTGTCTGTAGTGAGGTTTGGTTGAATGTGTGTGGTTCTACACTCGTAGGTTGGAGGGTTTATGCTTCCATTTGTGAGCGTTGGTGCCACCGTACTCCTCATAATCCCACCTACATTCCTTCTCTATAAGAAGACAAGTATGCTGGCATGTCTGATTGTTCATCACAATATGGTCAGCTGCGTGCTTCCTTCCGTGCAGGTTGCCAGCCTAAAGTCATTTCCTTCGGAGTCATTCGCCGGCTCTCTGGCAACTTTGTATTTGTCCTCCTCTGTAAGCTTTTCCAACGATGATGATGCTATTCTCTACGTTGTTCATATCATCTGCCCCTGCAGTGATAAGTCAGGTCATCTGTCTCACAGCACTCGGGTTTCTCAATCCCACATTCCAGCCATTCCTCCACAAACAGGTCTCTCTTTGGTTGTTAAGCGCCATTCGTTTTATACCTTATGAGTTTATCAGGAAGATGGGAACTAAAGTGTAGCAACTAAATGAAAACTGTAAATCCTTTAAGTGCTGTTACAGACTTCTTACACTACTCCCCTGGTTTGAGTGAAATACTAGCTCTGAAACTGTTATTCCTCAGTTTGGTTTGGATGAGCTGCAAGTTGGGCTGGTGTTCATCTGTGCACCAGCAATGTACATGATCCTTGCAGCTATCTTTGGTGCTCTGGCTGACAAATTTGTAGGTTTTGCACCCAGACATACGAAACCTGTGCCTTGACTGTATGTTGTGTCTTGTGAAGGGACCGAGAGGTTTCATAGTGTCTGGATTCCTAATCAGTGGAGTGTCTTTCTTTTTAATTGGACCTGCCACCTTTATTACCACACCGTGAGCATTGCTAATGTATCCATGAGTCGTATTTCACCCTTGTACTGTGCATTATCTGTCTACAGTCGACTGTGGTTAACAATTGTTGCATCTCTGCTTATGGGAGTGGGGCTGGCCCCTGCGTTTATCCCCAGTTACTCCGACCTCCTCAAAATTGCCAAGTGAGTAGCTACGTATAGATTACAACCCACTTTCAAAGAGAGCACTTAACTGTGTGTGTGCGTGTGTGTGTCTCACAGGACACAGCATCCAGAGGTAAACACAGAGGTTCTGACTGGAGTTGTCTCAGGTCTCACCTCTGCCACCTTATCTCTCGGGTGAGGCTTCTCCACCCCAGGCTCTCGGCACTTTAAACGTTGTCACGAACTGGTGCTAAAACGTTAGTAATTGGCATTTCTGGAGATAAATTATGTGATGATACTTACGTGTAGCTTATAAGCTAAACCTGATTGAGCGTTGTCCCTGAAGCATGCATATTAGAGTGGCTTTGTGTGAGTGAGTTGTGCTCATTTGGTGTTTATATATCAGGGAGTTCATTGGTCCCCTACTGGGTGCTTCGCTGACTCAGTTCACCGACTTCCAGACCTCTACAGTGGTACGCATCACCATTTGATTGATATACATCCTCAATATATATCTCTACTGCCATCTTTCTCTACAGCTACTTGGACAAGTTCTTTGGGCACAGGTATTACGCAGAGTGGAACTTTGTGTGACTAGCTTTGTTGTTGTTTTCTGTGCAGGCATTTCTGCTGTTAGGAGCAACCCTGATTGACAGATTTCACAATCATAAGCAGTCACCATGATCTCATCTATTGTTGCTGTCCCCATAATAACAATCAGCAAGAAAAATTTTATCAAGCCGCGCGTCAATTGTGAGCATGCGCGCTTCCCGACGCGTCTCAATATAAACCCTCGCTGCGCATGCGCATCGAGGGTTAACCAGCCCTAAATCGTTTTGGCTCGGCTCGCTCAGCGCATGCTGCTACTGCGGTGTGCGCCGCTAAAAGGCGTGAGTTACCATGAAATGCAGATTCAGAATGGCCTCAGAGATTTTTGCCTTTCTTCGCTGTAAGCAATGTGTCAGAGCTGCAGATACCCCTGTAGCAAGACATGCGGACTTCGAGCTGAGGGCTCTTACAGAGGAAGACGGAAATGAGGAAGAACCTAGTTATACGTGGAGGAGAAATATTCTGATTGCTGCTCTGCTGTCCACGATCACATTTTTTGTAGCATCGGCCTATTCTATGGTCGGCTCGTTCTTCCCAATTGAGGTATTGCATAATTGTAGGGAGGTTAGCTAGCAGGGCCCTACGTCGTGCGTGTAGCTGGATGGGGTACCTCAGTCATCATGGGGATTCACGGGATGGTGCTCCACAGTCAAGCGACTGGCAGTCAAGGAGCGTCCCAACAACGCTGTGGCCCGCTGTTAGTTACGTAGACTTCGCAGCGAGCGAAGCCACATAATTATAGGGCGTATTACAAGGCCAAAGACCGGTTGGCCGTCTGTTTATTAGCGGGCACGGCTTTGCCATGATAATGCAGCTTACTCAGTTGATTCAACTTGACTGGAGTGGGATTCACAGGATGGCTTTCCACAGGAGCTCATGCATGAAAGTCAAAGGCTCGAAAGAGCGTCCCAACAACGCTACGCGCTGTGGCCTGTTAGCACATAGCATAGCCAACTACTATATAGACTTCGCGTGCTGCGAGCGAAGCCACCTAATTATAGGGCTACAAGGAAGGCCAGTTAGCCATCTGCGTATTCTGCAAATTAGTGGGCACGGCTTAGCCATGGTAATGCATTCAGAGTCGGTTGATTCATCAGGTTACCCTAGGGATGCACATTATTTGGAACCCATAAAACCCTCAGGCAGCTGAGATGGGGAGCAATTCTATCACCACTGCAGTAATAATAGGAGTCTCTCCACTCTGTCTGGCTACCTTATCTCCAGTCATTGGATACTTTGTGAGTCCATGAATCACTCTTCTTTATGACAGAGTCTGCATAATTACGTATCAGCTCCCCAAGTTGGGCATAAAGATGATTCTTGTATCTGGACAGGTTCTGGTTGGAGGAGCTTTTTTTCTCATGGCGTAAGACGTCAAACACTTTAGGCAATAAAAATGTTGTGATTATTGATTATTGATTGTTAGGTTCCTGGCTTACATGCCTTCATCCACATCATTTGTGGTGTATGGTATACTTCTGAGGGTAACAGAAGGAGTTGGCTGGGCAATGTCTAACACGACCACCTTTGCTCTTATACCAGTTCTCTTCCCATCTCGTGTCGGAACACTCACAGTGAGTATAACTTACATAGAGTGCAACCATCCTCAATTTTCCACTCCTGAGACAGGGACTGATATTTGGAGCACTTGGACTGGGGTATACTGCTGGCCCTCCACTTGGCAGCATACTTGTTGTTGTAAGATGCAGCCTAATACATACCATGTTTTTGTCGCTCCTTTCTGAATCTGTGACACTGTAGGCTGCTGGGTACAGTGCTCCATTCTGGATCGTCGGGGGAATTCTTCTCTGCCTTGCTCCAGTAACATTCCTGCTACTGAAAGAAACAAGTTAGAACTATTATTTTGTTTTAAATGTTATTATACACACTTGTGTAGGTACTTCTTCCAAGGTCCTTCCATTTCAGATTGTCATAAAGCTTCTTAGTCACCTTAGCTTCTCCATGATTCGTGAGTCAGCTAAATTATAATTGTGGTGTATAATGAAGTGTGTATGTATATGTAAGGATACCAAAGCTATACTTTCTGCAGAAATTGCAGATATAGTGGGATATGGTTCACTGACATTCCAAGGTGCAGCACTTGGTGTGTATCTGATGAATGAGGTATTATTAATTGCCAGAGAAGTGTGCCATAGCACAGTGTTTTATGATGGGTTTGCCCCGACTTTGAGCACAGCCTGCTGAGCTTCCCTGGCTAGAGAACAGAGTTGTGGGTTCGGGTCCCACCTATAGGGCAGCTCAAAAACGTCTTTGGTGCAGTTGTGTTGTTTATTGATACACACTTACCTTGCCTTAAAGGAATCATTAGGTCTTCGGAAATCCCCTACCATTCTGAGTCTCCACTCATTCACAGATTGGTTTGAACCTGTTGGAGATAGGGATATATTTTGCAGTAATAGCTGTGAGCTACACACTGATCACTGTTGTAGCTGGTTGGCTCTCTGACAAATTTGTGAGTTTCAGTTGCAATTTGCCACTAAGTTACAAGAACCTGACTTTTCAGGGACCAAGAACACTCATAATAACTGGACTATTCATTTGTGGAGCTTCACTCATGGTTTTGGGATTGAATCAGTTGCCTCCTATACCGTTCGTTTGAGCAGCACAATACCTGTTTTATTTAAAATCTTGCTACAGTCCACAGTGGACAATTCTCATTGCTCTGGCTCTGGTAGGATGTGGAGCAGCTCTTGCTGATGTGCCAACATATTCAGACCTCCTGCAGCAAGCACAGTGAATATCTTCATACATTATGTCTGACGGTCTGAGAGGATAATGTTGTACTTTTTTACAGGACACTTTACGCAAAAGAAAATCAAGAATCTCTGATTGCTGCAGTTTCTGGGATTACAGCTTTTTCTCAGGCATTTGGGTGAGGAAACTTCACGGAAGATGCATAGGGTATATACTTAGTATACTTTATCAAATGCAGGTCATTTTTGGGAGCCATACTGGGTGGTTTTCTCACATACTTCACAGAATTCACCACTGCATCTCTGGTTAGCTCGCAACAAAATACTGTGTGCTATATAATATGTATCTGTCAATAATTTGTTTCCTGCACAGATATTCGGTGAAGTAATAACAATGCACGTATGTTTTTGTCTTACAGTTGTAGCTGTTAATAAACATGCTGTGCTTTTCTTTGTGTAGGCATTCCTTGTACTTGGAGTATCTCTGATAGATCACTTATTCTTGAAGCTAAAATCCTGATAGTAATATATTGTCATCTTCATTCATTTTTTCAAGTTAAAGGGAGGCACAACTGAAGCACAAAGATGCTGTAGAATGTAACAAAGGCATTACTTGCTCTTTTGACCACAAAGGTTCTTTAATTGCCACAAAGCCATTGTTACAATGGCTCCTATTACGTGACTGTCCACGTATTATAAACAGCTTGTTCACAAGAGATTTGCGCATGCGCAGCGAAGGCGTTCCCACCAGAAGCTTGCGCCAGACGAGACTATATACCAAGTCCTCGGTAAACCAATGGCCTCAGAGATATTTGCACTTCTTCGATGCGTCCGAACTGCGGATAGACATGCGGACGGCGCGCTGATTGGTTTTACGGAGGAGGACGAAGCTAGGGAAGAACTTGGTCATCCTTGGGTAAAACGGAGAAGGTTTCTAGTTGCTGTTCTGTTGTTGACAATGACATTCTTTGTATCATTGGCATACTCCCTCGTCGGCTCCTTCTTCCCTATTGAGGTAAATACTGACCTACCTGTAATTGTTGGATTCACATGCAAAGCTACATCAGCTCATGCCCTGGGTGTGTTGAAACAACCATAGGATAAGAGCAGTGATAATAATTATTTCAACCTACAGTAACTATAGGACAACTAAACACGAAAGCCCACTGGTCTGAACATACCTTGAATGGCAGAAAATAGGTTCTTCCTCTAAAGTTCTTCCACTTAAGATTGTTATCAAGCTGCTCAGTCACCTCGGCTTCACTATGATCCGTGAGTCAGTCCAAGTTTCATTTAAGCTATAATACTGTCAATTTCGATAGAAATCTCCGACGTGGTGGTGTATGGCTCATTAGCATTCCAGAATACAGCACTTGGTGTTTATTTGGTGCGCGAGGTTAGGTATTGAGTAGCTATATAGTCATGCACTGATCATCATACTTTATAATGTTCAAAAAAACTCCTTATGTTCTCAGCAAGCCACTATCATCGTGAAGGATTTTGGAATTTACTACACCTTTCCTTTGATTTGTTTCCACTCAGATTGGTGTGACCCTGGTGGAGGTAGGAATAGACTTTGCAGTAGTGTCAGTGTTCTATGTGCTGGGCACAATTGTAGCTGGCCAGCTCTCCGACAAATATGTGAGTTTGATTTTTGGCATGCCACTATCCTATATACACCGATTAATCGGAAGCTGACTTATAGAAGATCATAATAACCGGACTATTCATTTGTGGAGCTTCACTCGTGATTATAGGATTGAACACACTGTCTCCTATACCGTTAGTTAGAGAGCACCAAATCTATCTACAGTGCTGTTTTACATGTGAATCCTGCTATATAGTATAGTCGCCGGTGGACAATCATCATTGCCCTTGTTCTGTTAGGATGGGGAACAAGTCTTTGCTGATGTGCCCACATATTCAGACCTCCTGCAGCAAGCACAGTAACCTTCCCCATATGATTGACTGTCACGTTGTATAATACTCTTCCTGTTATAGGACACTTTATGCAAAAGAGAATCAAGAATCGCTGCAGTGTCTGGGATTTCAACTTTTTCTCAGGCATTTGGGTGAGGAGCTGACCCAGATAAAACTCACGAGATTATTATTTTACAAACACAGGTCATTTCTGGGAGTTCTTCTTAGTGGTATACTTACATACATTACAGATTTTCCTACTGGAAATTTGGTTAGCATGTATGTAGCTATTCGCTAAAAATTTCACTAACAATTTTTGTTTCCTGCACAGATGTATGGTGAAGCAATAATAATGCATGTAAGTTTGTCTTTAAACAGGCAGCCATTCTAACACAAGTTCCTCTTAATTGCAGGCATTTCTTGTACTTGGAGTGTCTCTGATAGATTACGTATTATTGAAGCAAAGGCCTCATCAGTATTAACAATAATTATTATCACCCAAATTATTATTTTACCCCGTCAACATTCATAAACCACTTTCACTAACACAGCAACTTTGCAGGTGCATGTGGAGTCGCGAAAATTTTACAACAAAACACACACACTATAATTATAGCTCTAACTCTTGGCTACTTCTGAACTCACTAAACTACCCCCACTCTGACTTGCAACACTGTCCACCGCTCCCCCAGTCTCCCCGAGTCTATCCAGTTGCCGGCTCATCTCTGACGGGATTGCCACCTTGTCCAGGTCCCTCATACCTGGCTCAGGCTCCTCCCCAATGAGGATGCTGATTAGCTCCAGGCAGCAGCGTCTCACTCCCTCGTCCTTCTCCCAGGAGTCCAGGGCACGGAGGATGAGATAGACTTGTTTGTCTCGCAGGTAGCTCCTCCCTAGCTGCGTCGAGCAGAGCTGTGTGTGGTTATACAGTGGAACCTCCGAGTAAAGGAGACGCTTGGGACCAGGCATTTTGTCCTTTACTTGGAATGTCATTTATCGGAGGTTTGACCAAATGTCCTTACTGAATGTCATGTCTTTATCAGAGGTTCTACGTACACACATACACTTCTGACATGCTCAAAATAGTCACATAGGCCAAGTACAAGAAAATCTTTGAACTTGCTTTTGTTAATGCTTCAAGAAGCATCTTCCTAATGTCAGGGTCCTCCTCCCTGGTCTTGTCGTTAGGGAGATACTGGAGGTCGATGGGCAGCCTCTCAGCCTCGTCCTCAGACAACTCCTCGGGCCCAGCCAGAGGGAGGAGGAGAGACGGCAGGATGTCCACCTCTTCTCCCAGCAGCCACTCGTGACTCTCTGCAAACAGGGAACCAGACTAACTCGGCAGGAGAATGGAATAGCTACTCTACTATATATACCAAGGAAAACTCACATATATTGTGGTGGAATGATCACATGCACGACATTCACTCGTCATATGTACACACCATTATGGTTTTACTAATGACTTCAGGGCCATAGCTTATTGAAGAGGAGATCTTTGCCAAACCATTGCAAATGGACAAACAAATGGATCTTCAAATTTCACAACTATATCTATTGTGTACCACTCTATGCGTACCAACTTGAAAGCAGAGGTTTCTGAGGAGTCCAATTATGCCTCCTCTCCTGGTCAGGGAGCTGCTCTGAGTGTAGTGCAGGAGACGAGGCACGATGCACTTGTCTCTGTTGAGAAACATCTTCCTCACCAGCCCCAGTCGGGATATGTTAGAGAAGACGGTGGCCAGGTAGTCATAGTTGGCGTGCTTACTGTAGCCCACCCTCCCAAAGATATCCACGAGATTGTAGAGAGAGACACTGCAACCGCCACTCTCTGCAAGTGCCCGGGACACGGCTGACGAGCCGCTCTCCCCGCGGGTCAGGTTGGAAAGAGTCATGCAGATCTTGTCCGCCTCCTTCCACTTAGAATCGACCAATCTTTCCAACAGACGAGGGGCGGCGTCCAGTCTCACCAGACTCTCGGCCAGCTCGGCGTCTGCAGAGGCGTTCAGCAGCGCTAGGTGAGAATCTCGGCACAACACCGGTTGGCTCGAGTCTCCAGCTAGCTCCAGCAGTCGCTGCAGGAGTCTCGTGTGTTTCCCGAGGAGTGCAAGACCCTCCGATGATCCAGTGAGTCCCAGGACATAGTCTAGCGCAGAGGACCTCAGATCCAGGCGAGCGGAGGGCGACAGGAACTCACACAGCTCGTCCAGTTCTGCCATGATCATCACTTGGCTCCACGTGTATGCGCATGCGCACAAACTTATCGAACTAGAGACTGCGTGCGCGTGCGCACACCACACGACGCGCAGCTAGCTAGCTAGAGCCACGCCTCCACTTGAGCTGTCAATGAATGATCTCAGCAGAACTCACTTCAGAGGGTAGTAGCGACGACCTCGCTAGGCTGGCGGACCCCTGAAACACACGTTTTTTCTGCTGTGACAACTGAACCGACAACTTGTCCAGGTTAGTCGATGACCAATTGCAGCCAAGCTGCAGTAACAACCGATGTATAGTACTCTGAACTGCATAGCTAATTTTACTGCGCTCGTGTTCCCCACAGAGTACAGGATCTGGAGTTGCGGACTGTCTGATGGCGGCAGCGCTGGAGTTGTCAGACTCGACGGCCATCATCATTCTGGCCTCCATTGCCGGAGTCTACTTCAGCATCACTGCGGCGTGCTCCGTCGTCATCTGCCGCATCCTCTAGTAAGTCAGTCAGTCAGTCAGTCAGTTAGCTAGTCACTAGGTGTCCGACGTGGTGCTGCAATTCGCAGCTACTCTGGTCTATGATCTTGTGTTCACGTCAGTTGGATCTGGTGTCTGTTTGTGTTCACTTTCAGCTCTGTTTGCAAAGAGTATTTAGGCTACTTTGGCTTTCATGTCGGGTATAGCTGGGTTTGCAAGAGGCAAAACAGCACATCGCTGTTTGCCATCATTCTTTCTGCTACACAGTGTGCAGCTAAGGCTCAGCACAAGATAATGAGTGTTAAGGGTGTCAATTGAAGTTGAAGCATATATCATTTGAGCAACATCCAGTGCTTAGTTTGTTCTGTGTGGCTAACTAAACTGTGTGCCTATGTCAAATATATTCACCTCATCTGTGAGTAAAAATAATCATGCTCTATTGCATTACATCATCACGTAATAAATACCAGCAAAACCATCCCTCCTCGTGCATATGAAAAATCCCACCCAAATTTTTACCTCGCCATAATTAGATTTCTGACATCTGTTCAAGTCTGACTGCTCCCAGTGGTATACTGAGGCGTTGAACAATGATGATATCCAATATCATGAATACTTGTTCTGATAGGCAGGGGGAGTGGTGTACTATAACAACAAACTTAATTATTGGTAGCTGCTGATGAATGCAATTGAGGATAACAAGTTACCTATACGACTTTGCCCCAGCAGGTTGAACAGCACTGCCTTTACATATTTCGGTGTTGTTTGCTGGCCTGGTATAAACCCCGCGCATGCACACCTTTGTTGCTATGTGTGGGATTTCATGAGTAGCTGTGTGCTTCTGTGTCCAATGTGCCTTTATAGGGTGTCTGGGGGCTTACTATGGCTTCTTGGAAATCTCCCACAAGAAAATTAGGTCACTATAATGTAGGGGCGCATGTATCAATTAGAGGCGACAAGCAGTGTCCGTGCTATAGCTCAATTCTGCTCCATTTATTGCAGCTTTTTGAGCAAGAGTCTATATATACCAATCACACAAAGATCCTACATACCATCCTTATGCTAAGAACCTGCAGTATGTGCATTATCGTATGTGTGTTAGTATCGTGTATACTTCCTAATGGGGAGCTCCATGAACACTTGGCACTGTAATTTATCGAACATGGCCTCTAGTGTCATCAATGACTTGTGGTGAAAGGAACCGGCTGCGGTATGCTCTGGAACATGGAAATTCATTAGAGTCTCCCTGAGGGAGCGACTGTGGGGGGCGATCAGGCTCTTTTGGTCCATTTGCCATATCCTAATGGAGTTGGCTTGGAGCCCTAAGCATCTGTCATGCCATTGCAGAGTGTTTGTGTATAGAGACTGAGGGAAACTGTGTACAAAGTAGTGCTTCTATTGTAGAGCAGGGGGCACTTAGATGATTGGGTACTGAGACAACAGAACATGAAGGAGACATGAAAAGTAGCCTTAATCTGTGAGATAATGTGTTCCAAAGCATCTTCCAGAGATAGATACACTGTCCATTTTGGTCCTGAAGGTAACCACATTACGTTGCTGCATACTCAACTCAGCACACTTATGTACTGTATACAGTAGCTGTTATAGTGTGTTTTAAGTACTAGGGAGTTCCCTGCCTTTGGTGGTGTTGGAGTGAGGTGTGGGTGTGAAGAGAGGGAGTGTGTGAGGTTGGCAAGCAGTGGCCCCTCCTCCCTGCACATGCCGACAGGTGGGACTGGCCTGGAACTAATGTTCTGTGACTCATTCCCACACTGCAAAAGGACGTAACAATCCTCAGTTGGCTTACATGGCTCAGCTACCATGCCTTTCTCCCGAGAAAATCTACAAGTCCAAAGGAAGAGCTGCGTATAGATAGACACACACCCTTGTTGAGCATTTTTCTGTGTCTCTGAACACCATGTCACCCCACGCCCTGCTTGTCATACCATGTCTCTGGTGTTAACAATAGCAGGTGGCTAAAAAAGGCATGCAGTGTGCACTGACTGCAATTCTGTTACCTTTATGTATGTAGCTATAGCATCTGGTGTAACTTCTTAGGCTTGCTAGTACATATTCATACGCCTTTGTCTAGTTGCATGTAGGTACATAAGCCACCATATTTATGCAGCCTGATATGGCAAGGCCTGGGCGTACCTCTGACTAGCCTTATTTGGCCCCGTGCTGTACTCCATCCATACATACGTATGATGTATGTGTTGCAACATGTGTTCAAAGGCAGGTGTGTTAGTCCAGGGACTGAGCCACTGAGTAGCCGTGCCCTGTGATCTATTGTAGCGATGAACTGGGTCATTTGCCGAGCCTACCAGAGTGCCGCTTACTCTCAGCCACCAAAGCCGGTATCTTACACGGTAGCTCTTTGTAGTGTATGCACGCACATTTAGGGCCCATAGAAAACCTATGGACTAGCACATCTGCTTACGTATAGTGTGCTGTCTATACATGCAAGTACATAGGTATCTACATACTACACTATCAGTGCTGCATATTTTCAGACAGGTCCAGTGAACAGGTGGAATTAACACTTGCCATAGTGTCGCGCACACTGTATATGTGAGCTGTTTGTACTAATACAAGCGGAAACACGGATATGGGATCCATTATTCATGCAAGAATTTCTGCCACCTGACAATGAATAACGTTTATGGTTAATCTCGGCATAAACAACACTTCGTTTTGGCCAAATTTTGCAATCCTGAAATATAAAATGTGGCGATTCGGTGGCTTAAAACCCACTTTTCAAACTCATAATTCATCTTCCAAACCCACGAAACTTGCAAATATTTCACACTTTACTTCTATCACTGGATACAACTTGGGTGCTGGGAAACTCTATCTACCCCCTCCCACTCTCTAGCTCTCTCTCCTCTCTGTGTCTGTGTTGTTTGCAGCAAGAAGCAGTGTAGGTCGCCAGACCTTTCCTCTAAGTTCTCCAGCCCGGCACAGGGCAAGATCCAGTATGAACTGAATGACTTGAGAGGAACCGCAAGGGGGATCAGAGACAGCACTGACTTGGTTCCTGGAGGCAGGTATGGATACACTATTGGTATGATACCCTACGTATAATCTTCATTCCTGTGTAATGTTGTTGGATATAAATGTGTGGATGTCCAATCTGTACCTTGCTTGCCATAGGCATCCAGATAGAATATGTGTATTAACAAGGCTATAGTAGTATGTTCCACATCACAACAGTCTCTATGGTACGTGTATATACTGATCAAAGGATTGGAGTGCGATTGGAGTGCGTGGTGTAGGTTGACCACTTAATGACACATGACCAAAATCAAGAGCTGTAATGTACCCATTACGAAATAATTACATCCATGTTGGAAATTAATTAAGAGAGCATAATTAACCGGAAGGGAAAGGACAGCCCTTGTTATGCAGCACAGTAATAATTATCCGATATTCACACACCATTTGTGGATCAAGAAGGAAACATACGTTGCGACATACAAAACAGCATGAAAGTTATGCCAAATTCTGAGAAATTTTGCAGCCTGAGTACACATGGCTTGTTTACTCTGACACTTGTTCACCCTAACAGATTGGCTTCCAATAGCAGTGATTAGTATACCATGTTTCCTTGAAAACAGGAGATGTCTGTAATGGTTCATGGATCAATAGTGACAAGTCTACCTGTAGCTCAGTGTCTTCACGGGTAAATAGTGAGATGTCTTCGTATGGCATATAATTATGCTGACAGCTTGGGAATAGTAATAGAAGAAGTCTTGGGGTGACAATGCAGTACCCACCCAAACTCCTACCACACATGGGGCGAGACACGGAGTTAGTGTTGGGGTGATGGATATCGGAGAATGCCATTTGAATAAGGTTTGCAGGGGTGAGATGGCTGTCGCCATGGCAGCTGGATACCAGCAGGTGGTGGGAGAGAGTCGTGTTCAGTTCCGTGTAATGTGCACACATATCTGACATGGAAACTCTTGTAGAAAATAGTCTCACTTTCATTTTACATAGATTCCCACACTAGTGTTTACCTTATGACTTTACGGTACATGTGGCAGGTTCCTTTTTCACATTCTCTCATTCCTTATCCTCTTTACCTCCTTCTCCCCATCCTCCCCCTCTCCCCCCTCTCTCCTCTCTCTCTCTGCGTACCCCCTTCTCCTTTATAATGTCCAGAGCTGGCAAGTGGAGACAGTACATGTCATCGAATCAACCACTAAACGCAACGGAACGACGTCGCAGCAACACAAGTGAGCTTCCCTAACACATTGTTTGCACACAACTCATAAGCCTGAAAAGCTTCTTTCGCCTGATATCAAATCTTCTGCACTCTCTCTTCTCCAGTGGCAGCCACAGTAATACCTATACCCAGGATCGACCGAAACTGTAAGCTTGTGTGTCATGAAATGTAGCTATTATGTTTTTTCATGAACCGACACAAACAACTCCACTGCATTGAATTCCTTGGGTTTTCTGTGCAAGTGGTGTGTTTTGTGATCTGAGAAACCTGAATTCTGGCTTATGCCCCAGATGTTGCTATAATTATAGGACTGTTAGTCCCTCGTCCACTTGGGCAGCAGTTGATGTAACGCATTGTGTTGTGGTGCCCCACAGACCAGCCATAGAGGAAGTGGGTGCAGGAGGAGAGGAGGAGGAGGGGGAGGGGGAGGAAGTGGGGAGGGAGGGAACTGGAGTCACGGAGACAGCCACTGAGACCACAGCCAGGGAGAGGTGGGACAGTACATGCACATGTATCCATTGTAACCTGACACTGGCTGTATGTAGCTCCACAGCACATGAATAGTTGCCTGCACAACTCATGGGAATAACCAAATGAATATTTCCAAGAGTTTCGATTTTAGTTGTATGGAACTGAGTTACAAAGTGGTTAATGACGTAGTGAGTATTATGTTGCACAGAGTTAAGTCACACCAGCAATAGAAACACACATGCAATGTGCAGCAGTTTTTGGCGAATTCACAACTTTAGCTGTTCTCTCTCTCTCACACACACACACACACACACACACACACTTTATAAAATCTACGTACGTAGTGCAATAAGGAGTCAGTGGATGGCCAAACGCAAGGTCAGGGGTCGTACCAGCTCCACTAAGCTACTGTTGGAGGAACCAGATGGGGGCAGTAGCTGGACTCTCACCTCTACTAACGGCGTGAAGTGAGTTCTTACGAACCAGATTACTCACCTGTGGGAGCCGGGAGTCTCCTGTGTACTTGTACCTCAATTATCATTTGGCCAAATTGACGTGGGCAGTGACTTAGTGTAGTAAGATTAGCCAGATCAACTACATGTACACACATCAGGAGCAAAGGTGGTGAGCTGCTGTTGATTCCATATCCCACACAAACAGCTCCATACTATATAGAGCAGATAGATCTCACGCACACACACACACCAACAGGCAAGCATGCTTTTCTATGACTCATTTGGGAATACATTATTAATTTACACCCAACTCAATGTTGTAGACGCTTAATGTTGTTATTGCTCACACTTAAAGCCTTTGGTGTAAGAAAGCTCTTTTTGTTGTCCTGTGGGTGTAGTTTGCTCTGTTTTGCATGGCACTCACCTTGCATTTACATACCTCCCTTGAATCGACTTAAAGCTGATTCATTCGGTCTACATTTTTTTATTTCCACTGCAGTGGTCTTACGGGAGACGTGATGTCGTCACTCAACCTGACAGCCAGTCTGCCAGGCCCTGCTCTGGCCCAGTGTGGCCAGCCTCCCACCACTGTGGGCCAGGGGCCAGTAGTCTCAACCCCAAGACCAGTTCCAGGCTCTGGTCACATTCACGGACACACACGTTCCGAGTCCCCCGTCGTACTCCAGACCAGTGGTGCTACGGACACCGGTACCAGTCTTGGACATCGACCCAGAGCCGATATCACGAGTGAGGTTCCAGCGAGAGACTCGCCGTCCTCCATCACCAAACGGCCGGTCCGCAAGACTCACAAGCAGCTGAGTCTCAGCACACACAGTCTACCGCGACAGACAACAGCCTCGACCACAAGGACCCTCGAAACCCAGATAAGTGCCGGTGGGTCAGGCATTCTCCCGCCTGCAAATGACGGCCTTGCAGACATCGGTGGGAGCCGTCCGAGACTTCGCAGGTATGCCTCCACTGCATCGTACACCTCCACACCGTCTCTTGACCCAGTCATCCTGGTGAGACCTCGATCGAGAACAGGGTCACGGAGAGGGAGCTACGCTTCAAACACACTTGGGAGGACCAGCTTCGAGCAAGAGCAGTACTCCTCTATTACCAGTGTAGAAATGGAGAGGAATTACTATACCCTGCAGGCCAGGAGAGCGGGAGGTGTTGCAGGGGTGAGCGAGGCTGGAGGAGGAAGAGAAGGGAGTCCTGAATGGACATTACCGACAAAGCAGACAAGTTCAAAGGACGATATAATGGCCGGGAGAGAAGAAAGTCCAACAAAGCTGACAGGCTCTATAGTGGCTGGGGAAGGGAAAGAAGAAAGTCCAAGATGGACCCCAACAAAGCTGACAAGCTCTATAGTGGCCGGGGAAGAGAGAGAAGAAAGTCCAAGATGGACCCCAACAAAGCTGACAAGCTCTATAGTGGCTGGAGGAAGCAGGGAAGGGAGTCCAGTTTGGACCTTACCAAGGAGGCTGACGAACTCAAAGGAAGCTATGGTGAACGAGAGAGACGTCTCGAAGCATTGCAGATCCTCCATGTACAGGACTTCTGAAAACCACGTCCAGACTGCAATAAACCTCATGGCCTACTACGAGGGACAAGAATCCACTGTATGACAATTCAATCACACAAGCCGCAATAATATTATCTATTTTTATCCCTGTCTCATTCACAGTATACATACTTAACTGTAGGCAAAACAGAATTCATTTTAATATTACCGCATTGTCTGGATGTTGTGTCATATTATTACAGACAACCATGAAAATTTAAACATCAAAAATAGCGCACCCAGCAAGCGGAACAGAAAAACGTAAACAACAGTTATTGTTGGCAGGTCCATATAATTAATGAACCGATGGTTGACATGTATCCATGTTGAAAATTCAGACTTCTCTTATCTCGAGGATCGAATTGGGGGAGAGGGAGAGGGGCTGAGTGATGTTCGATGGAGCAGCTGGAAGTAGTTGGGAGGGGGGAGAGGGCGGAGGAGGGGAGGGGAGAGAGCTGGGAGAGACGAAGGAGCTGGGGGTGTGAGAGTGAAGCGGGAAGTCGCTGCTCCTCTCCGATGCGGCTTGCAGCAGTTCGGAGGGCGGAGGAGGGGAGGGAGGGAGAGGGGAGACTGTGGGGCTCGGTGTGAGGGACTTGATTGGTGACAGGGGGTAGGCCGTCTGTGTGCAGGAACCAGAGAAGACAGCAGAGTGGTTTACCCACTCTTTTCTTATATTACACTTAGCCACAGTGTGAGTGCTAAATGACACTGCAACACTACTCATTAGTGCAAAACACGCTTAACAGTTCAAATGTAACACGATATGGATTTTTGCACACAGACTCAAAATAAACTTAAACTCTGTATGTATATTCACCCTGTCTGTTTGTGGTGTAAATGAGGAATGTACCAAATCAATGTACAGGTCCTAATACAGCAGCAGGTATGTAACACTAGCTGTTGGATATCCCTAGGCAACAGACATGTATGAAGCTAGGTACTGGGGAATTTTATCAGCCTATACAATCCTACATGTGCAAGCAGGGTTCCTGCATGTCATTTGCCTAGGGATATCCAACAAATCTGTTGCAGTACCCAGACAGGACAGCATTCACCCTTACAGGACTCATGCTGTCCTGTCTGGGCACTGCAACGTATATACACTGTGACTCTGATGTCTATATACATGCGCACAACCACACAAAAGTCAGTCATGTACCATATATTATCAGGACGGAAGAAAGTTAAACGCTCACGTTCAGAACCATACAAACATCAATAGTTCACTGTATATTCAAGTGTTAGAGCCGTTGCCTATTATTAACCAATACACGAAAACATTAATGAGTGCATAAAGCACTTATATATTATATATAGCGCATGAGTGCATAAAGCACTTATATATAATATAGCGCATGAGTGCATAAAGCACTAGCGCAATACAGTGTATGTAGATATTATACACGACTGACCTTGAACTTTCGTTTCAAGGCTCTAGTGAGCATTGGAGTGGGTCCTTCACCAGTGTCCAGACTCATCCTCCTCCTCCTCACCGTCCCTCCAGGACTCCTTCATGGGAGAATGACACCAGAAGACTCTCATACAACACAAGCCTAGTGTACATACGTACATACAGTTGAATTTCCACAGAGGGACCGTGCTTATTTGGAGGTAGAATACGAAAGGGAAACAAATGTCCTGTACAGCCCGTGTCTTTTGGTTAGAGTTTCTAATACAACTGTAGTGTGTAACCACCTACAAGTGTATATAGACCGACATACAGACACGGTATCATTCCGTGGGATGACGAACAGAAAAGTATACATACATACCTGGCATTTCCTACACTCTTCAGTTTTCTGTGGACCAATTTGAACTCTCCACCAGCTTCTTTCTGAGGAAGTAAACACCCAGTGTATACAGACACACCAAAACATAGCACAAGCAGAAAACAGGCATACAATAATGAGTACATCTATCATTGAATAACATAGTTATATATGTACCCCTCTCATCCACTGTATCTGTAGTGTATATACCTTGACTTGGTGTGGGGGGCGTGGCTTGCTGCTCCGTAAGCGGACACCCTTGATGTCGGCTAGAGTTATGACTGGCTGCCTCTCCTCGTCAGCCTTTTGGAGACCCTGCAAATAGTCAGCAGGTAGAGAGTGTACAATATGATAGGGGAAGAGGGTGCCCGAAACATGATAAGGTGCAGCTAGAGAGTGGACATACGATAGGAGAAGAGAGCAATTGGTTCCTTTAAGGGTATAATTTTATGCTAATGAATACAGAAGAGGCAGGCACATGAACCATAATAATCAATCAGGGTCCTGCTTTTTGAAATCGTAAGATGGGTACATTATATATGAAATGTGGTGTCCCAACTGTTGTAGAGTTTCAAAGGTTTCTTACTGGTGGCTTGGGTTTCCTGATGCGGATTTTGATTGAAGATGACAGGGAGGGAGGCGGAGGAGGGGGTGGGGGAGGGGGAGGGGGAGGAGGTGGAGGGGGAGGGGGAGCAATATTGGCTGGTACACCTACAACTGCATCTTCGCCCAGTGACTGAGGAGGAGAAAAGTGCCAGCACTTATGTATGCATTTCCATTACACATAGTAGACCAAAACACCACATTTGGTTTACAGGGCCTCTAACTCGATGGAATTATCCATTTGAAGAACTATTGGCACGTGATACGACAAAAAAATGGCACATATTATAAAGCAAACTTGTCGCTTGCATACGAATGTTTTAGTGTGTGAGACTCACCATGTATCTCTTCCTCTTCCTCCTCTTCTTCTCCCTGGCCTCTTGTTCCCTCACCAGCTCCAGCTCATCCTGCATGTCTCGCAGTCTCTTCTGGGCCACTGTCAGCTGTCGTCGCAGCACTCGCGTGGGGAACACCGCGTCTTTGGCTATTTCAATACTCTGTGCAGAGTAAAGAGGAAAGTCTCACCTACAAAGATTGTTTTTGGGGGTCATATTTCAAGGTCTACCGAGAAGCATATTAGGATATGTATGACAAAGGTTTCGCCCTCCCCATGCAACTCTGATGTCCAACCTCTCACCTGAGAGACTCCCGAAGTACACCATTCCCACCAGCTGCTCTTATTCGACTCCGACTCATCCCTGGCCACTGCCTGATCTGACGAATCGCTGGGTGCAGAGCCCCGGTTTTCTTTCTCTTCCGCGCGTCTTATGCTCAATTTCCGACGATTCTTTTCGAGCTGACGTCGCGAAGCTTCGACCTGTTTCTTCCTTCGTCGTGAGTTGGGCATGGCTACTACGCTGGAAGAAAGAGTAGTCCTGCCTCAGTCTCTGGCCCCTTCAACTCTTATTGACGCGCATCATTTTAAATTTTCAAAACTAGCCAATCAGATCGTCGGATGCGGGGGGTGCGTTTAAAAGAACAAACACTGTGCTTTGTTCCACGCGTCGCAGGTTCAAAGTTCGGGAGGGAAACAGACGCCGTGGATACGCCGAGTCTACTAGCTTTCCCGGGGGTGCAGGGGATAGACGCACGCGTCATGGAGTCCCTGGACACTTTCTTCAACAACACTACCTCGCAGTTTTACGTAGTGCTCACAGGAACCTCGAGTTTCCTCTCAGGCGTCATGATGTTTCTGGAATGGCTCCACTACACCTATTTCGGGATGTCCATCGTGGACCGCGTCGTTTCCGTGGTCCTCCACATCTTCCCGTTCCTCGGCAGCTCCAAGAGCAAGGAGAACGACAGCAAAGCCAAGAAGGCGACGGACGCTAAACCGTTCCGCAACTCTCTCGTTCTGTTCCGCGGAGCAGAGTACCACCGCTATAAGGAGCAGACTTCGAGGGAGCCTCTGACGGACTATGACATGAGCCTCACCATGCTAGAGTACCAGGCCTTCTTCACCAATGAGGGGGCCAAGTTGGAAGACGATCCGGCGGACCTGTTGATGGCCTCAGTCTGGAAGGAGCCTGACAGAATGCAGAGAGTGACAACAGCACACAAGGTCCTCGAAATGAATCCCCAGTGTTCGGCGGCACTTGTGCTTCTGGCAGAGGAACAAGCGGCGACCATCACGGAATCGGAGGAACTATTTCGTCAGGCAATGCGGGCGTCAGAGGTGGCCTACAAACACACCACAGCGCTCTCGCATCAGGACTCCATGTACAAACCGATCCACGAGCGAAACGCCAACCTCTGCGCCTACTGCAAGCTCCGTCTGGCCTACTGCAACAGGAAACTTGGCAAGTTCAAGGAGGCCATAAAGCTATATAGGGATCTGCTAAAGGACGACCACGTCGTGGTGATGGCAAACGTACAGGAGAACCTCATCGAGTGTCTGCTGGAGATGCAGAGCTACTCTGAAGTCTCGCAGTTTTTGGCAAAACAGGAGGAACTGAGTCTGATAAAGTCGACGAGCATGTGCTATACCATCGCCCTGCTCAAGGCCAAGGCAGTGGGAGAGAAGTTTTGCCCCGAGACCGTGTCCCGTCGCTCGCTTAATTCGGCAGAGTTGGTGGCCGTGGAGGCCATCCACCGAGCAGTCGAGCTGAACCCCCACGTCCCGAAATACCTTCTGGAGTTAAAGAGTCTCGTCCTACCGCCAGAGCACGTGTGTAAGAGGGCCGACAGCGAAGCGGTGGCCTACGCCTTCCACCACATTCACCACTGGAAGAGAGTTGAAGGAGCGCTCTCTCTCCTGGGATCAACCTGGGAGGGCACGTTCCGTCGCATCCCGTTCCCGCTAGAGAGAGGCCACATCTTCCATGCCTATCCCGCACACGCCGAGTCCGTCGATCGCCAGCTGCTTCCCGACTACCACGAGGTGTCCGTGTTCCCGCAGCGTGACACTCCCTTCTTCATGGTATTTACCGGTGTCCTATGCTTCAGCTTTCATGACCCTGACAGTGGTGGCATACCACTTCCCTCAGGCCATGACCCAGTACGCCAAGACTGTCACCACCGTCTTTCTCGTCGTACTGGAGAAGCTGGTCCCGACAGACATTTTCGGCATTTTTTCCTCTTGAGGCTTTTTTTTGTTTCACGGAAGTTTTCATCATGACATGTGAATAGTATATGTCATATCATGATACATGGTTGCTTTCTGCATGCAAATAGACTGTTAGTAAAAGTAAGCGCATGCGCGTCACTCCACTGGTGCGCGCGCACGTGTGCATGGAATAGAGAGATCAGAGGGTTATCCTCTATGCTCTGCTTCAAGGCCTCTTGGCATGAATCCCACGGCTGTAGCCAACGGTCCTCTGCCGCGCAACAAAGGAACGGTGTACAAAGTGGTCCTAACTGGAGGTATGTTCGTGTCACAATCAGTGTCAATCAGTGTACTGATACAATTTGTGCACGGTAGAGGTAGGCATTGATGGTGGCTAGGTAAGATGTGATTGTTGCGTGCAGGTCCCTGTGCTGGAAAGACTACCACGTTGTCTCGATTGGGCACATTCTTCGAAAGTCTTGGATGGAAGGTAGTGTGCGCATGTAATTTTGCACCATGTGGCAAAATATTTACTAATGCAGGTTTACATGGTGCCCGAGACAGCCACACTACTATTGGGGTAACCTGTGCCTTTTACCAGTGTCCTTTGGATGATACAGTATTTGCATATCAAGCAGAGGTGGAGTAAAGTTCTCTGAGTTGACGCCAGAGCAAGCGATGCTGTTCCAACAGCAGATCCTCGCCACCCTGCTGGAAGTGGAGAGAACTTTTGACCTTCTGGCAGAGGGTCGACAGCAGAAATGTTCTGATAGTCTGCGACCGAGGATCCATGGATCCTTTTGCATGTGAGTAGAGGACACTCACTTCATTTATAACTACTGTCTGTGGCAACCCAGCGCCTTTGTGCACGGAAAACAATAAAGAGTGAACACTAGGCGAATTGCAAGTGTGCATGGTAAATTACAGCAGTTAAACCCGCAAACCACGATTATATTAATGTACTTGCAGTTTGCTCAAAGAGTGAGTGGCAGGAGATGCTAGACTATGTGAAGAGTAACCCAGTGGAGCTGAGGGACAACAGATACGACCAGGTGGTGCACATGGTCACCGCAGCCAGCGGTGCCGAGTCATTCTACCAGCTGGATAACAACTCTACCAGGTCCGAAGGCTTTGAACTGGCCAGGGAGCGAGACACCAAGGCAGCTGAGGTGAACAGTGTTTATACAAGTTATAATTCTGACTCATAAGATAGAGTGAAAGGGTATATAAAACCTGTGTTGTTGACAGATTTCGTACAGTAAATGCAAAGAACTGTCCATGTTTGAAATGGACCAATCACTTGTCTAAAATCCCAGTCAAAAATTTTATCTGAACGGTACCTTTTGGATTTTGGCAGATAGTTTGTGATTCTGCAGAAGGTTGTTTGTTGTGATAAATGATAAACTGTTATTCTGCAGTCATGGGTCGGTCATCCATACTTTGATATAGTGGACAATTCGACTGGTTTCGAGGAAAAGATTCACCGAGTGATTGAGAAGGTTTGTGAGAGGATGAGGAAGAGAGGGATAGAGCTACACACAGAGGACAGGCTCAAGGCCCACAGTAAGAAGAGGAAGTTCCTCATCAAATCTCTCCCTGATGAAAAGGTGATGACTGATAGAATTGTCAGCCTGGGTTCAGCATTGAAACAATTGATAGGAGTTTCCTGCAGTCCAAGACTTTGATGTTCAACACGACTACATCGAGTCCAGAGACAGTACTGTCCAGTCAAGGATCAGAAAACGAGGACAGAAAGGTCTCATGTATTATAGTGTGCATGTATATAGCTATCAGTGATTAACCATGGGGGTATATATTCTCATACTCTCTGTCTCTTTCTCTCTCTCTCAGGCTCCTATTCATACACAATCACAGAGAGGAAGAAAATAAACGGAGAGAAGGTGGAGAAAGTCCGCTCTATATCTAAAAGGGAGTATGAGGTATGTGATATTAGCACCATGGGTATTATTATTATCCACTCTTTTATGCCATATGTAGACACTGTATAGGCTTAAATATCATGACCATGAATCGATAAAAAAGACACGGAGGTACTTCTTGTGGAACACACAGTACTTCCAACTGGACATTTACACAGGAGCCACCGACAAGTATGGCCTCACAGACCTTACGTAGCTGTAAAGCCAGTGGCATCTTTTCCCTGTATAGGTGTAGCAGTCTTTTACTGTTGGAGACATACACAACTAAAGAGGGAGGTGATTTGAAGCTCCCAGACTTTCTGGAGGTCGTGAGAGAAGTCACTGATGATCCTCAGTACTCCATGTTCCAACTCTCTTTTTCACCCACCACTTCTTTGGGACATGTAAATCAGTGCTCACCTTGCTCATGACTAAACGCCTGCGCAGATTCGACACGTAATTACCGTCGCGTGTCGGCCGGCCCGGCGGCCCCCGCGAGCGAGCGACGCCGCGAGACGATATGCGCATGCGCACCAGAGAACCGAGATTGGGCGTACGTAACCTTTGTTTATCTCTAATCAGAGCGCTCTAGATGGATGATCTTGACGTGGATCCAGCAGCCATTGCTCTGCCGCGCAAGAAGAGCGTGGTGTACAAGGTTGTTCTGACAGGAGGTATAATATTCTATATATGCCCCTCGGATTGCTGCGTTATTACTGTATGCAGGTCCTTGTGCCGGGAAGACTACCAGTCTCTCTCGATTGAGGATATTCTTTGAAGGCCTCGGATGGAAGGTAGCCATAGCTCAATTACTTCATCGTATCATTGAATGTTCTTCATTGTGTAATTATTCTTGCTTCGCAGGTTTATACGGTGCCAGAGATACCCACCCTACTCTTTGAGTAAGCCTTCTCTCCATTGATGAATACTGGGGAGTGGGGCTACCTTCAACAACCATAACTAGCACACAACTAGATGCCAAACAACGGCACTAAATAGGCTAATTTTACCTATAAATATGTCGTTTTGGTAGTGCTATTCCTGTGTCAAACCAGAGGTGGAGTGAAGTATGCAGAACTGACTCCAGAGCAAACGACGCTCTTCCAACAGAGAGCCCTGACCACTCTCATGGAACTGGAGAGAACTTTTGACCTTCTGGCCGAGTGCGACAGCAGGAATGTTCTGATAGTCTGCGACCGAGGATCCATGGACCCTTTTGCATGTGAGTGATGGAACGAAAACCTGTAGCTGATACCCTGTTTCAGTGTGTGCTGCAGAGTTGTTTTGCCTGTGTGTTTAGTAGCTAATATAATTAATGATCTAGTACAATAGCAATTGTATGGGGTAGTTACTCTAGACTACTAATGGGTTGAAAACAAAAGGTTATGACTTATGAGAGTCTAGAGTATCTATGGTGAAACAGAGAACACGGCAGGTCTATCACCGTGTATTTACACAACACTAGATTGCTCCAGTAAGCAGTGGCAGGCGATACTAGACTATGTGAAGAGTAACCCAGTGGAGCTGAGGGACAACAGATACGACCAGGTGGTGCACATGGTCACTGCAGCCAGCGGTGCCGAGTCATTCTACCAGCTGGATAACAACTCTGCCAGGTCGGAGGATCTCGACCAGGCCAGGGAACGAGACACCAAGGCTGCTGAGGTAGGTACTGTATCCCAGCCGAGCGGGAATAAGATACTCTGTGTACTGATTGCAGTAGTTGATGTGCATGCGGTAAACTTAAAATAATCCCAAGCCTTTCCTGTCCGTATCAACAGTCATTGATCTGGATTGTAAGATCTTTGCAATTTCAGCATTAATGGGTGGTTTGCTAATGAGAATTGCAACTATGCACGCAGTCTTGGGTCGGTCATCCGTGCTTCGATTTGGTTGACAATTCGACTGGTTTCGAGGAAAAGATTCACCGAGTGATTGAGAAGGTTTGCGAGAGGATGAGGAAGAGAGGGATAGAGCTACACACAGAGGACAGGCTCAAGGCCCACAGTAAGAAGAGGAAGTTCCTCATCAAATCTCTCCCTGATGAAAAGGTGATGACTGGTAGAATTGTCAGCCTGGGTTCAGCATTGAAACTATTGGTGTATAGGAGTTTCCTGCAGTCCAAGACTTTGACGTTCAACACGACTACATCGAGACAAGAGACAGTACTGTCCAGTCAAGGATCAGAAAACGAGGACAGAAAGGTCTCAAAACTGTGCGAAAGTAGTAGTCAGACCTTTCCCTCTCTCTCTCTCTCACCACCCACATAGGCTCCTATACATACACAATCACAGAGTGGAAGATGGTGAATGGAGAAAGGGTTGAGAAAGCACGTCCTCTGTCTAAAAGGGAATATGAGGTGCGTTTGATGCAATGAAGACAGCATGTCGGTGAAATTCTTGGTTTTGCTGTGTGTAATAGACTCTATACAGGCTGAAGTATCCAGATCATGAGTCGTTGACTAAGACCAGGAGGTGTTTCCTGTGGAACAGACAATACTTCCAACTGGATATTTATACAGAGGGCACTGAAAAGTATGACCATAGGTTGCACTATGCACTGCACCCTCCAGTTGTAGTAAAGTTATTCACGATGGTAGGTTGGCTTGTCCTTAATTGTTAATGTACGATATTTAGGCCACCCTATTTCACTTCATTAAGCAGTTTTTTCACTGTACTATAGTCAAGGGTATTAAGGGTGATTGGTTTGCTTGTCCTTTCCCCCATGTCCTTATTAAAAGTTTTTGTTGTTACTTTTCGGGTTGTTTGCACTGCACTTTCCTGCTATAGAGCCAAAGTATTGAAGGTGATTGTTCCCCCCACTTGATAAAGTATGAAAAAGTTAGGCCACATATTTCCCTGTTGCTTTTTGCGTATTTCCACTGCACTCTCCGGCTATAGTTAGGGTATTCAAGATCATTAGTTGCCTTGTCCTTCCCCCCACTTTCGTGCTAAAAGTACGAGAAATTTAGACTATTTTCAGGCTATCATTTGCACTGAAATTTTAGGCCACACTATTTTCCTTTTAGGGTTATTTTCTAGCTTAGCTAGTATTTCCCTCTTATTACACGAGGAGAACAAATGGGACTTTAATGCTTTCAGTTCTTGGGAATGTAAAGCCAGTGGCATCTTTTCCCTGTAGGTGTAGTGGTGTTTTACTGTTGGAGACATACACAACTAAAGAGGGAGGTGATTTGAAGCTCCCAGACTTTCTGGAGGTCGTGAAAGAAGTCACTGATGATCCTCAGTACTCCATGTTCCAACTCTCTTACAAAGACCCAGCCCCGACTTAAAAGACAGTTACTTTTTTCACTCTTGTCTATGAGAATACTCTGTTGTAAAGTCAATTTTTATGTTAAAAAAATTGCATTTAACAACAACAAATAGCCTCAGGCAATAAAAACTTGTGTAAATGGTGTTTGTGCCTCTAACTTGGTAATGGTTGGTCCACTAACAATGAAACTTGGTACACTGATGTACCATGATGAGAGTTCATCGAAACAGAAATTACAAGCTTGTAAACAACAACAAACAGCCCCAGGCAAAAATGGTGTTTGTGCCTATAAATTCCTTGTGGTTGGTCCTCTAACAATGAAACTTAGTACATTGATTCACCATGATAAAGAGTTGATCGAAACAGAAATTACAAGGTTGTAAACAACAACAAACATCCTCAGGCAAGAAAGACTTTTAAATATTGTCAGTGCCTATATATAACTTGTTTATGATGGGTCCTCTCACAATGAAACTTGGTGCACTGATGTAATGTGAATGACGCAAAACGTCTGAGGCGATAGCTTAAGGCCACTAATGTTACATTTTTTTATGGGCTTATGCCCAAAAATATCCCCTTTTTATTTGCACACCATGCATGTGAATGCAGTAAAAAAAAGAAAAGGAGACAAGTAAATAAAACATTCTTCGAATAAAAAAAGTGTGGAATATACGGATGCCATAAAAAGTAAGGAGACAAGACAGGGACGACCTAGTGAACATGATGATGTATAGTACAATGGATGATGGCTATATACTTTGAACTGAAATCGCTTGCTCATGTAAAATTTCCTCCACACAAGCCCTATATTGTTGCCACCTTTACTGTTTGTTTAGTGAAGTGCGAGAAGAAGTGCAAATATCTCTGAGGCTTCCGTAATTGGCTTACTGAGGGCTTTGTAATAGTCTCGTCTGGCGCGAGCTTTACTTGTATCTAGCGGAACGAACGCCTTCGCTGCACATGCGCAGAGCTCCTGTGAGAAGCTAATACGTGTACAGTCACATAATAGGAACACTGTAACTAAATGGCTTTGTGGCAATTAAAGAACCTTTGTGGTCAAAAGAGCAAGTAATGCCTGTGTTAGCATCTTTGTGCTTCAGTTGTGCATCCCTAACTTGAAAAAATGAATGAAGATGACAATATATTACTATCAGGACTTTAGCTTCAAGAATAAGTGATCTATCAGAGATACTCCAAGTACAAGGAATGCCTACACAAAGAAAAGCACAGCATGTTTATTAACAGCTACAACTGTAAGACAAAAACATACGTGCATTGTTATTACTTCACCGAATATCTGTGCAGGAAACAAATTATTGACAGATACATATTATATAGCACACAATATTTTGTTGCGAGCTAACCAGAGATGCAGTGGTGAATTCTGTGAAGTATGTGAGAAAACCACCTACTATGGCTCCCAAAAATGACCTGCATTTGATAAAGTATACTAAGTACCCTATGCATCTTCAGTGCAGCTTCCTCACCCAAATGCCTGAGAAAAAGCTGTAATCCCAGAAACTGCAGCAATCAGAGATTCTTGATTTTCTTTTGCATAAAGTGTCCTAGTACAACATTATCTCTCAAACCGTCAGACATAATGTATGAAGATATTCACTGTGCTTGCTGCAGGAGGTCTGAATATGCTGGCACACCAGCAAGAGCTGCTCCACATCCTACCAGAGCCAGACTAATGAGAATTGTCCACCGTGGACTGTAGCAAGATTTACAGTTAACAAAACAGGTATTGTGCTGCTCAAGCGAACGGTATAGGAGGCAATTGATTCAATCCTAAAACCATGAGTGAAGCTCCGCAAATGAATAGTCCAGTTATTATGAGTGTTCTTGGTCCCTGAAAAGTCAGGTTCTTGTAACTTAGTGGCAAATTACAACTCAAACTCACAAATTTGTCAGAGAGCAGACCAGCTACAACAGTGATCAGTGTGTAGCTCACAGCTATTACTGCAAAATATATCCCTATCTCCAACAGGTTCAAACCAATCTGTGAATTAATAAAAGATGGACATTATAGCTCTCCAAGGGTGGAGACTCAGAATGGTTGGGGATTTCCGAAGACCTAATGATTCCTTTAAGGCAAGATAAGTGCATATCAATAAACAACACAACTGCACCAAAGACAACACGTTTTTTAGCTGCCCTATAGGTGGGACCCGAGCCCATAACTCTGTTCTCTAGCCAGGGAAGCTCAGTAGGCTGTGCTCAAAGTCGGGGCAAACACCAAATAAACACTGTGCTATGGCACGCTTCTCTGGCAATTAATAATACCTCATTCAGCAGATACACACTAAGTGCTGCCTCTTGGAATGTCAGTGAACCATATCCCACTATACCTGCAATTTCTGCAGAAAGTATAGACTATAGCTTTGGTATCCTTACATAATACATACACACTTGATTATACACCACAATTATAATTTAGCTGACTCACGAATCATGGAGAAGCTAAGGTGACTAAGAAGCTTTATGACAATCTGAAATGGAAGGACCTTGGAAGAAGTACCTACACAAGTGTGTATAATAACATTTAAAAACCAAATATAGTTCTAACTTGTTTCTTTCAGTAGCAGGAATGTTACTGGAGCAAGGCAGAGAATAATTCCCCCGACGATCCAGAATGGAGCACTGTACCCAGCAGCCTACAGTGTCACAGATTCAGAAAGGAGCGACAAAAACATGGTAGGTATTAGGCTGCATCTTACAACAACAAGTATGCTGCCAAGTGGAGGGCCAGCAGTATACCCCAGTCCAATTGCTCCAAATATCAGTCCCTGTCTCAGGAGTGGAAAATCAGGGATGGTTGCACTCTATGTAAGTTATACTCACTGTGAGTGTTCCGACACGAGATGGGAAGAGAACTGGTATAAGAGCAATGATGGTCGTGTTAGACATTGCCCAGCCAACTCCTTCTGTTACCCTCAGAAGTATACCATACACCACAAATGATGTGGATGAAGGCATGTAAGCCAGGAACCTAACAATCAATGTCCCCACAACATTTTTATTGCCTAAAGTGTTTGATGTCTTACGCCATGAGAAAAAAAGCTCCTCCAACCAGAACCTGTCCAGATATGAGTATCATCTTTGTGCCCAACTTGGGGAGCTGAAATGTAATTATGCAGACTCTGTCATAAAGAAGAGTGATTCATGGACTCACAAAGTATCCAATGACTGGAGATAAGGTAGCCAGACAGAGTGGAGAGACTCCTATTATTACTCCAGTGGTGATAGAATTGCTCCCCATCTCAGCTGCCTGCAGGTTTTATGGGTTCCAAATAATGTGCATCCCTACAGCTAGGGGGTAACCTGATGAATCAACCGACCCTGAATGCATTACCATGGCTAAGCCGTGCCCACTAATTTGCAGAATACACATATGGTAGCCCTATAAGTCTAGTAGTTGGCTATGCTATGTGCTAACAGGCCACAGCGCGTAGCGTTGTTGGGACGCTCTTTCGAGCCTTTGACTTTCATGCATGAGCTCCTGTGGAACGCCATCCTGTGAATCCCACTCCATGAGGACGGAGTAACCCCATCCACTACGTAGGACCCTGCAAGATAATGCTAGCTAACCTCCCTGTAATTATGCAGTACCTCAATGGGGAAGAACGAGGCGACCATAGAATAGGCCGATGCTACAAAAAATGTGATCGTGGACAGCAGAGCAGCAATTAGAACATTTCTCCTCCACGTATAACTAGGTTCTTCCTTATTTCCGTCTTCCTCTGTAAGAGCCCTCAGCTCGAAGTCCGCATGTCTTGCTACAGGGGTATCTGCAGCTCTGACACATTGCTTACAGCGAAGAAAGGCAAAAATCTCTGAGGCCATTCTGAATCTGCAGTTCATGGCCTTTTAGCGGCGCACGCCGCGGTTCCTTTATAGCATGCGCTGAGCCGAGCCAAAATAATGCTTTGATGATTTAGGGCCATGGTTTAGGGCCAAAATATTTCGGCGGGCGGAGCGAGCCCCCCTAGTGGTTTCTTCGGGTGGAATTTTCTATATAATATATGTAATAGTTAAGCTAATAGCTATGGGGTCTAAGGGAAAGACAGGCCAACCAAACACGTGATAGCTAGCTATACAATGGCATGGCTGAGATTAAAAACAAACTGTATAATAATATATTTTGCTAGGAAAAACACACAATGAGTAGTCTTTTGAGTCTTTTTATCGGTAGATAAAATTGAAAATCCACATTGTTCCAGAGCATTCTCGGTTACAGAGGACGCTACGGGAAAGGTGAAAAAAGTGTGGTCACCGACGATATAATGACGTTGGTGGTCTTCGACACCGTAAAGAAGAAAATATCCCCCTGGTTTTACAAGACTTGTTATTCGAGACATTAAAACTGCATACTCTCGTTGCTAGTTGCAACAGACTCGAGCACGTATGAAGATATCACAACATCGTACAACTTGTCGTATTTCTCTTCAATGGGTGGAATTTGAGTAACATCGCATTTGGCGAACCCTTTGATGAGACCCCGAACACTTTTTTGCCTCTGCAACACTGTATTGTTGTCTCCTCCTTCGAGATCTTTCACGACAAAACTAAAATGAGGATTCCAGTTGAACGAGTGTGGTTGATCTTCAACCCAATTTTTAGCAAGTTGAAAGTTGCTTGCTGAATAGTCAGACAAAACGATCTCTGACGCCTTTGTTGCTGCTGAAATCGTCCCCCTGGCGGACGGTCCAGAACTGTAATCAAGAACACTTATTCCCTTAGGAATGGTTTGAAATGCATCGTGAAAGCAGCGGAGCATGTGCTGACTTTTGTCAATATGGGCATGCCTCCGTAGGTAGATGTTGGGATCAAACTTGTCGAAGTAGTCGTTTCCACTGCAGTACTTGATGTTTTTCCATGACACTTTTCAAGGACCGTCGTCGCCGGCGTAGCGAAAAATAATCTGGTGCACGAGGGAGGGAGTTGCTTAAATTCCTTGGTCAGTGGAGAGGGCCATTACAGTGTTGGCTCTAATGGGTTCGTTATTAGTCGTTATATGGTGAGTCCCACCCAAATGAGAAAGAGAGACACCTGCAGCTCTGGTCTCCTTACTTTTTACGGCATCCCTATATTCCACACTTTTTTGAATTATTTACTTGTTATACAGTGTCTATAGTTACCTACATTTGTAGTCCAACTTCAAACAACCTGGTGCTAGGAATATTTACTTTACTTGGCACGACGGTCCAGAACTGTAATCAAGAACACTTATTCCCTTAGGACACATGATAGAAGTGCTGAAATGTTTTGCCCAGTGGAGAGGGCCGTTAGAGTGTTGGGTTCATTGATGGATTCTCAGATGGATAATGGTGAGTACTTTACTTGGCACTAGAGAATGTATGTGAGTGATAGTGTTATGTCTCTCTATGTGGATGTATGAGTGTATTATATGTCTCTTTACGTACAGTGGTGCTGAGTTCAATGGCATTATGAGTGCCTTCAGATACAACGCAGAGCTCACCTCCGCCACTCTCTGTACCACTGGAGCCCCCTGCCCAAGATGTGCCATAAAGATCGTACAGTCACCGATAAAGACTGTTGTATCCAAATGGAGAGAGAAGCTGAGAAAACCTTGTACTGGGGAAAAGTAGCCACATTGTAAGTTCTGAGTGTCTATAGAAGGAAGAAGCAGGCTGGGGAAGGTGAAGGAGGGAGCGAAAGAGTAGGAACCAAAAGAGAACAAGTAGAAGCATGATAGCATTTCAAAAGCTGTGGTTAAGTAAAATATATTCAAACTCTTCAAAGTCTCATAAACTTCTCAGAATTAGCGATAGATGATTACTAACCCTCGGCGCGCATGCGCAGCGAGGGTTGGTTTGTCTGTGTGTGTACGTATGTCGACGCTTATTCTGGCACTACAGGCTACGAGGCGGCCTATTAGCGATACCAGCGGCTTCAGAACTATGCGAGCCTGAAAAAGAAACGGGCGTTTTTCCTGAAACGACTGCGTTCGAGATGAAAACAAGCGAAAAAGGCTTGACTTACCGCGACGCTCGCTCTGTGTACCTTGGGGGCTCAGGAAGTCACAACGAATGGCATGTATCGACTCCCGCATGCTATCTACTACTGTAGCTAGCCCGTGTCAGACTCTCCGCGAGCTATATACTTGCGGGAGACGACCCACGAGTATGACGTGAACATGAGAAGAGATTAGAGAGAATTGGAGAGGGTAGTGGCAATCGTGAGGATGTTTTCGTGAAAACCTCCTTCAATGGTTTCCAGAACTCCCGCGACAGATATGTCACTGTTGCAGTGGTCTGAGCTCACGTGCTCGAAGTACGAAGTGCTCTGGTGGATGATGTTGTTGCAGATGGGACATTCTCACTTTCCAAACACTGGTCTGCACATTACACTCAGTAGATGTTGAGTTCCACGAACTCCGTGATCTAGGGCGATGTCCCATAGCTTGCACCATGAGGAGGCAATTCGAGGGTCCGCAATGTGCTTAGTCGACTGGTGACACTTGGCCATCTCTAGCACAATTTCCCAGTCCCTTGAGATCAGAGCTTCTTTTGCTTCTTGCAGTACTAATTGAGCATTTCCAGGGTCATTAAGGCATTGTGCCGCGAATGATGTACCAAACTCACTTTCAAGTAGCTGACATTGCTCGACCAGACTGATCTTACTGACATCCTCAGAGGCAAGTGTACGGAAAACACGAGAGCTGAGGTTGTCGCTGGTAGATTGGAGAAGCTTCACTAGAAAAGTTAACTTCCTTAGAAGGATGCAAACTCTCATTCTTGGCCAGTGCAGAGCAATGATAACAGCCAAGTATGAGTAAAATTTGGGTAGTCGTAAAATGCGTCTACCGATCTCTGCCTGAAACTTCTCCACAGTAGTTAATAAGGATTCGGTGAGTATCCAGTTTTCACTGCCGTAGAGGAGTATCGGCAGCACAAAAGTGGAGAAGAGGCTACGCCCAGAGAGTGGGTTTAGGGCACCCTGGTAGGCACCGATAGAACCCAGGGCAAAGAAAGCCCTACGAGCTTTGCTGATATTCTCTTCAATTGATTTCACTGGTGTGAAGTTGGTATGCCACCAGTATCCAAGGCATTTAGCTGTCTGCTGAGTAGAGATAGACAATTAGCAGTATCTTGCATGCGCGGTTCGCCGAGGGTTTGCACTTTCTATGCAGGTCCTTGTGCCGGGAAGACTACCAGTCTCTCTCGATTGAGGATATTCTTTGAAGGCCTCGGATGGAAGGTAGCTATAGCTCAATTACTTCATCGTATCATTGAATGGTTCTTCATTGTGTAATTATTCTTGATTCGCAGGTTTATACGGTGCCAGAGATACCCACCCTACTCTTTGAGTAAGCTTTCTCTCCATTGATGTATCCAAAGAATACTGGGGAGTAGGGCTACCTTCAACCATAACTAGCACACAACTAGATGGCAAAAAATGCCACTAAATAGGCTAATTTTACCTTTTCCCCCACTTGAAGTATCAGAAAGTTAGGCCACATATTTCCCCGTTACTTTTTGCTTATTTCCACTGCACTCTCCAGCTATAGTTAGGGTATTCAAGATCATTAGTTGCCTTGTCCTTCCCCCCACTTTCGTGGCAAAAGTACAAGAAATATAGACTATTTTCAGGCTATATATCATTTGCACTGAAATTTTAGGCCACACTATTTTCCTTTTAGGGTTATTTTCTAGCTTATTAGTATTCCCCTCTTATTACACGAGGAGAACAAATGGGACTTTAATGCTTTCAGTTCTTGGGAATGTAAAGCCAGTGGCATCTTTTCCCTGTAGGTGTTTTACTGTTGGAGACATACACAACTAAAGAGGGAGGTGATTTGAAGCTCCCAGACTTTCTGGAGGTCGTGAAAGAAGTCACTGATGATCCTCAGTACTCCATGTTCCAACTCTCTTACAAAGACCCAGCCCCTTCTTAAAAAGACAGTTACTTTTTTTACTCTTGTCTATGAGAATAATACTCTGTTGTAAAAGTCAATTTTTATGTTAAAAATTGCATTTAACAACAACAAATAGCCTCAGGCAATAAAAACTTGTGTAAATGGTGTTTGTGCCTCTAACTTGGTATATAATGGTTGGTTCACTAACAATGAAACTTGGTACACTGATGTACCATGATGAGAGTTCATCGAAACAGAAATTACAAGCTTGTAAACAACAACAAACAGCCCCAGGCAAAAATGGTGTTTGTGCCTATAAATTCCTTGTGGTTGGTCCTCTAACAATGAAACTTGGTACATTGATTCACCATGATAAAGAGTTGATCGAAACAGAAATTACAAGGTTGTAAACAACAACAAACATCCTCAGGCAAGAAAGACTTTTAAATATTGTCAGTGCCTATATACAACTTGTTTATGATGGGTCCTCTCACAATGAAACTTGGTGCACTGGTGTAATGTGAATGACGCAAAACGTCTGAGGCGATAGCTTAAGGCCACTAATGTTACTTTTTTTTATGGGCTTATGCAAAAATATCCCCTTTTTATTTGCACACCATGCATGTGAATGCAGTAAAAAAAAGAAAAGGAGACGAGTAAATAAAACATTCTTCGAATAAAAAAAGTGTGGAATATAGGGATGCCATAAAAAGTAAGGAGACAAGACAGGGATGACCTAGTGAACATGATGAAGTAGTACAATGGATGATGGCTACATACTTTGAACTGACATCGCTAAATTTCCTCCACACAAGCCCTATTATTGTTGCCACCTTTACTGTTTGTTTAGTGAAGTGCGAGAAGAAGTGCAAAATATCTATGAGGCTTCCGTAATTGGCTTACTGAGGGCTTTGTAATAGTCTCGTCTGGCGCGAGCTATACTTGTATCTAGCGGAACGAACGCCTTCGCTGCACATGCGCA